CCAACTCTATGGGAAAATATATTTGCTAATGATACGTCAGACTAGAGATTAATCTCCAAAATACGTAAAGAACTCACATGACTCCACTCCAGGAATACAAACAATCCAATTAAAAATGGGCAAAGGACCTGAACAGACACTTCTCAAAGAAGGACATACAGAGGGCCCAGAGACATATGAAAGGATGTTCAGCATCACTAGCCATCAGAGAGATGCAAATTAAAACCACAATGAGATACCACTTCACACCAGTCAGAATGGTCATCATAAACAAATAAATAAATAATGGGTGCTGGCAAGGTTGTGGAGAAAAGGGAACCCATGTACACTGTTGGGAATGCAGACTGGTGCAGCCACTGTGGAAAACAGTTTGAGATTTCCTCAAAAAAAATAAAAATGGAACTGCCTTTTGACCCAGTAATCCCACTGCTGGGATTATACCCTAAGAATCTCAAAACAGCAATTCAAAAGAACCTATGCATGCCAGTGTTCATAGCAGCACAATTTACAATAGCCAAGTGTTGGAAGCAACCTAAGGACCCCTCAGAAAATGAGGGGATCAAAAAACTATGTTACATTTACACAACGGAATACTATGCAGCCAAAAGAAAGAAGAAGCCCCTACCCTTCGCAACAGCATGGACGGAACTGGGGAGCATTATGCTGAGTGCAATAAGCCAGGCAGTGAAAGACAAATGCCATATGATCTCACGTGTAAGTGGAACCTAACCAACAAAAGAAACGAGCAAGCAAAATGTAACTAGTGACATTAAAATAAAGAACAAACTGACCGTAACCCGAGAGGAGGGGGGAGAGAATTAACGGGAGAAAAAAGGGAAAGGGCCATCAAAGAACATGTATAAAGACCCATGGACAAAGCCAAAGTGGGGAAGGATTGAGGGTGTGAGGTGGGGGGTGGGTGGGGCAGGGGAAAGTGGTGGAAGGAAAGTGGAGACAACTGTACTTGAACAATAAAAACCAGAAAAAGTAAAAGTCCTGAATTGGTAAAATAAATAAAAAAACAGGTGTATAATTATCCATGGGAAAAAAATAAAAATAAATTTATACATTTCTCCCAGCCTCCAGCCCCCACCTCTGGCAATAATCACCAATCTGTTCTTTGTATTATCAGCTTTTTTTAAAGATTATGCATATAAGAGAGATTATATAGTAGTTGTCTTTCTCTGTGTCACTTATTTTACTAGCTTAATGTCCTTGAGGTCCACCCATGTTGTCAAAAATGGCAAAATTTCATTCTTTTTTATGGCAGAATTGTATACGTATTTATACATAATTTTTTTATCCATTCATTGATCAATGGACATGTAGGTTGTTTCCATATCATGACTTTTGTAAGTAATGCTGCAATGAACAGAAGGGTGCATATATCATTGTGAGTTAGTGCTTTTGTTTTCTTTAGATAAATACCCAGAAGTGGAGCTGATGGGTCTTATGAGAGTTTTGTTTTTAATTTTTTGAGGAAATTCCATGTTTTTCATAGTGGCTAAACCAATTTACATTCCTACCAACAGTACACAGTGTTCTCTTTTCTCCACATCCTCCCCATCACTTTTTATTTCTAATCTTTGTGATGATAGCCATTCAAACAGGTGTGAGGTGATATCTCATTATAGTTTTAATTTGCATTTCCTTAATGATTAATGATATTGAACATTGTTTCATGTGTCTGTTGGCCATCTGTATAGTATCTTTGGAAAAGTGTCAGATTTTTTTTTTTTTTTTTTTTTTTTTTGCTATTGAGTTGTGTATATAACTTTATATATTTTGGATATTAGCCCCTTTTCAGATAGATTATTGCAAATATTTTCTCTCATTCAATAGGTTGTCTTATCATTTTTGTTGGTTTCTTCTGTTGTGCGGAAGCTTTTTATTATGATGTAATCCCACTTATTTTTTTTGTTGTTGCTTTTGCTTTTGATTAAAAAAATCATTGCCAAGACCGATGTCAAGGAGATTACCACCTATGTTTTCTTCTAGGAGTTTTATGATTTCAGGTGTTATGTTCAATTTTTTAACCCATTCTGAGCTAATTTTGGAGTATGGAGTCAGATAGTGTTCCAGTTTCATTCCTTTGTATATAGCTGCCCAATTTTCCCAACACCATTTTTAAAAAGACTATCTTTTTTCCTTTGCATATTCTTGGTAACTTACTTGTAAATTATTTGACCATATATGAATGGATTTACTTCCGGGATCTCTGTTGTGTTCCATTGACTTATGTCTGTTTTTATGCCAATGCCATACTGTTTTAATTACTTTAACCTTGTGATATAGTTTAAAACCAGGGAGAACACTGCCTTCAGTTTTGTTCTTTCTTTAGATTGTTTTTGCTGTTCAGGGTAGTTTTTTTTTTCATGGTTCCATACAAATTTTAGGATTAGGTATTCTATTTCTTTGAAAAATGCCATTGGAATTTTGATAGGGATTGTACTGGACCTGTAGATTGCTTTAGGTAATATGGATATTTTAACAATATTGATTATTCCAATCCATGGAATACTTTTTCACTAATTTTTGTCTTCAATTTTGTTCATGGGACCCAGGAATAAACACTTTTTAATATGCATACTAGTGATTCCCATGCAGGTTGATTGATGGATAACCCCCTGAAAAGCACTAACCTGTTGGGTAGCATTTGGCTATTGTATCTAGCACTCTATTTAGGGTGTTTCAGTATTTACAAAGTGTTGTTTTATTTGAAATTATGCACTATTGTTAGATTCAGCAAGTCATATGATGAAGCATTGATTTATTTTGACTAACTGTAATCAATAATTAATTGGATCCAAAAACTCAGACTTTTTAAATTGGACTGTGTTCATTCAAGCATGCCCTCTCGTTTGAATTCACAAATCAATAAATAGAATATAGATTATGGCATTATTTCCTGAAATAGTAATTGTCTCTTATAATAGTAATTCTGTAAATTAGTATGTTGGTTCTGTTCAACATTGCACTGGTTTTCTGAAGGTACAATATGGTATGAAGTATCCTCTACCTTTTAAAGTCACAAAAAGCAAAGGAATAAGAAAATGTATGTGTAGCAACTTACATCACGTGTGAGGAACTCCATTGCTGGATAGGTGGACACTGAAGTTATCTTCCACTTCTTGCTGTCAAGCAGCCAAAAGTCATCACAGGTCAATGTCTAAAACAACACAGAACCTTAAATAGATTTTTTGTATATAAATCTATCATGAAGATTCGATGAGAGAGAGAGCGAGAGAGAGCACCTTGTACAAATTTAGTTATTTAAAAGGGGAAATTGTACAAATTTTAGATTAATTTATCAAAAATATCCAACATATGTTTGTTGTATCATTAGCATGAACTACATGAAGGAAAACATTTGCCTATAAAAAATCATATTTAGAATGCTATGATGCATCAAGATTAGAAGAACTATTAAATATCTTTCTGGAAGAACCAGAATGACCTTTGTTGAGAATGTCCCTCAGACACTTTAATAACCTTATCAGTCCCAAAGATCAAGAAACTACTGAGGATTAACCTAACTTTCGAACATTTTTAGAATTGTAGTAACACCCCATGGAAAAGACTGACCCTACGTTGCAAAGACAGAAGTATATTAATTTCCCTGGCAATATGTGGATTTAGTTTTCTTCTCTGATCACCTTCATAGAATTCCCAGGATGACCTCTGAATATAGTCTTGCCCAATGCAAATGAGACATGATTTCTCTGACTACTTGTTACCCAATAAAAAAGCCTGGGGTGTATTTCTAACAAAGAGAAGCAGCCTGCTATCAAGGATCAAGGAATAGATGAAACATTCTTTTAGGGTTAAAGTGTAGAAGAGAACTTGTCTCTGCTACTGTATTATAGTTAAAACCACAGACTTATGTTCTCTGCTCTTAACCTTTCTAAACATTTAGCCTTACTTTTCTTTACTGTTAACATATCATACCAATATTACAGTAAAATTCCATTTTATCAGAATAGGTTGGAACAGGGATCATTTTATTAAAATTGTATTTCCTGACAGAAGAGAAGGTACCAATTTAATCTAAGAACTTCTGGGTAGAGGTGAAAATAGAGACTTTGATCCCAGTGAATAATTGTAATAAAAGCTAAAGCTGCTGGTGTTCTTTCCTTTTTCCTTTATAAATTAGATTATTTTTTAAAAATCAATTATAATTTCATAAAAAGTACACCAGCTCATGCAATTCTCTTACTAGGCAATAACTGTCATTTATATTAGAAAGAGATGATATAAAATTTGTGTTTGTTTTACCCATTACAAATTTGGTTAATTTGTTTCTCATTATGTTTGTGCTGCCAGGATATCCTATTAATCTGTCCAGTTAAATTGTTTAGAATTTGTGCTCATGAGACTTTGTAAAAACTAATCATCTATAAAAGCTGTGTAAAGGCTGGTAATTTTGCACTGAAAACAATATTTTCCAGCACAAAATGGTATCAATCACCACCTATAAACAAAAAGTTGCCTTATAGGGGGAAAGGAGATGGAGCAGGATATATTTAATTTAGTATCACTCCACTCTACAGGAAAAGTTCAAAATACACTTTTTACTGGCTATTGGAGCTTTTTCAAATGCTTATCAAGCTCTGGGTGGTGTGTCTCAGTGGATTGAACACTAGCCTACGAACCAAAATATTGCTGGTTTGATTCCCAGTCAAGAGACATGCCTGAGTTGCGGGCCAGGTCCCCAGTTGGGGGCATGTTAGAGGCAATCAATGTTTCTCTTGCACATCGATGTTTCCCTCCCTTCCTCTGTCTCAAAAAGTAAATAGCGACTCATTTTTTAAAAAATGCTTATCAAATTAAGAAGAACAGGAATTATACTAAACTGACTTTGAATTGCATGAACTTAACCAAATAGCTCTTGAGTTACATTACAACTAAAACCAGTTTTTGAGAACCAAAATGAGACAAACCAGTGAGAACAAGAAAACGTGATGGTGATCTTTGTATATTGATTTATATTTATGTTTTAGCTGTTTGAAAAAGTCAAAGAAGTTTGTCCGAACGTGCATGAGAAGATCAGAGCTATTTACGCAGACCTCAACCACAATGACCTGGCCATCAGCCAACAGGACCAGCAGGAGCTGCTCTCCTGCACGAACATCGTCTTCCACTGCGCAGCCACCGTCCGCTTCAACGACAGCCTCCGGTAAGTCCCTGCCTCCCACTTATGGCTTGTGTGTATATGTGTGTAAACACACACATGTGTAAGTTTCCTTATGGTTTCTGTTTTGTTTTTTTTAAAGAAGATATTCTCAATGAAAAAAAATGCAAAGGAGTAACACTTCTCCAAAATATTGCATTCCAGAGATAAGCATTTAATATTGTGGAGAACATCCATTCCAATTTTCTTTATGCATCCATAACGAGATTGTTATGTTTAAATTTACAAACAAAGGCATCATGCTGAGAATGCTTCGCAAACAGCTCAATTATATATTTATTTTTCATTAGAAATGAATGTTCTATTATACTGTGTAATGACTACATGAGACTTCATTGTACACATATGTAATATACTCAATCAGTTCTGTATTGGTGGACAGTTTTTAGATTTTTCTAATTTTTCACTTTTATAAACAGCTCTGCAATGAACATCTTTGTGCAAACATGTTTTTTAATACCTTTGTGTGCTTCCATTTGGGTAACTTCCTAGAAATAGAATTGTTAGATATATATCAAATGTGCCCAGATTATGAACAATTTATAGTTTGTCATGTTATGCTAAATTGCTCTCCAAAGATATGGTATCATCAGTTTACACTGTCCCTATGCACATGAATGCTCATTTCTGACACCCACAAAATACGTTATTATAATTCTTTAATTCTCTTTAATGTTGTCAGTATGATCATGGAAATGGCATTGAATGTTTTTATTTCTTTGATAGTCAAAAGGTAAAAATGGTTAAATACTGATTGGCATCTTATTATTCTGTGAATTGTCTGTCCATGGTTTTTGCCTATTTTTCTTTTGGTAACCTTTTTTCCTATAAATATTAAGACCTTGAAAGATTTAGCAATTCTTTGTTTGTTTTTTTTTTAAGTAAGGCTCCAAATATTTTAACAGTTTATCATCTGTTATCAAACTTGTTTTTATTTTTTATGAAATTATTTTAAAATTCTTCTAGTATTTTTATTGTTTTATTTTCACATTTCAGTCTTTGACCCATTTAAAATTTATTTATCTATAAACAAGGAGGAATAGTCGGGAAAATTCTATAAAAAGAAGAATGATGTAGGTGTGAATGTAGCATAAGCTTTTTTATTAATTCCTAACAGATGATTATTCCTGAAACAACATTTATTAAATGATTTGTTTTTACTCTTTATTTCAAAGGAAATATAGTAAATTCCCATTCTAACTCTTTATTTAGTTTCATTAATTAGGCTTTCTCTTTCAACATCATAGTACTTTAATTACTGTAATTTTATTTTATTAGGTGAGTATACATACGTTATTCTTTTTAAGTAGGATTTTCTCGACAATTCTCACCTGCTTATACTTCCTGATTAAACTTACAATAATTTTACCGTTTTTAAAAAGGTTAGAAATTTGATTGGGATTACATTGAATATGTAGATTCATTTAGAAAAACTTTAACATATTTAAAACATTGGTTCTTCCTATCAAAGAACAATATATGTCTTTCCGTTTATTCATTTTCTTTGTCATGACCCTTAATGAAGTTTTATCATTTTTTAACATAGAGTCCATTAATTTGATATATTTTTAAATATTGGATTCTAAATGTGTGCCTTTCTTCCATTGTTTTCTCTAATTGTTGTTTCTATACAAGAAAGCTAGTGATTTTTTTACATAACTTTTATAAATGGACTCCTTACCGAACTGCCATACTGCCTATCCCAGATTTCATTTTCGCTGCTTCTGTTTGTTTTCCAGGTATACAATTATATAATCTGACACTGGGCTTGTGACCGCCTTTCAACATTTATAACTGTTAATTTTATTTTCCTAATTACAAGGCTGAAACTTCAGAGAAATGTTAGGTTATAGTAGTGCTTGCAGACACGCTCGATCCTGATTTTAAGAGCAGCGCTCATACCTTTTCCCCATGAAGCCTGATACAGGCTAGCTGTGTTTCCTTCTGCTTAATTTTCTCCAGACATGCCGTGCAGCTTAATGTTATCGCCACCCAGAAGCTCTTGCTCATGGCCAGTCAGATGCCAAAGCTCGAGGCCTTTGTACATATCTCTACTGCCTTTTCAAATTGTAACCTGAAGCACATTGACGAAGTTATCTATCCATGTCCCGTGGAGCCAAAAAAAATCATTGATTCCATGGAGTAAGTTGGGTCAAACGAGGGGGGTAGGGGTGGGCCAATTGTTGTTCTCTTTGATTGTTGGTGATCGTTCATTAATGAGGTAACAGCATGAAACACCCTTGAAACAAAGTGCTAGTTTAGGATTGAATACTGTACTTGGGGACAGTTTACATAGAAGAGGTTCCTCAATTCAACTCAGCATTGTCACTGAAGGAAATTGACCGTATGATATAAAAATTCAGAAGACAGGTTTTGGAGTCAGACTGACAAAGGTGCAACATTAGGCTCTGCAACTTACTAGCTGTGTGACACTGAGCAAGTTCCCTGGCCTCACTGGCTCCAGTTCCTTCATTTGTGCAACGAGGCTAGTAATAGTGCCCATCTTATAGTTGTGATGATAAATTGATAAACACAAGCAATTATCGCAGTGTTAGCGGTGCTTAACAGCAGATAATCAAAAGGTTAGTAAGGAAAAACTAATAGAGGACAGGAATTCCTCCCAAATTTTGCAGAAGGAGTCAGTCTCTTGACCTCTTTGGCCAAGATATACATTCCTTACTTTCCTATTGTGCAGGAGAAATAATGTCTAGCGTTTTATTTCTTCTTGCCAACCAACAGAAACCACTTTATCCTTAGGACATGACCTCAGTCTCACAGTAAGTATGTTTCTGTTTTCTGCTTCTTTGTTCTTTTGCTCCATTTACTAAGTTTACCTTTCTCATTTGTTATTTTTTTTAACTCTGCATAAAAAGCAGCATAGCAGAAAAAATAGACTATTTCACACTGAATTTGTCAGATTGTCATTTCATAAAATACTGCATTTCCACTTAAGATATATTCTTTAAAATGACGCTTTAGCTAAATCAAGAATTCAGTCCCCTCAGGGCAAATATTTTTATCTCATATACTTTGAGAATAGATATTTTTACCTGTCATTAAAAATATCCAGGACAAAGAAGACTGAAAGTCATTTTAAAGACCTGGAGGTTACTTAAAGTTGCTAATAAATCATGCTTTGCCTAATTGGGGAAAAGAAACCTCTCAGAGTCCAGAGTCTGTCAGGATAGGCAGAGAAAAGATACCGTGATGCCCAAAGGCAGGGCAGAAAGTCGATGTCCAGCACCTCAGAGCACGTCCAGGGTGGAACTGATCTGTCAGTGAGCTGCCTGCCTCCCTGGAGGGCTGGGTCTTGGTAAATAAGGTGCTGACGTATTGATAGGCCCAGGAAAGGGGCAGCCCTCCTCTGGTTCCAGACCCTGGCCCTGAGATTCCACAGGCTCAGCCCACCACTTGCACCCAGCAGGTTATAGCCCAGTTTGAGTGGGCACAGAAGTCCTGAGAGTGCACCCGAAAAAAGAGGTGGGAAATGAACATTCAGTTCACCCGTGGCGAGAGGGATCTCCAGGTTCTTCATACAATTTCCTGCCTCCCAAACTGTGTCCAGACACTCAACACCCTTACACTGCAAAGAAGAATAAACTCACCTTCCAGAGGAGGTCTAGACTTATTCTCCTGTGTTCAGCGTTTCCCACACTCCACCACTAATGTCAACCGATAAAGGCAGCTGATTGCTACATGATTTATGATCTGTCATTGACACTTGTCTAAAATTTATGTTTATGTCATGTACTGTTCCCCAAAGAGAATGATTATTTAAGTAAATATGCAGCCAAACAGAACTAGGAATGAAATTATATTTTATCTCAGCAGAATACATTTTGAATGCAATTAAGGAGCTTAGGTATTTTTTACAACAGGGGAAAATTTATTAACTCATAATTTTATGTTCAGGACCGCCCGTCCAGATGCTACTCTCAGCCCTCCCCTCACATTTGTGCTACAATCACGCTGAAGGGGTTACTCCTCTTTCTCTTACCGCCTGCTTTGGTGTATTGTAGTTCTGTTCCTGAAGATGACTTTGCCTCTGCCTCAGATTGTCAAAGCTCCCCCCAGAATCCCTCAGGCTTAGTACCCAGTGCTCGTTCTAAATATCTGGGTGCTTATTTGTGTTTTCCATTAGACAATAAGCTTCTCAAGGGAAGGGAAGGTGCCTGGCTCCTTCTTGCTCTCCAGTGCCAGCAGACAGTAGGGACTCAAATATTTGCTGAATGGATGAAAACTTTTTGAGGGCATTAGATGATCGCCGTGCAGACTCTTTTGGCTGGGGGTGGGTGATGTTTGTTTGTTTATGTGAGTTTGTTTGTTTTTGACAAAGCAAGAATAGATGACAGAATTCATAGTATGTTGTTATTCTGGGATGTAAAAAACCTATAAGGTCCTGACTGGTATAGCTCAGTGGTTTGGGTGTCATCCTGCACACCTTTGTTGTCCTGCAAACTGAAAGATCACCAGTTCAATTCCCAGGCAGGGCACATGCCTGGGATGAGGGCCAGGTCCCCAGTTAGGGGTGTGTGAGAGGCAACCGGTTGATGTTTCTCTTGCACATCGATGTTTCTCTCCCTCTTTCTTCTTCCCTTCCCCTTTCTCTAAAAATAAATAAATAAACTATTTAAATAAAATAAAATACCTATAAGCTCACATCTTATCTCTGTTTCCAGATGCTCATTTTTTCCTCTTAAACTTCAAATAAAACATAGATGTTAAACTTTTGAATAACCAACTGCATCAATGTTCATGACTGTTTCAACAACCTCTATATCCGATGAAACTTTTTTGAAGTTCAAGAATAACAAATACCATTAAAGTTATTCTGAATAAATATTAATTTACCTAATTTAGTTACTTTGTTTTAAAATATAGTTATTCTCTGATTTCTTCTCTATTTTGTAATGGACCTAAGGTTAAAATAATTATTTCCCAAGATTTTTAGGTTTTCATTTCCTTAAAAATGTTTATAAAAAGTAACCACCTAGCATCTTGTAGCTGTTCTTATTCTTAGTATCGCAGTGGTCCTCATTAAAAAAAAAAAAAAAAAAAAAAAAAGAACCAGGAATTAGACAACAAAATGATCTTAAAGCTGTACTCTGGGCTTTGTGATCTCATGACAGTCACCTACATAAGTATATTAATTGACTGGATGTGGGGAATCCTCCACAATGTATATGTATACCAAATCATCACAGTGTACACTTTAAATATTTCACAATTTTATTTGTCAATTATACCATAGTAAAGCTGAAAAATATAATAATACAAAAAGAAACTCACCCATGAAACACTAAAACAAACCTTTCTTTTCCCAGAAAACCAGTTTAATGGGAATTCCAATTCTGGGAAATTAAAGAGGATTTGCACTTTTTGCCAGAAACCTTCCCAGTTACACAGGCCCAAGTGATCCTGCTCAGTGCCGTTAACAAAGGGAGTGGGACTGTGGGCTTAACCCTGACACCCACCGTCCCCGCCCCATCCTTTCCAGCGCACAGCTCAGCACCTCCGCTTAATTGGCATGACAAGCATGGCCATTAACCAGTGTCATGCAACTGGGTTTCCTGGCTCTTAGACCTGCAGTTGTCCCACACCTCATCCCAACCACCACAGTCAGGTTATCATGTAATGTGTCACCTTCCTACTTGTGTCTGCCTTTATAGTTCTGGCTTCTACCTCATCGGTGGTATTTACCTTTAGAAACTCATGTGCATAAATGGATCAGAGATTGCCAGTGAAATTCCATTTTTTTCAGAATAACAGCTTAAGTATGTTTTTTTTTTTTTTAAATGCACATAACTGACTGGGAAAGACTGGGCTCTGGGGCTGGTGCTTCCCATGTTTTCCAGGCCAAGGTCTCCTCTCTTGGGGGAGCTGGTGAAGGAGACAATGGCTTTGAGCCTGTATAAAAGCCTGAAATAACAAGAGTTAGGAACTAGAAAAATAGGTCCATACATATTTACTGCTTTATTTAACATACTTAAATCAATTTAGTAAAGTTGCAGTAAAGAGGAAAGGATGGCTATGTTGAGTAATTATTGTAAGCAAGGATACTTTCTGACACTTTTAATTCCTTAACATGACATTGTAGGGTTGATAGTACTACTATCGCTGCACTAAGAAAGGGACAATCGCATAGGGAGGCTAAGTCACTCGTCAGAAGCCTCTCAGCCAGTAAGTCAGAGACACAATTTTCCTCCACAGCCACATAATTCTGGCTACAGGGACGTAGTCTTCCCAGTATACCCACAGGCTTGGCAGAGCCAGAGATGAAAAAGGTGCTTTCTTAAGATATAGACTGTGTTTTCAAGGAGCTCACCATCACACATGAACAGAGCAGAGGAGATTACATATGGTCTGTGGTGGAAGAGATGGTACATAGTACATCTGATGGAATTGGAGGGAGTAGAAAAACTACAAAGGCAGGCATAGGAGATGGACTTGGAAGAACAGATGAGACCAAGGCACATGTGAGGCAGAGCGACTGGAACAGGCAACCCTGGGACATGTTTGATACCGATGTAAGTCCATTTTGGCAGCACATATGCTATGTGCAGGGATCAAGCTGGAGAGGGAGGCTGGGGCCATATCCTGGAGCTTTTGAGTACGCTGCAGAGGACTGCCCTTAACTCTAGGTGGCGGGGACCCATTGAGGTAGGGCTGTGTGTGTGTGTGCATGTGTGTGATAGTTGTTTTATTTTGATTTATTTAAGCAAAGACTTGGATGGAAATAAGCAGGAACATTAATTTGGTCCTTCTGGGAAAGGGATGTAGGTGGACTTGAGGAGCGGCCTGAGGCAGGCAGGCCCGCTACCTGAGAGGGAGTCATGGAGAGGAGTGGGGCGTGGCCACAGATGCAGAACACCCGTGTGTTCTGGGAGAAAAAATACAATAAGACACGGCTAATGCTTTGCCTATGGGTCTTACACATGTTTAATTAGCTATCAGATTAGAATATGCAAATTGCCACAGTTTACATTTCTAAATAGTACCCAGAATTTAATTTCTTTAAAGCTTCATTCTGTTGAAGCTTTTACTCAAAGAAGCAATGCCTTTTTGAGACCTAATCCCAATTTATGCAAATTGTAATAACTTAAATTTGTGAAGTGGGGCTCTTTTAAATTAGCGATCCCCCGATTTGCCTGGCACAAGAATCACCACGTTACTAGGGGTTATCACCACTAAAGTTTGAATTAGCTGTCCCAAGAGGGAACCTCAGAATCATCCGGGAATCTGGATGTTTGTCAGAGGCTTCACGCAAGTCTTAGAGCAGGCAAGCTTGGGAAAAAATGTTTCAAGGGCTTTCTTGTATAGCAGTTTTCATTTGCAGTAGGGTTCCTTCGTATTCCAATAATCGGTGCAGCATCTTTCTCCAACTCTCTGCACCCTTCTCTTGTCTTTTAACTTCTAGATGCTTTAATTCAATAAAAGTCCCTCATATTTGTACCTGCTAAAAATCACACTTTTGAAGCTCCCAGAAGGCACAGCTAATCTGCCATGTGACAAAGAAAAGGTGTTTCTTGATCAAACACAGCACACGTAGCGGTCAGCTCTGGCGGGTGGGCTGAGGGTGGAGGGCGAGATGCCGGGGAGATGACAGCCACCAGCAGCCCCAGCCCCCAGTGCGGCCCTTTGGGAGCGAAGAAAGGAGGCCAAGTGTGGGAAGGCAGTTTTGCCTTGGTGCTGAAGATCATGTTGTGCTCACAAAGAAAGCTTACCTACGCTTGGGACCAAAAGGCTGATTTTCGCATTTGTGCTTTCATTCTTGAGACTGTATTATCTCAAGATGGCATCTAAGTAGCTGACACAAAATTGAAAATTCTCTGTATTTGTAATATTACTAGGCTTTAACTACTAATCAGAGCGGAGTTAGAGTGTTTCTTAAACAAACTGAATAATTTTCATGTTGTCAGGCTATTGGAGGCCAGGATAAATGCGCAATAAAAGTTTGGAGGAAAATACTGAAGCCCATTCAACACAAGGATTAGACTCAGATATAAATACCCTCCTTCTCCCCAACAAAAGTTTAAATTGACTCTGAAGCCAATGCTGACAAACCAAAGTTGGTTAACATATATTGGCTTTTAGCTTTCCCCCACCACTAAGTGGATACATTCACTTTCAATTTTGATTCCTTCTCTGCAAAGACATCCACGCCCTTTCTTCCTTTCCCACAGTCTCCCTACAGCCTCACCTCCTTCTAAAGCCACCCATTCCTGCCTGTCACTGGCCAGCTCAGCTTCCAAAAACCTTATACACAGCATAAATTGGCCAATCAAGACCATCATGTGGGAGAACACCCATTTACTGAATTAAATTAGCTGGTTCCTGGGGGCAGGAATGTGATTGGACACAGAGATAAAAACCCAATCCATTCTCTCTGGACGCATTGAAAAGTGAGGCAACGGACACATGAGCAAGAACATATGGCATGGTAATCGCAATAATCAAGGGAAGAACATAATTCAGATGAGAGAAGGAGAGAGCAGACGTTACCATGAAGCAGTGTGTCCAGTGCTTTCTCTCCAGAAAGTTTTCCTGATACACCCATCTGCTTGCCCTGCTTACTGAATAAGAAAATTAAGAGAAAAAAAATATTCCTCAGGCTGTCTCATTTAGTAAATATGTAAATAATAAAGTTATAAATGATATTAAGAGATTGATTCGATAAGTTCCAAACCAAAAAGTAATACTTAGAGGAAATTGTGGGTGTATATATGCACACACACATATTGTTTTCTGAAATCTTTAATAGCCTTTTGCTTCTTTTGAATCAATTTAAGTAGTTTAGAATTTGGGGCCCATGCGTTCAAAACATCCTCTTAAGTACACCAAAAGGCGTTTGTTCGTTTCAGAAATGTACTTTGGTTTCTGTGGTGTCTGTATCCATGCTAACTTACTGTTTTAAAAACAAACTAGAAAAAAATCACTGCAGCAAGTCAAACTTTGGTAAAGAAGAGCATGAACTGATGACTCATCTTAAAAAGAGCACCACCCAACCAGTAGATGCGTGTCCTCGTTACACTCACCTCTGCGAACGCAGCACGTGGCTGAGACAGACAGGCCCTGCTCTGTTTGGCTGCATTAGGAAAAATATTGTAAAAGCCACTACTGCCTCTGTAGATATATGTTCCTTGGTGATTTTACCAAAAATAAGAATGCCTTAGGTTGATTGGCTTATTTTGTTTTATCAAAAAGCTTCAAGTGCAGTTGTGAATATTTTGGTCTGTCTACATGATAAACTAAAACTTTAGAACAGATGTAATTATTGCCATTTTTCACTAGTAAAAATGGGGGAAACAAGATGATGATACAGCTACATACAGGTGTCACTAGGAAGGCTAGAGGCAGGCCAGTACAAAACACTGCGACTTCTTGAGCATTTGTGTTCTTAGAAACCTATGAACCCAACGTTTTCTGAGAAGCAAACTCACCCAACTTGGTAAAGCCTCTAAGTTACCTCTTCAGTGTAGACCAGCACCTGTACAACAACTGGGACCAGCCGTGTGACGTACAATCCTAGTGCATTTCTGGGGTCTGCTGTTTTCTTAAAATTTTATTCTTTGCAAACTTAATAAAATTAGGTGGCATTTCCATCAAATAGGTGAATTGTATGTTATGTGAATTACACCTCAATAAATCTGTAAAAAAAAAGGAATTAGACTATAGATCTTCTGACCCAGTTTTTGTAACCTGTATGTTTTTGCAGGGAAAGAAAATGTTCTTAGGTTATTTAATCCACTTTTGACTCACAAACAAGATGAGCAAAAGATAACATTATTATAAAGATGGAGAGCTGTCTGCATTATCCCACGCTCTCTCGCAGCCCTCAGGAGGCCAAGTAATTGGAGTACCTATTTTCCTAAGTATTTGGAGTTGTTTTTAATTCTAGGAACTTCTCAGACTTTCCCTATTCATTTTAAGTTAAAAGACATTTGAGTATCTAGAAAACACTCAGCACCAGTAGCAGCGAAGAGAAAAACCAAACATTGTAGACAATACTGATGTTTCACTCCAGTAGGAAATGAGAGTTATTAAAATTGAGAATTGTGTTTCTGAACAAGTCTTGGGATAAACACATCTTAAATGCTCAACAATTTGAAATGGGAGCAAAGTGGTAACAGCTATGATTTTTCTACAGTCAAAACAGTATGATTAAGCTCAGTTCTGTAAGATGGGAATAAATGTATCAAATCACACTAACATTTTTTTGTAGCCTAATTTTTAAAAACTAAATTATATCAAAAGTCTGACCAAATAGATCTTCCAGCTAAGAGAAACATTAAATATTTAATTGACAATAATTTTATTGCTCTCTTCAAGAATTGCAGATAGACTTTGAGATTATCAAAATGGTTCTGACAACTTTAAAACAATTAGGCTGTTGTCATGGTAACTCAGTTGTTTATTTTACATGTTTTCTTGTAAGTAGAAGTATTCAGTAATCACTGCTTCAGAGTACCATAATCACTCCACTTGACAGGCTATTAATAGTTTTTAGAGCACTTTAGAATTATCTCAAAATCTCTAGAAGTTATTACTAAGTTATTAGCACAGACTCTAAACAAACCTTCAAAATACATTTCATAGATTTGCTAAAACAGATTATAAGTCTGCCAAAAGTAGTTGCTTTTATTTGTTGAGGCATTGAGTGGCATTTTAAAAATTAAAAGCTGAAGTCTACAAGATCAGTGTCTAGGTTTTGGCTGGACAACATGCATGAGTGGGCTGCCACAGACACACCTTGAACGAGAGAGCTTTGCAACTCCATGAGTGCACCCAGCATGCCCCTGGGCTCACGATTGGCGCTCCCAAATATGTTTGATGGATATGCACTTTCGAACCTGTTAGAGAGGAAGTAATTGAAGATAGAGATTATATGTAATCAAGTCGTAGGCTGCACAGCTGTTCGGCCTATCTAGGCGGGAGAAGGTAGGAGTTAGCTGGTAAGGCGGGGCTTGGCTGTGGAGAGCAAAGAGCTCACACAGGATTTGACAATGTACACACTCAGCCTCGGTATCCTGTGACTCTTCTGACTGTCAGAACTCAAGCTAGAAAGTGGAAGTTTTACTTGATTGTGTCTCACAGTGTCATTTTTGGTTTATTGTCTAACATATGTTGCTAGAGTTCTTTTTCTCTCTGACTGCCTTCAGGTGGTTAGACGACTCCATTATTGATGAGATCACACCCAAGCTGATCCATGACTGGCCCAATACTTACACGTACAGCAAGGCCTTGGGAGAGATGGTGGTGCAGCAGGAGAGCGGGAACCTGAACATCGCCATCGTGAGGCCCTCCATCGTGGGAGCAACCTGGCAGGAGCCCTTCCCAGTAAGGCACTCACGCGATCCCTTGCTCCACTTCCGAGCCTGCGTCCTTCTAGCCCAATTACTTTCTGCGCATTCTCATACTCTCTCTCTCTCTCTCTCTCTCTCTCTCTCTCTCTCTTTCGATGTATAGCTGAGTGTAGTAAATCAAACACAAACCCATTTTAACTGAGCAAAATTTCTCATTTGGTTCGGGAATTACTCAGCGTGAGGCCCCTCCAGGATTTACACTGACTGCTCTGGAAGTTGGGCGAAGCTCTCAGATTAGCTTCTCATTAACTCTAGTCTTAAAGTTTCCATGGGAGATACTGTCATTTCTTGCTTTTCTCACTAAAGGTTAAATATACCAGGATGTTCTTGATGGCAAAATTGGTGGTATTACAACAGCCTGGATAAACAAGAATCACAAAGCTCACAGAAGGTTCTCAGTTTAGAAATAGTAACTTTTAACCTCTATATGCTGCTCTACCCTTTTGAAAGCACTTTGGATTGCAGTATCTTCTTTGAAGCAATTCTGAGAAGTTTTAGGGCCGTTTAAATTCGAGCTCCACCCCATAATGACATTGCCAGTTTTGAGTTGTCTCATTTGTAAAACTGGGCTGTTTTACCAGATCCACCCACTTTGGAGAGGGGACCGAATGAGACAATGTATGGGGAGTGCTGAGCCGTGCCTAGTCCCCAGTAAAAGGCTCAACAGAAGCCCTTCCTCTCCTCCTCTCTTCTGTCTCCTCTCCCACTTGACACATGCATTTCAACTTTTACAGATAAAGAAACAGACACAATAAGGTCAGCTGACTTGCTGAGGGCTGAGGAGACAAACTCAAAGAAGACATTTTCCTCCAACTGCCCCTAACCATAATCTTCTCTATAACACTTCTAAGCAAGCTAATATAAATACATCAATTGATAGCATGGATGGTATGACTGTTAAAATTCTCAAGAAATTGGTAATTCCTACAAATTATGTTTGAAATGTGCCCCTGGGGAGATAAAATCAGTTCCCAGATGGAGGGAAGTGATGGTTGATGAATTGGTTAGCAGATTGTGATAGTAATACAAAGTCCAATTTAGCCCCAAAGATGCCATTAAAACAATTTGAAGCTCTCCATAACTCCTGCTGGCAGAATATTCATTCTTGCACAAATAAAATGCAGAAAATAGGCAGTGATTTGCCATTGACCTTTGTTTGTGATGTGAGATCTACTAAATCAGACAGTTATATATAGGCTTGGATCTCAGGGCTTCTGTTCGAAATGTATTAAGATTAGACTGCAGTTGTTCCAAAGGTATTAAAATATTCTGACATGTATGACCGATAGAGATCTTCTTTTTTTTTAGGGTTGGGTTGATAACATAAATGGACCCAGTGGGCTCATTATTGCGGTATGTATAATGACGTGGAAATAATTCTTTGAGATATGGTGGAGAGATAGTAACTAACAACAGCGTAGTGTTGGCTTAGCTTCATTGATCCAAAACCATAAATGTTACTTTATTAACTGCAACTGAAGCATCTTATCTCAGTTTGGCTGACCGAAAAATAGAGGCAGGATGAAATTACTATGATTTTTGGATTTTATTTTCAGGAAAACTAATGTGTTGTGATATCAATTACCAGTTAGGAATTTGTTTTTGGAAAGCCTTTGAGCATTGAGGACCATGTCTGTAGTTCCCTTTCATCCCACTAGATGGGGGTGTTTCCTCCTTTTTGTTGTTCATTAATAGCTTGAATTAAAGAAGCAAACTGGGGATATGATAAAAAATCATATTCACAATAATCATTAAAATCTCGATTATAAAATGCATACAAGAACTTGTGTGTGTGGATATAGGTCATATAAATGTATAAAATACATTAATAACCAGTTCTTAATAAATATAAGAAAGAGAACTACCAATGGAGCAAACATTTCAAATTAAAAACTGGCAAATAGCCCTGGCTGGTGTGGCTCAGTGGATGGAGTGCCAGCCTGTGAACCAAAGGGTTGCCAGTTCGATTCCCAGTCCGGGCACATGCCTGGGTTGCAGGCCAGGTCTCCAGCAGGGGACGCACAAGAGACAATCACACATTGATGTTTCTCTCCCTCTCTCCTTCCTTTCCCCACTTTCTGAAAATAAATAAATAAAATTGAAAAATACAATAGAGACTTTTCAGTAATAATCCTCTCACCTACAAGGACAAGTGTCAATGGTTCCTTTAGGTCAGCAGGTCTTTGTGAATGTCTTCCTGCAGCAGAAACTGAGCCAGTCTGAGCTGAGCTGCTTCACAGTTCATGTTAAAGCATTCAAGGACCAGAACCGCAACTCTGTTCTTTAGAACAATGAATAGCAATTCAATTCTCTGAGTTTAAATCTTACAAACCTCATCTTCAGACCCTGCCTCTGTTGTCAGAGCTAGGTCAATATGAGCTAAGATACAAATATAAGACAGTGAATTATGACTACTTGTCAAAAACAGTGATAATGAAGTTTCTTATTTCTTTTATTTTCCAGCAGTTTCTAGCTTCTCTTTTTTTGTTCTCTACCTGCCTTCCTCTTTAAGGCTTAGTTAGGATGAACATTTGGTAACTTAGAACCTCACTATTCTAACATGACCCTAGAGTATATTTCATTACATTCTTTACAAAACTGCACATTTATTCAAGTTACCTAAAATTTTCCAGTCCACTCTCCATATGCCTAAGTGTGCTCACCATTGTTTTAGTGCTCCTGCATATGTCTCACCAGGAGATTACAAGAATCCAAGCTTTAAATTTACACTTTGAGGAGGAGGGAAGGAGACAAAGAGGGAGAGAAACGTCAATTAGTTGCCTCTACTATGCTGCCCGACTGGGGACAGAACCTGCAACTCAGTTTCAAAGGTGGGGACACAGAAGACCAAAGTTTTTCACTTGGACTCCAGACCTCTGGGCAAGATGGAGGTGTAGGTAAACATGACTCGCCTCCCTGAACAACCACAACAAAAATTACAACAAAACTACAAAACAACTATCACCCAGAATTACCAGAAAATTGAGCTGTAAGGAAGTCCAATAACCAAGGAATTAAAGAAGTCCCATTCATTCAGTTGGGTAGGAGGGGCAGAGATGAGAAGATGCAGAGACACGGAGCCAGCAGTCCCACACTCACCTGCTGTGAATAAAAAATGGGAGGGCTATCTCAGGAATGAGGGATCCCAGCCCTACACCAGGCCTCCCAGCCCAGTGTTCCAGTGCCAGGGAGAGAAGTCCCCATAACTCCTGGCTGTAAAAACCAGTGGGGGAAATTCCATACTGTTTTCCACAGTGGCTGCACCAGTCTGCATTCCCACCAACAGTGCACTAGTGTTCCCCCTTTTCTGCCTTTTGACCCTGCAATTCCACTGCTGCATTACCCTAAGAATCCTGAAACACTAATGCAAAAGAACCTCTGCACCCCAATGTTCACAGCAGCACAATTTACAATAGCCAAGTGCTGGAAGCAACCTAAGTGCCCATCAGTAAATGAGTAGATAAAAAAACTATGGTGCATTTACACAATGGAATACTACGCAGCAGAAAGAAAGAAGGAACTCCTACCCTTGGAGACAACATGGGCGAATTTGGACAGCATTATGCTAAGCAAATAAGCCAGGAAGTGAAAGACAAATATCATATGATCTCACCTATAAGTGTAATCTAATCAAGAAAACAAACAAGCAAACAAAATATAACCAGAGATACTGAAATAAAGAACAAACTGACAGTAACCGGGGAGGAGGGGTGGATAATGGAGGGGAAAGGGGGAAGGTTCATCCAAGAACAACATGTAGAAAGGGCGCATGGACAAAGCCAAAGTGGAGTAGGATCGAGGTTGGGAGGTGAGGATGAGTGGGGTGGGGAGGGAGTAGTAGTTGGGGGAAAATGGAGACAACTGTACTTAAGCAGCAATAGAAAAACAAACAAACCCAGTGGGGGTTGTGGCAGCAGAAGAAACTGCAGGATTCTCAGGTGTATCCTCTTTAAGGGTCTGTGATGAACTTAGGACTCACACAGACTCACTCCCTCTGGGCTCCAGCACTGGGGCAGCAGCTGGAAGGGCACCGGTGGCAAACGGGGAGAAGCTAAAGTGTCTGGCATCAGGCTGAGTGCTGGGGGACAGCTTCCTCCCAGACAAAACTCCAGAGGCCTGGCAGTGGTCATTGTCCCTTTTCTGAGCCCTCCCTCACAAGGAGCCACAGAATGGCGGCACCATATCTGAGACTTCATCAACCTGGTTCACATGGGTTATCCTTCCCAGGCAATTACCTAATGCTCCACTCCACTCAACTTAAGGGCACTCTTTTCTACAACAGACCACACTACTAAGACAGGCGGTCAAAGCAGCTGTACCTAAATCATAGAAACAAATAGGCTGCCAAATTATGGCTCAAATGAAAGAACAGAACAAAACTCCAGAAAAAACACTAAACAAAATGGAGATGAGCAATCTGTCAGATGCAAAGTTCTGAACACTGGTTATTAGGATGCTCAAGGAACTCGTTGGATACTTCAACAGAATGAAAAAGACCCAGGAAGAAATACAGGTTAAACTAAGTGAAATAAAGAAAAATTTACAGGGAATCAACAGTAGAGTGGATGAAGCCAAGAATCAGATAAATGGTTTGGAACACAAGGAAGAAAAGATTCAATCAAAATAGCAAGAAGAAAAAAGAATTAAAAAAAAAAATTAGGATGAGGTAAGGAGTCTCTGGGACAACTTCAAACATACCAACATCTGAATTGTGGGATGCTAGAAGAAGAGAAAGAGCAAGAAATTAGAAATCTATTTGAAAAAAATAATGAAAGAAAACCCACCTAATTTGGTCAATGTAATAGACATACAAGCCCAGTAAGCACAGAGAGTCCCAAAGAAGATGGACCCAAAGAAGACCACACTAAGACAGATCATAACTTAAATGCCAAAGATTAAAAATAGAGGATCTGAAAAGCAGCAAGAGAAAAGCAGAAGAGTAAATTCATAACTATCAACAATAGAATCTAAAAAACAAACTCAGCAAGCAAACAGAATAGGAACAGAATCATAGACATAGAGATCATTTGGATGGTTACCAATTGGGAGGGAAAGAGGAGAATGGAGGAAAAGGTTCGGGAATTAAGAAGTACAAATTGGTAGGTACAAAATAGACAGGGAGATGTTAAGAACAATATAGGCAACAGAGTAGCCATTAAACATATACATGACCCATGGACATGAACTAAGCGACGGGATGGCTGGAGAGAATGGGGGGTGCTGGATGGAGTGAGGGTAAGGGGGAAAATTGGGACAATTGTAATAGCATAATCAATAAAATATATTTACAAAATTAAAAAATAAAATTTTCCAAACTGGTGTCTTCTGTCCAAAAGAATCAGTTACAAGAATACAGAAATTAGGAACATAAAGTGTTAACAACCACTGAAAATCAATGTTGGAAATATGCAGGGTGTAAATAATCAATTCCTTCATAAAATAAACAAAGCTTTTTACTTATTCACTGGCTTATTTATTGGCATTACTTATTTATTAACATGAATAATTCCCAATTATTGCATCTATACAACATTGGTGATCTGTGAGGTGAACTCAGTTACCATATTAAAAGTAAATCATGGTGGCCTTTTCCCAGGGAATAACAAAGTTGTTGCTGAATAGTAGAATTTTATTAATTTTTAAAAAGAGTTTACTTACTTGTTTTTTGGAGAAGCGGGGAAGGAAAGGAGACAGAGGGAGAGAAGCATCTGTTGGTTGTCCTTGGTACACTCCCTGATCTGGGGCCAAAGCCGCAACCCAGCCATGCACCCTGAGAAGGGACTGAACCAGCGACCTTTCACTTTGCAGGATGACACCCAGAGAGCTGAACCACACCAGTCAGGGCAGAATTTTTATTAATTAAAAACAATAAATACTTCTTAAATTTTTAGTGTCTGCTATTGCTTATAAGTTAGTAAGCACTAGCAGAAAACAGCAAAATTTAAGTAGTCCACTAATAGAGGATTAATGGGAAATTTGGAAAACCTTAATTATTGAAGTGTCTTTTGAATTAATTTTTAAGCTGTGGAAAAACTATTCTTGGTGTTTGTTAATTAATTAAGTAGATTACCTCTCACAAATTTGAAAGATTTCATTCCCTAAAGGAACCTAAGGACCACGCACTAGGGGGTCATGGGAATGTTGGCAATTTGGGATGTACATGGCTGGAAAGCTGGGCAGTTGGAGAGATGGCAGCCTTTGTACAGTAACCTAGTACGGGGCGAATTGATGCTAGCTGCCGTAACTAAGCATCAGCATTAGCCCCCGCTGGCACCTAAGATCTGGTTCAATATTCCATGTTCTTCTTCCCATGCAGACCGGGAAAGGCTTCCTCCGGGCCCTGAGAGCTGCTCCAATGGCTGTGGCAGATCTGATTCCAGTCGATACAGTCGTCAATCTCACCTTGGCTGTAGGATGGTACACAGCAGTTCACAGGTGTGGATGCTAAGCTGGCTTTCAAAGATTTGATGTTAAGGAGGGTAAATATATGAGGCTTATTTTCAAAATATATGCATTTTATTGTAGGAGATCCCAAATGTGAGAAGGTATCTGTTTCAATAATTTACATAGTTCCAAATATGCCATCATATATGCATTGAGTTATTTTACTAGCACTGCTTAGTGCTTCATTGATCGTAAAATAACAAACTCTTTAAATGAACCATAAAAATCATTGATAACTAAAATAATAAATTAAATTGGATTTTTTTCTTATTTGATGTCAGACATTTAGATGTTTTCCAAACCAGCAGGGCCTTGCTGAATTTAGGAAAAAAACACTTAGCCTATATTTTTGCCCAGTAAACGTGTTCCTAAATTAGAAATATGATAGGCTTTCTCATCATAACACCTCCATTTGCTCCACATCTATGTCAGCCTATTTGAGATCTCACACACACACACATACACATACACACACACTCTTTTCCTAGACCCAAAGAAAGAACAAAAAATCGAAGGCTGCCTAGGTTGCCTTACTCGAGAATTATTGAAACAACCATGTCTAAATATTATTTTCCCTTATCTTTCTTTCATTAGTTCTCCATTTTGTTGTATTTATCTAAATTTTACTTTATTTTCCAGACCTAAATCAATATTAATCTACCACTGTACATCTAGTAACGTTAATCCCTGTCACTGGGGCAAAATGGGTAAGTGCCATAGCGACGTAACTACTATGTCTACCACAGAAAAAAAGAATTAGACAAAGTGTGCCATGGAGTTTAGAGTGGGAAAAAACACAAAAAATAAGTAAAGAGATAAAATATTTACAATTTGTAGATGTACCAAAGAGGGGTCAGTGGGAACATCTGCATGATTGTAAGCAATAAGGGGTCCGATGGCTATAGAGAGCTTTAAAAATAAGTAAAATCAAGTGGAAGTCAGTGAGTATGAGCGATGTCAGTGACAAAACACCGCTCCCGCTGCGGCCACCACGCCCATGCACACTCCACCTGCCCCATTGCTAATAGATACATGTGACTTGACCAAATAGATACAGAAAAGTCCAATAATATAAACTTCTGTTACTGGGTCAGTAATATTCTTATTAGTTGTGCAGTTAGCCATAAAAGTAACCTTGAAGTTATCTTGTTGAAGTAATCCTGCACAGAATAGAAAAAGCTAACCAATCTTATACTCCTTCATCAGTTTAGGAGTTGATTTTCTTGTTGATATCTGAAACTTTAGATCATCTAGCAATTTTTTCAGGTAGCAGGTGTAGAAAAAAAATCAAATGGACTCAATGCGTTAGAATTTGACTTCCAATTGAGAACATTCAGCTGTGCTATTCTATTTGCAGTTATTACCTCAGTGAAAATTAAATGAAATTCTCTAGCAGCAAAGTTCTTTAGAATATATATCTGGTTATTTAGATTATGTATCTAAATAATTCTGAAAACATTTGGAAATAAAAATAAATCTCCTGCCCTGGCTGGTGTGACTCAGTGGATTGAGCACTGGACTGCAAAGCAAAGGGTCACTAGTTCTTTTCCCAGTCAGGGCACATGCCTGGGTTGTGGGCCAGGTCCCCAATGCAGGGGTGCGTGAGATGCTTCCTCACAGCTCACGCCCATAACCACACCTTGATGTTTCTCTCTCTCTCTCTCTCCCTCCCTTCCCCTCTCTCTGAAAATAAATAAAATCTTTTAAATAAATAAATCTCCTCTACCTCAGTAACAGAATTAAGATATCACTCATAAATAAAGGCATTAATAGATACAAACAAAGTATTTTAAGCTTTTAAATAAAAAGATGCTAGATGTAAATTTTATTTCTGATATTCAAACTAGTCTTCTATCATGCTAAAAATTCTTCCTACCTGTTTTAAGGAATTATAGAATCTCATAATTGAAAGTGATTTTAAAAATAATCTTGGCAGTGTGTCTTATTTTGCAAATGAGACTCAGAGAGAGTAAATGTTCTATTTCAAATTCAGATGGGGAATTGATGCCTGAAATAGGAGACAGGTTTCTTGCTTCCCTTGAATTTGCTCTACCCACCCCACTGACGATTTTTAAAGGTGAATATGAATTCCTCCAGGAGGAAAAGAGTCCAGATTCCCAGGTCAGATGATCCTTTTAAACAGAACAATAATTATATTACCAAAATAACAGATGTTTCATCATAACTGAATAATGAACTTAGACATATTCTCTGAAAGTTCTCCATAGATAAAATCAAAATTGAATACAAATGAATATCTTTGGAAAAGAATTATTGAATTTCAAATTTGCATTTAAAGTTTTTAATGAGTTTTTCCCTAAGCAATAATTACAAAAAGAAAAAATATTATGAAAAAGACTCTGGAGATAAGAGTGGACAACTGAGTCTGCTGTCTTCCCAGAGAAGTAGAAATGCCAAAGAAACAAAAGCCTGTGGTATTTAAAGGGAACCAGCACAGAGGAATACAGCCTTCATAGTAAACCCTCAGGTGTAAGGTTTAAGTAGCCCTTTATATATAAAAGTTTAGGTAAAATGTTAAGAAACTTTCCTGATGGTTCTGCAAGTAATGATCCATGCAAGTAAATAAGCCCCTAGGCACCATCTTCAGACTTTTAGAATAGACTAGTTAACTATGGCATTGAGTGATGGATTTAAATTTTTCTGCACAATGCTTCACTACACTGATTAAAACTATTTCCCCTAGAAATTGTTTTAGAGTAAAGATTTCAAGAAGGGAACTCAATTCTTAACCTATTCACAATCCTGTGATGACTTGCCAGGATAAAAATCTTAATACTGTTCTCAGAAATTGATTCCTGACTCCACACAGCAAGCCCTAAATCTCTATCGTTTTGACCCATTTGCAAATGCCATCCATCACATTGGGCTCATAGGCTCTAGACTTACCACTTTCTCTATTTTCCCCCACAGGATGCCAAGTCTTGGCAAGCTGTGAAAAAATCCCATTTGAGAAAGCTTTTAGGAGGCCATATGCTGACTTCACAACCAACACCATCACAACCCAGTACTGGAATGCAGTGAGCCACCGGGCCCCTGCCCTCATCTATGACCTCTATCTGCGGCTCACAGGCCGGAAGCCCAGGTGAGAGGCTGGGGCAACAGCTTTAAGAGCGTCCCTGCATGGAAGATTAGGGCTTTGAAGTCCTTAACCAAAGTCCTCCAGCTGGGGATCAAAGGTGACAACTGAACCACACACACACACACACACACACACACACACACATTTTGGGACAACTGAAGCAATAGGAGTGAGAAGCCCCAGAGGATGCCTCCCTTAAAAATCCTTCATCATAAAAAAGGAAGTTAAATGTTAAGGAACTTCCTTGATGAATTCAGCAAGTAATCATCCATCCAAAAAGAAAAGCATCTGAGACTCTTGTGTCTGGGGTTTTCCAAATTGTTAGGTAATCTTCAAATGTACAACAATACAGCCTCACACGGGTGAGAAGATGCACGATGACTTCCTTTTCCTTCTCACAACCACCCAAGAGAGGATATCCTCATTTTCCCAGTTTTACAAGTGAGGAAACAGAAGCTAAGGGAAGAATTTCAAATAGTCCCAAAGGAAGTACTAGAGGAAAGATTTGGGGAAATCCGAACTAGGTATACTGCCACCTAGAGGTCAGTGGAGAAATTAGAGGGAACTGTGGCAGGACGTTCTCATTCCTCTTTGTCTCACTTGAATGTTAGGTGTGTCTGAAGAGTCATCATTATTATAACCACCAAAGGCAATTGCTGCAGTCAAGAATCGGAAATATGAATAGTCTTGCTTTGCATGCTAGCTTCTTTATAAAGGATGAAGTCTTTCTCAGGACGTTTAATTTCCATTCTTATTAGCAGAGCAAATGACTAAAACTTAGGCTATGTAGAATTTATCCGAATTTTGCAGAAACCTTCTTAAGAGCTGATAACTCAGTTATGGTCAGTTTCTTCTTGAGCAAAATGAAAAGGGGACACAGTGGCGATGGGGAAAATATTTGTATGGGGCTTATTGCATAAAGATGGGACAAGAAGAAAAACTAAACATTGTAAGCAGAAATGCTAAACACTTTAAAACATATCAGGGTTTGAAAAAGACCTGCATAAAGATCAAAGATCAACAAGCAAGAAAGAAAAATACAGGAGGAAGGGACCTAGAAAAAGTTTTTATGAATCTTGTTCATGAGAAACTAAATTGTTATACCTGTGGGAAATGGGTAGGTTTGTTTTGTGATAGGAATTTTAAGAATAATCTTTATGGGAGAAAATGCTAGAATCTTTCTAGACACTTTCCCTCACCAGGCGTGTTTGTGTGTGATGTATGCATTTACAACCACATATGGAAATATATATACTTTCGCTTTGAGGTAAACAGGTACAAGTGCCTATGCATTTTTACAGAATGTGCCAGTGGGTTTGGGGAAGATGCAGAGGGCTGGCACTGCTGGATTGGAGGGTATGTGGTTGCCCGAAGCAAAGATTCTATCAATTTGGCCAACTACGTCAGCATATGAAGGCACAAATTTGTTTTTTCTGACTCTCATCAATACTTTGCAAAAATCAGTCTTTTGAATTGTCAAATTAAAGACAAGAAACAGCATCTCGCTGTTACTGTTATTCAAGCCCCAAGTCCTTAACCCTCTCTTTTGTTCATTAGCTACAACATTTAAGTTTTCTCCTCTGTCACTCGTTCACTAGACATTTGTTCATTAGACATTCAAGTTTTCTGTTCTGAGTAGCCTGCTTCTATTTCTCACCTATTTTTCTATTGGGTTGGGGTTGGTTTTATTAATTTATGGAAACTCATGTATATTTGCTTGTGTGTCTGTGCAGATCTGTATTTGATATATTTTCTTCATGGCTGTTTCTTATGTTATGTCTTTGAATATAAAATTTTTTACATAGAATAATACAAGGGAAACTACATACAATGTGGTTCTTCAGAGCATGGAGTTTGAAGCCAGACTTCTGACTTCACCAATTTATCCACATGAGCCCTAAGTTACTTAATCTCTCTAAAACCTAAAATCCTTACCTGTAAAAAAAAAAGAAGAAGAAGAAGAAGATAATAATCATACTTATCTTAGAGGGTTTTGCATAAGAGAGTGTAGAATACAGTAATCGGTATTATTACTAAAGTTCTAAATTTTTACATGATAAAATGAATCACTCTTAAGACTTTCGCATTTTTGTACTAAGACTACCTTCTCTACCTGAGAAAAATGTTTTTTTCCTTCTAAAAAATACTATTATCCTGATATAGTCCCATACATGCAATGATATTGTACAATGATTATTTTAAGAATGAAAATAAATCTGCCCCAGCTGGTATAGTTCATGTTGCTGGGCACCATCCTGCAAACCGAAAGGTTGGCGGTTAGATTCCTGGTCAGAGCACATGCCTGGGTTGCAACTTTGGTCCCCAGTCGGCAGACATACGAGAGGGCAGCTGATAGATATTCCTTTCTCACACTGATGTTTCTCTCTCCGTCTTTCTCCCTCCCTTCCCCTCCTGTAAAAATCAAAAATAAAGAAAAAATTTAACAAAAAGAATGAAAATAAATTCATTGAAGTCACATCAATTCCATCAGAGTTATAGAATGGATAAAGAGTATCTTATTTCATTTGGCCTGTTACAACAGAATGTCAGGGACTGGGTGGCTTATAAACAAGTGCAATTTATTTTCCACAGTTCTGGATACTGGGAAGTCTGAGGTACAGATGCGGGTCGATCGGGTGTGTGCTGAGGGCTCGCTGCCAGGTTCCTAGACAGCCATCTTCTTTCTGTGCCCTTACAGGCTGCAAGGGCCGAGGTTGCTTTCTGGGTTGTCTTTGGTAAGGGCTCTTCCTCTAAATACCACCACACTCGGGGGAATAGGTTTTGCCATATGAATTTCAGGGGGACACAATAATTCATATATAGCAAAGATGTTAGATAATAACCGCTAAATGGACCCCTGTTATGACATTTGTGTATCCATAAATAATGATTTTACCTCCTACCTAAGAATTTCCCATGATACAATGGGAGAAGTACCTCATGAGTCATGAGTCATTAGGTAAGCAGGCATTAGGATTGATCAGAAATAAGATCAAATTCCCAAAACAGCATCGTAAGTCATTACTGGGTCAACCACAATGATCACTACTACCAAGATATGCCTGGTAAGGTGAAAATCAAATGTTCTATAGACCAAAGGTGATTTGTAGCCAGAAGATCTAGGTTTGAGCATCAGCTATGTGACCATAAACCTATTAATTCTTCTGTAAGATGAAGATAAGTAATATAGATCTTTTCTTAATTTTTAAAAATATTTTTATTGATTTTAGAGAGAGAAGAAGGTGGAGAGAGAAACATCGATGTAAGAGAAACATGGACTCGTTGCTTCCCATACGCACCCTGACTGAGAATCAAACCCACAACCTAGGTATGCGCCCTGACTGGGAATCGAACTGGAACCTTTTGGTGTACGGGATGACACTCATCCCAACCGAGCCACCCAGTCGGGGCAAGTAATATAGGTGTAAACTTCACAGACTCATATTGTGAGGAGCAGTAAGATCATATATAGAAGTTTTTTATAAATTGTTAGGCTGGGAAGTTCACACAGCCGACGTGGTCCCAGGTCTGACCACAGTGTTGGAAGATGTGGCCTACTTTAAGTAATGGGACAGGGTGGTAAGATTACAAAAGCAGAGACTTTTTGAGGTCAGTCAAAGCTGGTTTGGAATTTTGGCTTTTGACACTTATTATTGTGGCCACTGTTTCTTAAGCTCACATTACCCATTCATAAAAATGCAGATTTAGCCCTGACCAGTGTGGCTCAGTTGGTTGGATATTGTCTTGCAAAGCAAAAGGTCACTGGTTCAATTCCCTGCCAGAACACATGTCTGGTTTGTAGGTTTGGTCCCCAGACTTGATATTTCTTTCCCTCTCTCACCCTCCCTTCCTCTCTCTCTAGAAATGATAAAATATTTTTTAAAAATGCAGCTCTCTATCTAGCTAACAGATGCTATGAGAATGAGTGGAGATACTTTCTGAAAATATCAGCACTATGTCAAACAAGAGCAGGTTATCAACAAATGTTACTTTCCCCTTCAATCTGAATTAAAATTGACATTATAATTAGCATCTGGTGATACAATGAGAGAAGTGCCTCATAAGTCATTAGATATGTGGATGCTAGTAGAGTCAACACTTCTGCCCAGAAATTATATTCTAAGACCTTGGGTCCACCCATTTTTTTAAAAATCCAAAAACTTATAATAAAAGAGAGAAATAAGTTTTCTAATTATCTAGCTCAGAATTAAAGGAATGAATATTATGTCATTAAGGGTGGCTATCTGGCTTGGTTTTTAAAATGTTTGCTACTCTTGAGAAGGAGATGACAGAAAAGAGGGAGAGGAGGAGTTTGGTGATATTCTTCAGCTTCACCCCCTTCCCTTCATTCAACAGAGAGTTGTTGTGGAAGGAAAAAAATGAGTAAGAGTTTTAATGAGGATTGGAGTGAAAGAAGGAATATTTTTTATATTTTTCTGAAAAATAATTTCTCATGCATTCCTATAGAGAAACAGGGAAGCAGCTGTCTGTGCCATGCTGATATTTGCTCCTTTCTGACCTTTGCCTCAGGATGACAAAGCTCATGAATCGGCTTTTAAGAACCACTTCCCTACTGGAGTACTTCATCAACCGGAGCTGGGAGTGGAGCACAAACAACACAGAAATGCTGATGTCTGAGCTGAGTCCCGAAGACCAGAGGGTAAGTACTGGGAAATCTTCCTCATTTGGGATTTAGAAATATTTGATTTGGAAAGCTGATGAATAAAATTTTAGTTATATATACATGCTTTTTAAATAAGAAAATTAGTCAATGCTATTAACACAGTTGCAGGAAACAAGTTCAATGTGGATAGGAGATCTAGGTACTTGGACTTCGGTTGGATTCCCACTGCTGGTCTGCAGTCATGTTTCATTGACTTAGCTTTAATCCTTTGTTCACCCTCATAGCTGTTATCCTTTCAACAAAGCCTCTGTATCTCTATCTTTCCCCTAATGCCATAGCATGTTACTTTGATGAAACTCTCTTCCACTGTCCTTGTCAAATCCAAATCATTTGTCTCTAAATCTATATAGCTTCTTCCTTATCTTACTGAAGCTAACCTCTACTCCTCTTTATTCTTTCCATCTGAGGCCCCCCTCCATCAGCATTGCCCTCTCTCCAGCTTTGCCAATCTTCCTCCCTTTAATGACTTCAACGATTGACTTGCATTTCTCAAAACAGGCCTTCACTTTAATTGCTTAGCATCAGTGACATTTATTTCTCTACACTAGTTTCTTGGCAGTCACAAACAAAAGCCCTGAAACACTTGCATTTTCCAAAATTCACAAATACAGAAATCTTCTGAACTTTGTACATGCTCCTAGCTTTTCTGCTTAAGGAGTCATGAATTTCTTGAACATGTTATTCGTTTTCAATTGAACTTTAAAATTTTCACTCGATTGATATTTTTCCAATAATTTTTTTAAAGCATTTATTGATGTAACTCGTTCTTGTCAGCATGTAAAAGAAACCAAGCCATCTTGAGAAGTGAATGCTGGAGGGTAGCCAGCCTCACATCCCAGCTAAGGATTTTACTGCTACATACTGGTCTCAGAGAGCATGATTCAAATCCAGGTCCTAGAATTTTGGTCATGGAACCTCAAGGTTACTTGCAAAGTCAAACACGATAAATGTTATATTGACAAGCCACATGAGATTTAGAGGGATATTTTAACTGAAATCATGACTGAATACCCATATAATTAATGTGAAATAGAGCTATTTTCATAAATATTTACATACCTTCTACAGACAAAATAATTCTAAGTACCTGTTTAAAGTGCATGGATGGTTGATCGAACCAGCTTATTTAACAAAAAAAAAAAACAAAAACCCAACCCTCAAGCTATTGTACATTACTTTTAAACTTAGCTTCCAGTTTTAGGTAGGCTTATCTTTATAGCATTTTCTCCATGGAATTTACCCATATAATTCAAAAGGTAATAAACTTAGAGTTTTATATTTGACATTTTATTATTTTAACCTAAAGCAACTTAAAATTTCATGAAAAATCGGCTTTGCAGTGGATTTAACATATGCTTTCAAAATATCTTAGCAAAGGCAATAGTCCTAAATACTTGGATTTAATGGCCAAATTCTGGTGGGGCTCAGCCTCGTTTGATTTGCCATATGGAACCAGATTTCCAAACTAGGGCTCCACTGAAATCTAACTTAGAAAAGTGAAATGGTATAAAAGTAAAGCCTCTGTTTGTATAGATGAATAAGTAATATTGAGATATTTAATGATACTGTAGAAAAAGAACATATCCAAACAGAATGATTACAGAATTACTTTTGGAATGCCGTTCAGCTTTTGGACAAGTCTGTGAAGCTCTCGGTAATATGTTGATCTCATCTGCTCTCTTTAATGTGCAGTATTATCTCAAATATTTGAGATATCTTAAACACATATAATAAAATAGAAATAAAATAAAATTGAATTAAAATATGAAGTCAAAGATAAGAATGAAAAAATAGAATGTCCATCTGTGGCCTACAAAGTCATACCTAAATCAGTGCAGTTAAACAGTAAATCTGTTCTTGAGTTTTGGTGGAAATGTAAAAAGGAAAATATACCATTCCAAGAGGAAAAAATATACTGGTGTTCTGAGAGAAGCAAAGATTTCCTTACCACTTAACTCTAAAAGAATGGTGTTTTGGGTGGGTTTTTTTGTTGTTGTTAGATTTTATTTATTTTTAAGAGAGAGGGGAAAGGAGGGAGAGAGGGAAACATTAAAGTGTAGTTGCCTCTGGGGCACCCCCTACCGGGGACCTGGCCCACAACGCAGGCATGTGCACTGACTGGAATTGAACCAGTGAATCTTTGGTTCACAGGCCAGCACTCAATCTGCTGAGCCACACCAGCCAGGGCTAAAATAAATGTTTTGAAGGGCTTCATTTAATATATATTATAATGGATAATATTGCTAAAGCAATACAAAATATAAATTCTGCTAAGCTATTCCTCAAGACTTTGCTTCTCAAAGTTTGCCTTAACCTGCATAAGGAAGTGGTTGATATTGTAGGAAAGGATGGCAGGCCAAGGGGACACCACCAAAATTTAAGAGAAATGGAAAGGAAATGACACATAATTTGTTTTGGTCCCTAACATAGTATTCCATCACTTTTAAAAATAATTAATCCACATTTACTTGAAATGAAATTAGCTTTCACCAGACTAATACCAGTTCCTGAAATTGCCCTCACAAGACTTCTTATAGGTCACATATTTGTGCTTGATCCACGTTCAAATATTCCTAAGCAAATAATAATCCATATTATCAGTGCCTTTGAAATAACAGCTCAAATAATCTCCTTTGGAGAGGTTGAACCTAAGTCTTCTAAACTGACTGTCGCTCATTTATGTAAAAGAAACTTCATTAAGTGAACAGTGATTGACAGGTCGTACCATTTTAGCAATCCATCATCTCTTTTCACCTTTCAGGTATTCAACTTCGATGTACGCCAGTTGAACTGGTTGGAATACATTGAAAATTATGTTTTAGGAATTAAGAAGTACTTATTGAAGGAGGATATGGCTGGGGTCCCAAAAGCAAAGCAACACTTAAGAAAGTAAGCATAATCAGTCACTTAATTACTGCGCACTTATGATGTGTATGTGATTTTATACCAGGCATGAAATTTGAACAGGAGAGGGGAGTAATTACAATTTTTGAAGCATTTACTACATAACATGTCCTTCCCTGTATACGATGCCCTGTGATACAGTTTCATTCAGACTTCAGAATACCCCTGTGATGAAGATATTTTTTCTGTTATCCCATTTTTATCAAAGAACTAGTTAGGTTCAAAGAAGGTAAGTAACTTGTTCATGGTAGCACGTCGTAAGTACAAGAGCCAAATATGAAGCCAAGCTTCCCTGACTCTTCTACCACACCCTATGATATAATGTGATATGGAGAAAGGGTGCCCAAGAGGAAACCTGGTCACACTATTTACATGGGCAAGTCACATAACCATACTTCAAGCCCTTCAACTGCCTTAAATTTGTCATTAATTCCTTAAAAGACAAAGAATTATAGCGGTCTGGTGTAATTCTGGTAGAAGCAAAGGGTTTTTAATAGAGATGATAAGGATGTAAGAGTAAACTGCAAACAGAATGCAACTTTGACTAGTAGGCTAAGAACTTTAGGACTTACCCTTTAGTGAACAAGAACCAGTGAAGTTTTGTGATACAGTAACGTGGTCAAAGTATATTTAAGAAAGATTGTTAGTCATGTATTCAAGACAAGTTAGAAAGAGGTATGAGAAACTGTTCAGGGTAATATTATGGAAATCTGATTATTGAGAAAAAATATGGAAATTAAAGATATAAAAGCAAAGGCTATCAGGTTATACCCGGGAGCATTTAATTATTTGCTTGTCACAGCCAGGAAGAGACACATTTATGCTTTAGATAACATTAGATGGGTGTTTGGCACTGTTTTAACTTTGGTTATATATGTCTGTTCCCCAGGCTCCGAAACATTCACTACCTCTTTAATACTGCCCTCTTCCTCATCGCCTGGCGCCTTCTCATTGCAAGATCACAGATGGCTCGGAATGTCTGGTTCTTCATTGTGAGCTTCTGTTATAAACTTATCTCCTACTTTAGGGTATCCAGCATGCTCAAGGCCTAAGAACATTTGTCAGTCTTCATTTATCTGGAACCTCTCAGATACCTCTAAAACAGCAAACTGTGGTTCTCAAGATTAGGAATAACAAAGAATATGCCCAACCTCATTACCTGTCAAATGTGCTGTCCTGTATTCATCCCTGTTTCGTAATTATATGTTCTTTTTATTGCAGTAAGAGAAGTCATATCCTAGCCTATAATCATATACATTTTAGGAAAAAAATCATTTCCAGACTGTTTCCTAACACTCTATGTCCTTGACTAAAAAACACCAAAGTACAATCCTATTTCCACATTTAGCTTTTTTCTCCTTGAAAGGTCTAGTTTCAACTCAAAAAACATGGATGAAAACATGGCAGAAGCTGAATTATGCCAAAAAAAAAGAGGCCTATTCTAACCTTGGGACCATTCTGGGCACCCAATGTAAAGGCTGAAAATCATTATAAGTGAAGGAAGAATGGTCTCAACATCCTCATAAATGTCGTAGTAGAAATATAATTCCCCACTGAAAAGTCTGCTTCCCTTCTGTGTTACACCATCGAGTCCTGGTTGAGGGCTGGGGGAATTAGAAAAGTGGGCTAGCATTTAATATTTTTCTTCAGAAACCTAGAAAGAACTGGGGTATAATTATGTACAGAATGGGGGCTCAAGCATATTTGCATTAAAACTCAGTTTTTTATGCTTTTAATGAAAAATCAATTCTGGTAATTTGAATTTGACAACTATTATTTCTAAATCTTTTGAATTACCAATTTTCCTGGTAACTTTATCTCAACCATTTCCTTCTTGTTTATCGAAGTCACCAAACCCCTTATATTCAAACTTATTTCACTCAGGCCTCAATTGGAGTGACAGATGGACAGTTCTAGGCCAGAATCTTATAAAAACCCAGTCCCCTTTGCCACTGAGGAAAGCAAAATTTCAAGTAAAAATTTAAATGCTAGTTTTAGTCTTTTACTATAAAGAGGGAAGATTTCTCTTCTGTGGTCACCAGGATGTGCTAGCATAGCTCCTTGACCGCTTCAACTGTACAACGTACAGCAGGACAGACTTCATGAAGTGACTCTAAGTTTAGAGAGTAGGTGTTGCTCTTTTAAAAAATATTTGTGTATGATGAAAATGAATTAGTAAAAGCTATATTCTCAAATTTCTGTATTAATAATATATCCAAACTTTCCTCATATTTGAGAAATCAGTGTGTTCTGGATTGCAGTATTTGATGTTAAAAACATGAACTATTATTCAAATATAATATCTGGGGCCCACACAATTAAAAATAATCACAACTTATAGAAAACGAAACGAGCATCGAATGTTAACAAGTTATGTTTATGCTCACTCTCTGGAATAATTGGTAATACCAAGAATGGCACATTCAAGTAGTTGAAGTGTACAAGGCCTTGAGGGAAGCGTCTAGCATTCCTTGATTGCTCTGAATCCCCAAAAGGCATTTTGTGGGAACTCTTCTGGACAGTGTCTTTCCCAATCTCATCTAAGTTCTGGGAACTATTTTCCAAGGCACACAACACAGCTCTAAAACAAAACACCTGGTGTTCTTTAGCTTGAGGCATCTATTTTTGAGTTACTGATAAAGATACAAACTAGGTGTGATAAAATGAATCCAAATATATAATTCAATGAGATTGGATAAAACATAATGGTTCTAAGAACTTGCTATCTTTTTTGTTTCACTAATTCAATAAATTCCACTGATCAAATATTCATTTTGGCTTTCGATGAAATGAAAATGTAAATTAAAAATGTTTCTCTCTTCCAGTGTTGTATCTTTAACTGCTGACTACTGCAGCTTTCCCTCCCCCTAAGAATAAAGGCTATAATTTTCCAAAGAACCTACGAGACGAATATAAATTAACATATAGGTACATAATGCTTCGCTTTCTCACCCCAGTAATAGGGTTGCACTTACATGCCGAAGCATGTTCCATCTGTGTTATTTAAAAAAATGACATGAATAAAGTTCTCTTGTGATTAAGCTGTGAAAGTATATAGGTGTCTGTATGGAACAAATTATTTTAAATCAAGACCAATTAACAAGTATTTGAGTGCCGAATATATACAGTGCAATGAGAAAGAAGCTTCTACTTTTGGGGGAAAGGGATGGCAAGTAGTATAAAGGTATCTGTTTAAAAAGTTTCTGTGATCCCTATATTCTGTACTCACTAGATACCTGATACAGTAATAAATACTATTGAGTTGAAGAGTCACCACCTGAGGCAACTGATACTAGAGAAAGTTGAGGCAGGTGGGTTGACAACTCAAGAAAACATTTCTCACAATTTTATACTAACATATCATCTCCAGTAAACACTTTAAATAACTGATTTAGAACCTCAAGGTAAACAGATCTGAGGGACTAACACCCAAATAGTGTGTTATCTCACAATGAACTTAACAGTTAGGTCAGCCTTAAGTTTCCAGAAACATCAACTTTCAAAGTTCACAAGAATCAAAGGAGAATTTCCACATGACTCTCTTTCTAGAACTGCAAGGCTAATGTTCTGGAAACACAAGCAATTACCTATAGTAAAAAGTAGGGTTGTTTAATATGCCCACACAAGGGTATGGAAAGATGTTCACTCCCTAAAAATATATACATTTTTAAAAGTTAACAAAACTGGCAGTTGCTAGTTTTAAGGTGTAATTTACTTATCAGAAGGTAGTCCCCTCTGAAGTGTAGCTAGTTAAGGCAAAGGATAATAAACTGAAATTGACTTTAAGTAGCTAGAAACAACTCTTTTGATACGCAAATATTTTCACTATGTCCCTACTTTATCAGCAATACTGATTCCTACTTGTGACTATAAATAAGTGGGATGATATGAGGTGGGAAAACTGGCAACAATTCTAGAACAACTTAAAGAAATTAAAGGTAAGTATAGTGTTAGGCATCACCGAATCAATTAGTATTAACTGCTTGAAAACAGAACAACTTATAAAATACTATATAATTCACATGAGTTGTTGCTGAAGGTCTGCTTTGGTACAATACATAGCTGCCATTAATGGATACTTTCCCCCACATCTTCTCATTTTGTTTTACCTAAATTTAGACAGCACAGCATAAATGAATTATATTTTAAGGAGCTGTTAATCTAATTCCTTTAGATAAACATTCATCTGAAAATAATATTTTAATTTTCCTTTTTAATTCAGATGGCTTTTCTTTTTCTTGCCTAACTGCTTTGGTTAGAACTTCCAATGCTATTCTGAATAAAACTGGTGAGATTGGGCATCCTTGTCTTGCTCCCAATCATAGAGGAAAAGCTTTGTTTTCACCATTGAGTATATATATTGCTGAGGGTCAATAAGCATTCAATACAATTTGGAGTTGCTAAAAAAAAACTACTTAAAAGTTTTGATTATAGTCTTCAACTCTGATTTATTAACTTGCATCAACTGCTCAATTTAAATCATGCATTTATATTTAATGTGAAAAATATAAAATAAACCCAATATAATTTAGCTTCATCTGGGGCAAAAACAAATATAACTAAGTGATAGTTAAAGACTGCTATAGTTTTCCTGGGGTGGGGAAACTTAGACATGAGGAACTGAGGCTTAATTGTGGATATATGATTGTAGAAAGACAAAGAAATTTTTTTATAATGTGTAATTTCTTTTAAGAGTTTGTATGTTCAAGATCGAGACACTAAAGGAGTGTTTTTTCTTTTCTCTTAACACAAAACATAAAAATCCAAGGCAGTTTGTTTCCTATTCTTAAAATACTGCAAAGCGTTTTTATCAGTAAAGAAATATTTCAGAAGAGGAAAATAAGCTATAATAGGGACATAGTTGGTTATTAATCCAGGCAGCATACTGTAAGGCAGTGAACAAATGGTGATCTGTCTAGACAGTGCTGACCAGGGGTGACTCCCTTTGGCTTACTGAAAGTTTGCTACAGCTCTAGATAGAAGGGGAAGACCGTTTTAAAGGGCACGGTGAAATTTTTAAGGTCCTATAGCTCAGGTTTAAGTAATTTTTAAACAAAAAATACGCATCTTTTAAAAAAATGCATCTTGAATTCAGGTTCAAGATTCAAAGTTTTAAATTTTGAGGCTTGGAAGTTGCATGTAAATTTACTTTTTGGTACTGAATTACTAACCTAACATATACAGACTGTATAATATTGCCCTTCCATTACACCATTAAAAAAGATTTTTTCTTCATGAATTCCAAAGTTGTTTGAAGATTGTAAATTTTGCTTGCATTTGTAAATTTATTATAAAAATTCAGTGCTTTGTATCATAAAATGTATATGAGAAAAGTGATACTAATCATCTAAGTTGAAAGTTAGAATTTTGCGACTCTTAAGCTTTTCCCAAGAGGTAGTCTGAAGAATACAAATACTGCAGCAGAAAATTATTCATGTAAATATTTCATCTCTTTTCATAGGCCAACATATGCAAATACAGTTTAAGGAAATTTCATAGAATTTTGGGGCCTGCACTTTTAAAATATTTAGGCTAAAATATATGTGTGTAGATATTGTGAATAGCCCAATAAAATAAAAAAGCAGGATTGAGTTAATAAAGTTGTGTATCCTACTGAAGTTACTGCAGGCACAAGCCAAAGTGCCCAATAGATTTGTCAGTATAGTGTTCTCTGCAATTGAAAAGAAACACTTGGTGAGATCAAAACACCTACCAAATCTTAATATACTCCATCATCCATCATCCATCATCCATCATCCAAAGGGATGGTCAGAATCTTATGCTTTGATTGCCAAAAATCTGACCTTGCTATTCAAGGAGTTCAGCTAGAAACCTTTCTTAACTTTCAAAATGAAAAGCAATAGCAAAGCTGAATTTTGCTTTAAGAAATTCCTTTCATAGCTTTAATGGGACAAATTAATTTCATTAAAATATCAATATGGTATTTGGGAAACACAAAAACAATTAAAAATATATATAAGTACCAAAGTAATTTTTAAAATTCTTTAAAATACGTCATAATCCTAACAGAAAATAATTCTAAATCATTGTCTTTCCTTCCATTAAAAAAAACCCCCTGACATTTGATTGAACTTCCTGACAAGCAAATTTACAAAACCAACAGTCTAAAAATAGTCAAAATTCTGATTCTCTCCAGTTGAAATTCCTTTTGAGATATTCTATTAGTTCCTAGTCTAACTTCATTGCAAATATCTGAAGAAATCAATTAACATATTGAGTTTTTTGGAATTATCTGGATTCAAATATCTTTCAAAACATGTAATGTCACAGTATTAATCAGTTAAGTTTGTGGTTCTTAATGATAAAATGTGTATTTTAAACATTGATGCTTCTGTTATTTTCAGCAAAGTATCATTCAATATAAGCTTTACTGCAAAGTAGCTTTATCAGTATTTCTCCTCTCATTACATTATTATCCCAACTGTTGCCAACAAAACTTTATAACCTTCAAATCAGAGTCCATTTGAAAACCTGCAACTTGTGACAGACTAGTCTCTCAAAACCATGATTTTGAATCTAGTTTTTCAGTCTTGGCCTTGTTACTTACCCAGAATTTTTGTCTCCCCACTTCCCTAAGTGATTTGAAACATGGGGATTGGCTGATGATTCTTCTATTATCATTAAGTATTATAAAAGGAAAATTGATGTTGGTACACATATTCCAAGTAAGTTTTTAATGGCACCTGAGTGATATCTCCCTCTTGTTATGTTTAATGTTTTATAGTATGAAAAATTTAAATCAACCCTTAAATAAGTACGAAAGCCGGAACACCACAATCTAATACACAATCAACCACATTCAGGACATTCTGAATGCAGATAATTCTTTCATCCAGTTTTACAGTTTAATGGACATCATTTAATATGATAATCTCTCAGATATGACATTATCTTATTTTACTTAAATAATTGCCTCACATTTCTATTTTAAGTTACCCTGTAGCCTACTCATAACAACATGTATAAAATATTCTACTTTTCCTCTTAATTATTTTACAAACTGATAATTTTCATCATCAGTAGTGGATCTTTTTATTACTCACCCCCTGCTCCAAGGTATAACAACAATATAATGATCATATTAGGAAATTTAGCATCTTTTTAAAAAATGTGCTTTCTTCTCCCCATATAGGTGCCCACTATACAATTTGTGAATAATACCTCTGCTACATATTATAGCACCTATATCCCCGTCCCTGTAAGAACTCACCTTAGTCTTCCATGACCCTGCCTTGAAAAGTTAACAAAGTTAATAGCCAGAGTTTAAAGAGAAGCAGTTACCTTCATAAGACCAAATTATTGGATAAATGGTCTTGTCATTATGGCTTAACATTAATATGGCTATAGCATATGAACCCATACCTGTTTACTTTTATTAACAATGTGACCTGATCACAACTTTTTAAAGTCTAGACTAGTTTTCCATGTTTTACATATTTTATTCTGACGCCATATTTTAAAAACAAAAGGACGCAGACATTAGCACTATTAATGCCTTTTTCTTTTGATGTGGTTTGACTTCAGAACTTCAGGTCTTCAAAGTCTGATTATGATACATCCCATTTGCTGTGAAAATATCAGGGTCATCTTCAAAGCAATATTCTAGTTGGGCTTCTTCACTGATTAGCTGCATAATTTCTTCTAGGACATTTGTAACAGATACAACATATACAGGATTTCAGTTTGGGTTTCTTTTTTTTTTTCCTAAGATTCCTGCTTCTCATTCATTTCTTTCTTTTGAATATATTGCACAATATTTTCTTATTAAAAAAAGGTTTTATGTCTCAGGCAAAAAGTTTTTCTCCTTCATTTGGGAGGTGCTAATGTGTATTATTTTCTAAAAGAGGTAAGTGGTTGTTTGTGTGGCCATCCTCAAAGGGGACCTAGAGAGAAAAAGACCAGAGCATCAGTTGTATTCCTTACACTATTTCCTCCAAACAAAATGCATTATTTGGGGCAATTTTTTTTTGGGGGGGGGGGCACCAAAAGATACTATTTAGATTTAACAATTGTACTGTGAGTTAGAGATCCGTACCACTTATACTCTAGCAACTTACAGAGCTGACAGGTTTGTAGGATCCAGGTCTGAAACGACAGTAAATTATTTCAACTATAAATTTTCCAATTCCATGTAACATGCCTGTAATAAAAATGTTTTAATTAAATTATGCTTTAATGAAATTATTTCCTTGCTAAGGAAGAATATAAAACTAAACTAATTATAATAGAATAAATTAAGGAAGGAAATAAAGCTGTTTGCTTTACTCCCACAGTTAAAAATAACAAGACAGTTAAATTAATTTCTTTCAAAATTACAAGACCAAATAATTCATGATCTTGACAAAGCAATCTCTTCAAGGGGGCTTAATCTCACACCCACATACTTTTGGAAAATAAATAATATCAGCACCACAAATGTAAATGCATTTAAATGAAGCAGTTGAAGCAGTGACAAAGACTTTTACAAGAAAAGGTAGTCATTCATCTAAAAAATATAATTCAAGAGAATCTGGACGGTAGAGTGAGTGGAAGTCTCACTGAACTCCTCCCAGGACCAACATGGAATTACAACTAAATTGTGGAGAAATCACCTGGAACAAACAACTGAACAACAGCCAGAGAGGAGCCTTGTAACCTCGGAGACAGAAGAATCGGCTTTAGCGCAACCTCACTGGAAAGGAGGGAGGTACAGACCTGAGAAGGCAGGCGGGGCGCCCACAGGTGGCAGCACCAGAAGGATATTGAATCGACCAGTTGGATCCCCCTGAGAAGAGCGGGGTCTAAACCAAAAGCGAGGATCTCCAGCCCACAGCATCAGAGCCCAAAAAGTACACAGAAAACAGCCAGCTGCGAAAAGCAGCAGGGTTGCTCTCTGCCAGAGACAGGTGGCTGGAGGTGCAAAGAGCCTTCTATAGGGCCAACGCAAAATTTTTATTTGCAGCCACTTACCCTGGTCTCCAGCAAAGGCGGGGGCAGAGTGGGCTAGAGACACATGACGAGACTGGTGAAAGAAGCTTTGGGGAGAGAACTGAGAGAGTAGCCAGCAGGTTCTCAGTGCTGACTCATCCCCCATATGGCAGCATCCATTTTGCTCAGGAAGAGACCACTCCCCCTGAGCGGCACCAGCATCAAAGGACCCCATAGCCCCACCCCCAGGTGGGATTCCACCCCACCCTGAGCTGTCTAAGGCGGCCAGCTGAGTGCAGAGCGAATAGATTAACAGTTGAAGGAGACAGCCACAGACAGCAGACTCCTGGAAGTCTCGAACAGACTGCCTAAGGGCAGACAGGGACGACATCTGACATCATCAGAGGCAGATCCAGAAAGTAAAAACAGCGGTCTCCTACCATAGAAGTTCACACCACAAAGTCAGGAAATCAAGACAGATCAACTTAAGCAGAAGAAAAAGAGAAGAGCCTCACAAATAATGGGAAGACAAAGAAATAAGCCCCACTTGAAGGGAAAGGCAGAATCCCGACAAAGAGAACTAAATGAAATACAAGAAAGTAAACGATCAGACATTGAGTTCCAAACAATGGTTCTAAGGAAGCTCAATGAGCTCAGTGAGCTCAGAGAGAATTACCAAAAACTACAGGGAAACTAAGAGGAACTTACTGCAAACTATATCAGCATGAAAAATGACATAGAAGCTATCAAGAAGAGACAAGAGGAAATAAAGAATACAATTTCTGAATTGAAGAACACAGTAGAAGGAATCAAAAGCAGGCTGGATGAAGCCGAGGACTGAATCAGCGAGCTGGAGAACAAGGTAGAAAAAAGCTCCCAGAAAGAGCAAGAAAATGAAAAAAGACTCCAAAAGAATGAAGAGGCATTTAGAGAAATGCAGGACAACCTGAAACGTAATAACATCTGTATAATAGGGATACTAGAAGGAGAAGAGGAGGAGGAAGGGATAGAGAAACCTGTTTGAAAAAGTAATGATGGAAAACTTCCCTAATTGGAAGAGAGGAAAAGTCACACAAGTTCAGGAAGCACAGAGGGTCCCATTCAAGAGGAACCCAATGAGGCCCATTCCAAGACACATCGCCATTAAAATGGCAAATATCAAAGATAAACAGAGAATCCTAAAGCAAGCAAGGAAGAAAGAGGTAGTAACATATAAGGGAGCCCCTATATGGCTAGCATCTGACTTCTCAACAGAAACACTGCACCCAGAAGGGAATGGCAAGAAATATTCTAAGCCATGAAAAGCAAAGGCCTGCAACCAGGACTGCTCTACCCAGCAAGACTCTCAATTAAAATGGAAGGTGAAATAAGGAGTTTCCCAGACAGAAGAAGGCTAAAAGAATACACCTCCACCAAACTAGCACTGCAAAACATACTAAAGGGACTGCTTTAAGATGAAGGAGAAGTTTCTATGAATACCCAGTTCCTTTCAGAGTTGCCAATACTTGATATTACCAATATTTTTAATACTCATTAATCTGATTGTGACAATGATGTTATTTTATTTGTTCCTCTACTATTTGTTGAAACTAAACCTGTTTTAGTATATTTCTTGCCTAATTCTATTTTTTTTAAAGCTTTAAATGACTTTTTGGTATTCTTTACCCATTTACTAATTTAAAGGTTTGTAGAACCTTTTTCCCAAAAAAACAAACAAACAAAAAAAAAAAAAAACAAACACAAGAAACAAAGACCCTATTAACCATGCTTTAGATGTGCTGCAAATACTTTTCTATTCTATTCCTTGTCCTTTAACTTTTTTATATGTATATTACTATATAGTTAAATGTTTAATATAGTCATATTGTCAATATTTACTTTATAGCTTCTGGGGTTGAATATTTTACTTCGGGTCATGAAAAACATTACTTCTATTTTCTTCTAAAACTCCTTAGATTCTACATATTGGTTTTTAACTCTCCTGAATATTTCTTGTATAATGTGTGAAATAAGGCTCTATATTTGTTTTATTTCAAGTAATAGTAGTCCATGCACCTTATCTGTGTTAGAATAAGCCTTATTTTCCCCATTGATTTGAAGTATCAACTTAATCATACATATATTAATCAAATATATATGTTTGTCTCTAGAATGTTCATTATATTTCATTGATCTACTTGATTATTTCTGTGCTGGTGTCATGTTGGTTTAATTGCTGAGACTTTATAATGGTTTTAAACTTTTTTTAATATTTTATAATTAACTGACATTTAAAAAACTAAATAAAGTCAATCTACATTTAAGAAAGAAAGAAAGAGATGGAACTCCTAATTTTTGCGACAACATGGATGGAAGTGGAGAATATTAAACTGAGTGAAATAAGCCAGCTGATGAAAGACAATTACCATATGGTCTCACCTATAAGTGGACTCTATTCAACAAAATAAACTAGTGAACAAAATAAACCACAGGCACAGAAACATAGAGCAGATTGAGAGTGACCAGAGGGGAGGAGGAAAGAGGACTATGGTGGAAAGAAGGGGGAGGGACTAGACAAAGAACATGTATGAATGACCCATGGACATGGACAACAGAGTGGGAATTGACTGTGGGAGTGGGGGGATGGGGGTGGGATGGGTGGAGGAGAGTAAAGGGGGAAAAACTGAGACAGCTGTAACAGAATTAACATGATCTATAAATAAAGAAATAAAAAAACTGAAAAAAATGTAATTCAAAGTATTTAAACTACCCAGCTCCATGTAATATTGAATAGGAGTTAGGGATAAAGAAGGAACTGTTTCCTTTCTTTATCTATTGTACTTCACTCTCAAATTTTCATGATTACAATTTTGCACGTAATCATTTTTGGGAGAACTCTGTAATCTTAGGGCAAAAAAGGCCAAAATCATAAAAACACTAACTGAACTACCATAGTTCAAAGTACCATAATATATGATTTTACATATTGTACAATTAAAACTACTTTAAATAAATAAGAAAGTTTACATTTGAGTGTCTACTACTTCTAATCATTTTCTCATCTAATCCTGTAACACACTTGCAAATTAGTAACCATTAATCCCTTTTTTAGAAATGGAAAAACAATTTCAGAAAAGGTAGGTGATCTATACAAGGCAACCACAACATAAAGGCAGGACATGGACCCATTTATCGGATCTTTCCAGCTCACTAAGTAAGCTCCCTTAAATCAGGGAATGCAGTAAATTTAGTTATATTTAACGCTGAATTAATTTTGGAGGTTTGGAATGAAGTCTTAAAGTGTAAGTTCAAATATCAAAACATGAAAGTGTGAATACTTCTTGCTTCTTTTAAGTAAAAGCATCTTAATTTCAGTGTCAGCAACATTTTTACAAATTAGACCAAAAAAAGGAATGAATCTTTACCTGTTGTTGAAAAGATTCCTCCGACGATACCACAGAGTCTTACAAAAAACTGCCAGAATGGCATATGCTCTTCAGTAACTGTCACCATAAGAGAACTGAGATCATATTTCATAAATATCCCAGAGACTCCATGGCTGCCTGCAGCATGGTTAACAACACGTTCCTGAAAGGAAGGAAGGAGGACAGGGAGAGACAGGAGGAGGAGAAGAAAAACAGGACTCAGGTCATCTGCTTACTTATTTTTTCAGTCAGTATGAAGCCCTACATCTCTACAGCATGAAAGAAACACCCAAATCTTTTTACAAACTGTTCTACTAGATTAAGATCTTAAGACAACCAAATTATTCTGTGTTTTTTGTGTGGTTAAATTTTGAAGCAATCAAGAGAACAGAATCATTCTTCCTCATTTTCTCAAAAGATCACTTTACATACAAGTTTTCTATTGAGCTCAAGGGCGTACACCTGTATGGCACATTCTTCATTCACTAAATCAATAAAAACAAAGTTTATATTTTGACGTATTTTTTATATTTGCTAAGAATTTACAAAATAATCATATTTACTACCTGTCATTTAAATAATTGGATTTAAAAACAAAATTTAAAAAGATTTAATTTTAGCCTCTGTTCATTTTAAACTACATGAGATAGAGTATAGGAAGAAAACAATGCATTAATTTGAAAGATATCAGTAGTTGGGCTACTGGTTCAGTGTTTAAAGAAATTTTTTTTTTCTTGAAAGAATGTAACTAAAATTATAAATCTACCGCAGTGTGCACACTGAGAAAATAATTCTATTTAATTCCATTCTGTTTTTACTTTCAAAAATAAAGTTTGCAAACTTTCTAATAAATTTCTATTATAGCTCAAACAACCATGCTATCATAGTGATTTGCTATGACTTTTATGTCAGGCCCTACTTATTTTGCCTAAGCTATAACTAAATTGGAAGCTTTAGAATAAAATAATTTTATGTGGACATTACAAAATCCCTTCCTCTATTAACACAACAGAGTCTTATAAAGCCATTGTTCAAGTTTCCAATATGGTGACTTCAGTTTAAAGCATTGAGGTGTTCAACCATGCCAAAATTATATACTGTCACCACCTATATGGATTAAAGCTGTTTCAGGGATCAGTGTCCAAGACCAATAATGATTCCCATTGGGTTGCAGGGCCAATGAAGGTCAGTTCTTCCCATTTCTGTCTCCTTCATCCTCCATTTTACCAACTCCAGTGACTCCATTTTTTTTTTCAAGTGCAATTCAACTCTTTTAGTCACCTTATCAGCATAAACCCCACAATGGTAAAATGCTCTCGGATTCTATTTTTTAAATTTAATTTTGTTATTTAAAGTACATTATGGAGATAATGAGATAATTTCATATCGGTATATAGATATCTTCTCTTTTTAAAAAATTGCATGTTTCTCCATTGTGTGGGTGTACCACACAATGAAAAGTCTCATACACACATTGTTTTTGTTTTTTTTTTATCTTTGCATTTAACTTCTACAAGTGGGAATGCTGGGTCAAAGCATAATGTGTATGTCATTCTGTAGATACTGCCACACTCCCTTCCAGAGACTATGCCATTTTGCATTCCCGTAGCAATCAATGTATGTCTGCCTGTCTTCCCCATAACCTTGCCACTTTGTATACTGATGTGCAGGTGGTACCAATCTTAGTGAGAAATGGTATCTTCCCACCCCTACAGCAATGCAGAAGAGCACAAAATAAACTTGTATACTCTTGACCTAGTCTCTCTCTGTATGTGTATACAAACATACACAGTTACTTTATTTTTTCCTGAACCATGTAAAGAATTATGAACACATGACATTTCACCCCTAAAATATTAAATATTTAATCTCAGAATAGGAAAATTGTACAATTACTGAGCACATAGCCATCACAAATTATAAGACAATTAAAAGAACACTCTCTATGGAGAAAAGCAAATTTTTAAAGCACTTAAATTTTGCCTTAGAACTCTTAAGAATAATATATTTGAATATTCACCATTCTTAAACACCGTAAGAAAACATGACCCCAGAATAGATGAGAAATGTTAAACCATCCAATTCCAAAAGTCTGATCTTCACTGTCATATTTATTTATAAGGCTGCTCCACCCTGAAGTTCTAGAACATTTGTCCTCTCAATTAGAGAAATACAAAGCGCAAGTTAGAAAGGCAAACCCTCAAAATCTGTTATCTGAGCCACAATAACCATGCATGCCCTAGGTCAGATAATTTAAAAAATACATAACACAAAAACCAGAGAATCTGCTGGCAAGTAAGAAAACTGCTTATATCAATACGTGAAAAAACATTACAAAATTAAGATATCAAGAATAAAATAATACCATCACAGTGTTTAATAATCTTGACTTAATTGAATACAAAACCTTCCAGATTTAAAAAATCTACTTCTTTGCTATCTCTAGAACATACACCCATTTCTGATACTTTTATCTTAAAATAAAATGTTAATGCATTTCAAAATTTCCACAAATTTTACCAGGGGGAGGACACGAACTGAAACAACAACCTTATTTTGTAGCAGGACTATAAAATGCTAAAAAAAAAAAAAATCATCAGTCAGATTTAGCTTACCCTTTCTGTCACAGAAAACTGATGGGTATCTGCTGAAATTTTGTACGTATGCAGTTTTGTTGGCACAACTGTAATAAAATACTGGAACATCTGGTTGTCTAGAATAAAAACAAAATGTTTTTCCCCATCAATCCAGTACCAACAAAACTATTACCAAATATATCCTCCCTTCTATAAATACACTTAACCTGAAACTGAATGCTACTTGTGACTTAATGTCTAAAAAAAGTTTTAAAATAAATGAAATCAATATACTAATACCTAATAAAACAAATTCTCAGTAATCATAAAAGTCACATACATACACACACATCTTTTATATTTAATATAAAAAAGGTATTTGACTAGTCACTTAGATATCTTTATAGTCATTATCCGTATATCAAATATGGAAAATAAAAGTACAGAAACTTATAATAATAAAGTTACAATACTACAATCACTGTATGACAAATTTTTAGTTTATACTGATCTCTTAAGATAGGTAAATAAACCAAAATTGAATTAGCTGGCTTTTAGATAAGTATATAAGGAACTGATACCACAGCGGAAATATATATAAAGAAACTACTGAATGATGGCCTGAGGTTATTGTGTAATGAAAAGGATCATATTTATATAATCATTAAGCATTTTACATTTATTACAAGTCATAAATACCAGTTTATTACCAATTATTAATTTTAAATAATTAAAAGTTCAATAATAGAAAACATTAACTCTCTAGGTCTATATTCTAAAAACATTTATAATTAGATATGTCTATTATAGTTTCCAATAGATAAGTAACTGTGACTCATTGTTTGACCTGCAAACAGGTATACTTCACACTACATGGTACTGTCTATGAAAACTATGTGTATGAATATAACATGCTGATTTTAATCATATGGTTTGACACATTTTAACAGATGCACTCACCCTTATGATCACCATGACAATCAAAATATAAAACATGTTAACCACCTCCAACAGTTCCTTTGTACTTCTCTGTAGTCAATCCCCTCTATCGCTGCCCCTGAGGCAACCACTAACCTACCTTCTATTGCCATGGATTAGTTTCGCCTATTCTAGAATTTCATATAAAATTCTATGAAAGCATGGAAGCATACACTGCATTCGAGCTTTCCTTTTCTCAGCATGAATGAATTTTTATTTCTAAAAATCCAATTTTTCTCTTATCTCAGTGTAATTCTGAATGGGCCAGGGAAGGGTGAAACTAGATGGGAGAGAGGGAGGTACTCATAATGGTTTCTTCACACACTAGCATTTAACAAGTTTCTAACATAATAAGCCAAAACCTGTTTGAACTTCACCACTTATTTCTCTTATAAGTAGTACCACTGTAACTTTCAAAACCAAACAGTTCTTCCATTACTAATGGAGAAACGGTATCTTGTAAGTAATGATTATTTTTTTCCCATTGCTAATTTCAACTTAATATCCTAAGTATTATCACAGACAATATTAGGGTAAAAGAGTCAACTTTGTCTACCACCAATAGATGGCGTATCAATGGCAGATGGTCTTCACTTTCATCCTTTAAGTTGTTCTTCTACGTAAGGTCAGTTGCTCAATCTGTGCTTAGTTTTAGGTGTTTCACAAGTAAACTCTATCATGTCATAGACAAAAAAAGCAAGCTAAAAAAATCCTAGGGGAAAAAAGGTATTTAGGTATTATTTATGAAAAAAATGAAATTGAGAGGGTTGAGGCAATAACGAGTGCTGTACATATGGGTGGGATAATCAAACTTGGGAGTAAAAATGAAGACAAGAGAAATCTCTCACTATAAGTGAGGAGTGAAGTGCCACTGGAATAAATTACAAGCAAAGGTCAAAGAAAAAGGACAGGAAAAATTGGAAATCTTTAACCTGTGGCCAGACAACTACTGAAGGCCTATTTGTATGATGTTAATTCAAGAAAAGGCTATAACTTTGTTAAATAACTTAATTGCCAGGCTGGGCGGTGGCTGGGGTAGACAGATGGAGAATGCAGTTGACTGGCATTTTGTTGAAAGCCATGAAACGTTCCAAAGATTTCAAATCTGTCCAAATCTTCATAGTTTTAACAATGTAACTGCTAAGTAATCCCCTCAAAACTTCTGGAGAACATCAAGGATGAAGTGGTTAACTGAACACAACAGACTTGTAATGCTTATTTGTTTTTTTCTTTTTGGAAAAAGAAGTCCATGTTAGGCAGACGAGTATACCTGCTTTAAAGCTTTGAATAACTTACTGACACTCATCTGGTGGTGTTTTAAAATAAAACTTGAAACACTTACTAGTCTTTTTGAATTTAGGAAAAAGTGGACTTAAAATGAGTCTTCTGAAAATTAATCTGTTTATATTTAGTACCACTTCTATACAGAAATTTACAGTCCATTTTAGCATCTTGAAACAGTATTAACAGAAATGTTTTCAAGTGAGCATCTCAAGTAATTAATGCATTTTGATGTAGAATGAACATATACTTAAAGATGAGATTATAATAGTTTATAATTTCTGCTCACATTAACAAATTTAGTACACTCAAGTTTAAGTGAAAAAATTCTCATACAAACAAAATGCTCATGAATGTAAATCCATATTTTAAGTATAACATCTGATTATAAGACTATGCTAAAAGTAAAATACTGAAAAGAATATTAATAAAAATCTATTTCAATGAATAAAAATGAAATCCTTAACTTCAGTTTTGCAAAGGCAGGAATTCCTGCTAGCAAAGGAAGCTTTAGACATCCTTAAAAGGTCCTATTGGTGGGACATGTCATGCAATGTCACTATTTAAGAAGAGGAAAGCAACCAAAACCCATCATGAAATTCGAGAATAGATTATTTGCTACAAAAGTAAAAATAATAATAATAATCCACCCAAATTTGGAAAAACTGAAATTTTAAGTGGAACAGAAGGTTAAAACAAACAGTAATAATAGGTATCTGTGCTATAATGTACAACTTCTGTTAATAACCAAATCACTATAGGTTCTGATGTTTGTAAAGATCCCTAGAGAGGTTTCTGAAGGGTAAATACACATTTTAGAACTTTGAACCTATACAAAGAAGAAAATTCTTCTTAGAATATTGAAACTTTTCTTTATTCTAATCCTTTCTTTGGTGAATATAGGAAAGAAATTATGGCCTACTGACACATTAACCTTTCATATTCTGAGGGAGTTTTTAAACACTACTCCCTCTCTAGCCTACATTTAACTCTAATTTCTTACCTTGTTCTATGGATTTTTTTTAACATTTAAATTTTATCAACTATTAAGAAAAAGTCTCTCCACACATCTCCACTTAAAGGTTATCAACCACTTAAACTACTTAAAAATTCATCTGTTTATCTGTCACAAGGGGGTTAAGAAGAGGATTATTAAAAATATATTAATATTAAAGGTATAAAAACATTGCCTACAAATTCCAACAGTAAGTATTAATTACTTACGATCTACAGCAATTTTTTCAGTTCCATCTAAAGGATTAACAATTCCTGGAACAAGCTCTCCAAAAGACAAATGATCTATTCTGTGAGAAAAGTTGTACGCTGAGGCAAAAAAGGAAACCAATACGTAGAGATTTTATTATTCAAAACACATATTACATATGTGTTTACATTCTTATCTACTTTCAGATGAAAATATCTAAAATCTGCAAGTATAACAATACAGTATTTAAAACTGCATTAATTTTGAGAAAAATACATATAAATATATGGAAATTAAATGTATATGGGTAAGTAAATTCTGAAAAACGCTATATCTCAAATTTTATGATTACATACAAATTAAGGTCTAAGAAATAACATTACATACAATCCTGATGACCCAAAAAGTAAGTCTTTCTCAATCCAAATCATCACATAATAATAGGATTGTGTTGTCAAAACTGGGATGATACCCATGAACCCAAATATATTTGGATCAGATATATTTTTAATACACTGCTAGAAGGGAACAAGCTGATTATTTTATGGAATATTTGATTTTATTATCAAAAGCAGACTTTAAAAACTAAATTTTATGACAACCATTACAAGAAACTAACTTGAATACTTTATATGTACATGTGTATATATCCATCCTTAGACTTACGTATTTCCTTCATTATCCATAAAAATTAGCAGAAATGTGTACAGAGTGATATAAAGCACACTAAGGCTCTCCTCCCTAACCTTGGCAATTTCTGAGCCATGACTAAACAGAAATACAGGTAGCTTAAAGACAAGAGAAAATGGATTAGAGCCAACAAATTTATTATTTATTTTCTCCTATAGATATCTGTTTTCAAACAGCCCACTTTCAAAGCCCAACCTTGCACCTGTGCTAAAAATTTAAAGAGAAAAAAACTTTTTTCAAAGACATCTTCATGGAAAAAAATTTCAGAAACTGCTTACAATCATGGTTGACAAGTGCTGCCAAATGTGCATGGCCTCTGGGATGTGGAATTGCCCTGAAAGGAGGAAAAAAGATTAAAGTAGTAACATTCAAATATATAACTAATTAAAATCAGAAAAGGGATCTTTCCAAGTCATACACTTTTCTTAATATAAAATAATATAAGAACATACTTGGCCTATGATTTAAGTAGGTAAGTCTACTCATCTCAGCAATATGGTAAACTGGGGGTTGGCAAACTTGCAGTAAAGAGCCAGAAAGTAAATATTTTAGGCTTTGTAGGTCATGATAAAAAATTGAAGTTATTATGTAGTTAGGTACATAAATAAATTTTCACAAACTTCAAGTGAGTATGACTATGTTCCAGTAAAACTTTATTTTGGATACTGACATTTGAATTTCATATATTTTTCATGTGCTATGATACAGTATTCCATGTAAATTTCAGTTAAGGAAAGGGTGCTGAAAATTGGACAGCACTGGGGGAGGCATTTTCACTTGTCACAATTACTGGGAAGGAGTTCTACCGGCATTTAGTGGATAGCAGCCAGGAAAGCAACGACCCTGCCAAGGCAATGACAGTCTCACACAAAATAACATTGTCCCACATCTTGCATGACTTCCAAACATTCTAAGTGGCATTAGATAGATGAAAAATCTACGTATAATAATCTGAGTCTAGAACTTAACTCCATTTATCTATACAAAGTAATCTGTAGTTTCAATATACACTAAATTTCCCAGGAAACAGAGGCAATGTTATACTTTATTTTGTTCACAGTAATACAAAGAGTTGTTCCTTATTTCAGAATATCACCTCATGAACAGAAGTACCATTCATGATATTTGAGTGGCCAACACATGTTTCAGTCTGCATTTGCAGTTGTTATAATGATTCTTCACATAAGTGGCAAGCATCTGCCTATTTCATTACTTTATCTAATGTATCCATGTTTAAGGATTTGCATACTTAAAATAAATAATTCTCCTTTATAATACAGTTGAGAATAATTCTGTGCCTGAAAGGTAATGTGAAATTTTTTTTAAATCAATATTGAATTTGACAAATCTAGTACCACATTATTAGGAGTGGTTTATAGTGTACCTCAGAGGTGATAAGGATAAGATGCAAACTCAGTGCTTTTCCATTTGGCTCTCTTATCGCTGGTATGAGTTATCACATGAAGAGAGAAGTGAAACTGGGAACAAAGGCCATAATATGGAAGTTCGTAGCCTCATACAATATTTGTTAAATTTTCTCCCTTTCAGTTAGGTTTGGAGTAGGATATTACTTGCATTCAAAGATGTAATAAAAATCTTCTAAATTTCTTTGAGCCAATTATTATTTGCCTGTATGATACCCAAACATTCTACGATTCCCAGATACAGGTTGGAGATGGTGACAATGGGTTCTGGCAACGGTTAGAACACAACAAAAAGTGAATGTTAAAAAGAGTAGGACAACAACAAAAAAATGTTTGATATGATCAATGTAAACACTGAAATAATTTGCATAAAACTCTAATGCTCTTTTTCCCTCTCCCTCTCCCCGTCCCTCCTTCCCTCCTTCCCTCCTCCCCTCTCTCCCTCTCTCTCTCTCTCATTCCTCTGCTTTATAACCTTCTCCTCCAGGTGGATGCCCTTCTCTCTTTTATATATAAAATTGCTAATCATCCACTAGTTTGAACAATATTAAGGTTTTCCTCAATAAATCCTCTGCTGACATGCAGAGTAGGTCAGGTATCTTGCTGTGTAGTTTATCAGGCATACTTCTCCTTTATGGCTTCAATACAACTATAATTACAGTTATTACAGCAATTTGCTGTTTTAAGTTTAGACTCTCTCAGACTGTCAGTACCATAAGGACAAAATCCTTTCACTTTTTTTCACTTTTTCATCTTTCGTGTCTAGCAAGGTACTTTGTACATAGCAAATTGTCAAAAAATGTCTCTTACAATGAAGAACTGTTTAGTCCTGCAACTCAAGATGGAAGAGAAGAAGGAAGGGAGGCAGGATCTGGGACTCCATTTATTCATTCAGAAATTTAACAAATATTCATTGCATAACAGTTTCTGTGCTGCTTATGGACTTAGATGGTCTAACATTTTTCTTTAACTTTTACCTAATTTGACTTTTTCCCAGACACTACTAATTTCTAACTACATTAAAATACTTCTCTTGAATTAATTAGGGTTGTATTTTTGTGATTATCCCCAAATATAAAAACCAAACAAAAACTAATGCCATCCAACAAAATGAACAAATTAATGAAATGTCTAGGTAAGGGCTTTCGGGCTACTGAAACTTGGTTAGTAGGTTTTAATTCATATTTACCTATAGCTCATTTACATTAACATATAAAATATGAAATGACTATTTAACTTTTATTTTGAAGTAGTATTTAAAGTTAGTAGTCTTCTTCATTCTGAGATTAAAGCCTGGAACAGCAGTCTCAAGACATCAAAAATATATACAAAACATTTTAAGCAGCCCTTTAGTACTCTTTTATTATTATTTCAGCAAAGAATTTACTTTTAACAAGCTGCCAACTTGTCTAAAGTATTTTCAGTAGGTGAAAAGAACATACTTGCCCACAGTTATGTGAAAATTCCCTGCTACTTTATTGACATATAGATGACCATGAATTCTGCAAGCATCTGGAGGCTGTGATGAATCATCTTCCCTATTACAACAGGATATGTCAGTATTAGAGTATGTTCAATATTGTCATCGATTTTGTAAAAATCAATGCCTAGATAATGTTCTAAATGTCAGAAGTTTTTTAAGTCTATACATTTTTTAAAAAGCATACATCTAAAAAATGGAAAAAAGTATATAATTATCACACATATATTACATTTACACAAATCTAAAATTCCATGGTTCTTCAAATCTAACCAAAGGATGAAATCCCATTATAGAAGAAAGATTACAATAAAGAATTAGTCCAATGAAGACATACTTTCATAATCTGTTTTGGTACTTGAGGGAACAGGGGAGGATAGGAATAGAAATGAGGTAAAGGAAAGGCATGCCATCTAAGTTCAAATAGACAATGACATTTTCTTCCTAAGCAAATATGAAGCCTCTCTACAGTTTTAAATTTAAATGATCCTTTTCATTTAAGAGATTTCCAAATATCAGCTATTACAATCTGTAAAAGAAAAAAATAAGAACACAGAATTCCTAATCAAAATGTATACATCATCATAACAGGAAATGCAGTTAATTTGTTCTTAAAACAAAATAACTTTATATGGAGGTATAACAAACACATATAAAAGAGAAAAATTAAATGAAAATGAAATACAGTGAACTTTGAATAACACAAGTATTAGGGTTGTTGACATCCACATATAGCATTTCACTCCACCAAAATTTTACACAGTGTCCTTTGGTATCTCTGTAGGGGACAGGTTTTAGGACTCAATAATACCAAAATTCATAAATGCTCAAGTCCCCTACATAAAATGACACAGATCAATGTATACGGTTGGCCCTTTATCTGTGGAGTCCCAACCTCAGATGGAAAACAGTACAGACAGTTATTGAAATCAATCTGCATATAAGTGGACCTGAGTTTAAACCAATGTTGTTCAAAGGATCAACTGCAATATATTTGTGATAGTCCTGATCAGTATCACAAGCTATGTACTTAAGAGTAAAAAGACATCTTCATCAAACAGAATGGTTATATTTTCCTGAGAAATATGAGATTCAGATAACTAAATCAATACTAAAATTTTGTCAAAGTAAGTTCATAATAAATAGTTGCACATTTAAAACATAATCTCACCTTGGTGGAAGTGCTGTTGAACTTCTAAAAGCACTTTTAAATAACACATCTTGAAGCGAATGTTCTTCTTGCAGTCTACTCTGAATCAGCTGCAGCATCCTAAATATAACACAAACAAGCAATAGTCTATAAATATGGTAAGGTACGTAAAGAAAGCCAATCCTTAAAAAAAAAATTGGATGGCTTAGTTAAGCCATGCATTTATTATTTCAGGACTTTATTCTAAAATAAACACCAAGTTTTCTTTGCTCATTTTCCTTGAAAGAAGGAAGAGTTTAGAGAGGGTGACTACATGTTTAATAGCGAGGCTCCCTAATAATCCTGTCTGACTCCATCAATAATAGATGTGCTCATCTGAATATTTAAATTCATCTTTCATGCATGTATGTAATAATTACAAAATTCTTACCTTTTGTACAGAATTGAATAGTGTTATGGATATTTTTTAAAAAGATAAATAAGGAGCCACACAACAGATGTGATAGACTTAAAGTGGAAGATTTCTGGCATATGAAGTCACAGCACCAGCATCCAATTCTCATTACAAACCAAGCCACAGTGCCATTTAATATTACCTAGTGACTCCTTTTCTGAAGACACCTAAACTTTATTCTATGAAAAGACCATTCTAAACAAAATACTACGCAGCAGAAAGAAAAAAAAGAACTATTAAACTTCACGACAGCATGGATGGAACTGGAGAGCATTATGCTAAGCGAAATAAGCCAGGGGGCAAAAGACAAATACCATATGATCTCACCTATAAGTGGAACCTAACCAACAATACAAAGATGCAAGGAAAATAAGACCAGCAACACTGAAAGGAAAAGAAATCAACAGAGACAAGGGGGCGGGGCAGGGAAAAGGAAGGGAAGGGGAAAGTCAAGGAACATATAGCAAGGACTCATGGACAAAACCAAAGGGGAAGAGCTGAGGGAGGGAAGGAGGGAGGGGGCAAGGGAAAGTGGTAGGGGGTAGGCAGAGACAAATGTATTTGAAAAAATAAATTAAAATTAAATTTAAAAAAGTGATATAAAAAAAATCATATTCTACCTATATTTTTTTAAGAGTATCAGCATAAAAGGCAAAGGATTATAGAAAACAAAGTATACACTTTCTTTTTAAGTATATTTAGCCACAAAGAATTAGTTGCTTGAGGAGTTTTTAAACAAAATTCTTATGCCCACAATAACTTATTAAATTACTTATTCTAAACACCACCACCAAAAATAAAAGCCTTTTCTCTAACACTTCTACCTATGGACCGACCGTATTATCTCCTACCATTTTCAGCAATAACTTTGTATCTTCACATATAATTCTATTTTACCTTCTTTAGTTCCATATCTTTAAATAACTAACATCCAAACTCATGTGTATTAAAGTTCAAGCTCAGCAATTACAAAAATTACACATAAAGGAGAAAGGAATGAACAGACAAAACAGAGAATTTTTAGGGCAGTAAAACTATTCTACAGGTACTGTAATAGTGGATACATGTCATTATGCATTTGTTAAAACTCATAGCATATATAACACTAAAAGTGACCCCTAATATAAACTATGGATGTGAGCAATAGTGATGCGTTAACGTAGGTTCAAAAGTTGCATGAAATGTACCATTCCAGTGGCAGATGTGGACAGTGGCAAAGGCTGAGCAAACATGTATACTTTTCATTCAATTCTGCTGTGAACAAAAAACTACTGTAAAAAATAAGGTTTTTAAACAAAACTTGAGAAAAATTATAAATAAATACAGGCACTTAAAAAGGAAGCAAATTTAAATCTGATAATACTTCATATCCCATCATAATGATAAAATAAACATTGTCTAGAAGTGCAAGTGTGAAATAAAATACTTATGCACCATCAATTAAAACCACTGATAAAACAGGACTAGTTAAAATAGCAAGTCACTTTTAGAATGTAAATTTAGTTCAAAATAAATCTTAAATCTACAAACAAAAAGCAGAAATCAGAACAGTTACATCCAGGGAATGAAATTTAATTCTACAGGAGGGATAGCAGTTAGGATGCCAAGTATTTTAAGAAAGCAGAAGATCAATTGAGAGTAAACTTAAATCTCTTTGAGCAAATTCTAAAGGTAAAGAACATTTTGGTAAGTACATTACTCAGAATGCTAGGCCTTGGATAACTCTAGTCCACTCAAGAATATTTATCTAGAAGCAGGACATCATTTTGCAGGAAGCTTCAAAAAGCCAGATACCACCTTCAGATTTATACATTTAAAGATTAAAATCTTTGAATAAAATGCCAGCAGCAATTGAAAGCTTCATATTTTTATGTCTTATAATTCCAAAGTTCAACTTTTAATGCTGAGCAGCGGGAACAGACAATTAACACCAAATTATATGTAGATGTGTGTGTGTAACTTCTACTTCAAATATGCCAACAAATATCCAAGCTAATATTATATATATGAAGGTACATAGGAAACTCTACCGTGATGGAAAATGGCTAATGTTTTATTAGTAAAAACTCAATCCCTGCTTCCACTTATCCACTAGTCTTGAACAATGAATAAAATTCCAAATGAAAGGTGATTCTCACTTTATTATCTCTAGATTTAAGTAACATGTTTCATCTCTAGATGGCTTTATTCTAAGACCACTAGAATCCCAGACACATCTAATACTCAGTTCTTTTGTTCAATTATATTCAATTTCAACTTTAATTTTAAAATCTCCCCAAATGGTCCACCTGGAAATTAAAAGAGAAAGACCTTTCAAATATACTTAGTGATGAGAAGAAAATGTTTTAAAGATGGGTAAAAAATACGCTTTTGTAATAATCTTAAATTAGGTAAAGCCTTTCTAAACACAAGACATACCCTGCAAACCTAAAAAACCAAACCAAACCAAACCAAAAACCCACAATCTGTGGTAGAAGAAGTAGAGAAACCACTTATAGGAAAGCACTCATTTTTTAATATACAAAGAATTCTTTAGAGATATTATTTAAAAAAACTACTACCACCAAGCAAAATGGGTACATGGGATGAACAAGCAGTTTCACAAAAAAAAAAAACAACCCATAAAGGTATTCAAATGATTCATAAAGAGATGACTAATTTAAAAAAGTGCAATGCCACTTTTCACCCATCAAATTGGCAAAAATAAAAAAGTCTTGTTATACCCACTGTTGGTGAGGTTGTACAGAAACAAGTACTCTCATATAGTTTTGGGGTATAAGCAAAACTATTTTGGTAAGATTATTTGGCATTATCAAAATTTTTCTCCAGCTTTAAGATATAATTGACATATAACATTGTATAAGTTTAAGGTGCACAACATATGATTTGATATAGCTATTGCAAGTGATTACCACAGTTAACAGCAATCACCTCACATACTTAAATTTTTTTCCTTGTGATGAGAATTTGTCTAAATGTTAAATAAACATCCTCTAAAAGAGAAACTCCTTTTCCAGAAACCACACACACACACACAAACAAATCCCTAAGAAATTGGGTTCAAGAATTTTCATTAAGTATTTTTATTTTAATACTCACTCAAGATCATTCACTGATTTTTAGACACGGGGAAAGGGAGGAGAGAGATAGCAAGAGAAACATTGATGTGAGAAAGAAATACCAATCAGCTGCCCCTTGTATGCATCCCAACCGGGGACCCAACCTGCAACCTAGGCATGTGTCCTGACCAGGAATTGAACCTGCAATCCTGCAACATTTCAGTTCACAGGCCTACTGAGAATTGTTTACAATATGAGGATCTTGCAAGCAATTTACCCATTAGTAATCACCCAATTAGATAAACTATAGTTTACCCATAATATGGACTACTACATGTACTTAAACAGGAAGCTGTACAAAATATCACGTTAGATGAAAAAAAACAAATTATAGGACATATGGAATGATCCCATTTGTATTAGGAAAAAATAACATGAATATACAAACATATAGAAAATTATATATGAACAGAAAATTTCTAGAAGACTATACAAGAAATTTAACTCTAGTTATTACCACTAGTTATTAGTACTAGGTTTATAAAATGATAAGGGGGCTTTACCTTTTACTTTATAGCCTGTTTAAACTGAATTGTAAACAATGATCATATACTCCTTTTTAAAATTTTTAGATAGTTAATAAAATTTTAAATAAAAATTAAAATGTATTCATTATCTAAAGTGCACTAGAAATAGGATTAACATGCCTTTAAGACCTGATTGATTTTTGAAAACAGAAAGACTGTATTATATACTACATTCTACTAATATTTCATCCAGAGAAATGCCTAGAGAAATATACTGTGTGAATAATTTACAACAGACAAAATGGGATCTAGATTTCTGTGGATCACAATACTTTGTTTACATATTACCTCTGCCACTCTTTTTGCTGTGGTGAAAGATCAAATATTACCTGAAATAAAGGAAAACATAATCATCAACATTGTCAGATTCTCTTGGTTTTTATAATAATAATTTTTAAAAATTGTCTTTGAACAAGAAACAAGTTTATGGTGTCCTTGAAAACAAGTATTCATATTTATCTAATTTTCTGTATGTCAACCTATAAAAATTTAAATATATTTTATTTTTATTCAAAAGCAGTAAAAGAAATCTTACTAATCACAAGTATGTCCTGTAACAGTCATTTACATTTATGAGAACGGATACAAGTTGGTAATCTATCATAAGTACAAAATGGTAGTTTAGGACTTAAAATCATTTAAGTGATGCCAGGATGAAACTTTAAGTATTTAAAAAGAAAAAAAAGACATACAGCATCTAAGTATAATATTCAAGCTTCCAAAGCGCATATTCTTACTGGGATAATACCATGATGAAATCAACAATTTTTAATAATGAGCTAAACAACAGCACTGTAATTTTTAAATGTATTAATCAAGAAAGAGTAATTCCAGGAATTTTATCAGGCACTATCTTCATCAATTTAAAATCAGACTTAGCTACTTATGTAATTAGAGAAAAATAAAGTTTCTTGTGGTTTGTGGCAATATACAGAACCTAATTTTGAAACAAAAAGTATTCTTTTGATTTTCATAAAGGCATTTCATAACAAAGCAAATTAATCCTACTTTTTAATTTATTGATTACCCCTCCATAATTAGGCATTAACTTACCAATACCTCTTTACAAATTCTTGGTTTTAAATTAAAGTGGAACAAGCTCTCACTTTTAAACAGTTCTACCTCTGTGCCTTTGGTAATTTAATTATACCAATCTGGAAACTTCTGTAATTTTGACCCCTATGTCTATCCAAGTTCTATAAACCACGTGCTCCAGGTTAAACTGTCCCATCTTTCTGATTACAGTGAAATTATTCTGAGCACTCCCCCTGCTGAACTTGTCTGCAGCATGCTTTCCAAGCCTCACACCACAGCACACAAGGATAATGTTAATATCTGTAAAATACTCCATGCAATTGCTCCCCAGTTACCTTGTGAATAAAATGAGTGGCAGTAGATACTATGTGATTCTCCTGTTGACTTCCCTGAAATGCTTAGTATAATGCTTAGCACAAGGGGTAAAAGAAACTACTGAGTAGCCTACTTTGTGCTAGCAGTATGCTCTCAATTTTTTATCTCACTTAACCTTCATAACAACCTTAGGAGTCTGTTGTTATTCTCTTCCTTTTGCATATAAGGAAAGCACTCAAAGGGTGAAAATTTTTTTCAAAATCAGATAGTAAGAGTCAGCCTAGAGATCCAATTCAGCCAGATTCCTCACTTTCCCACATTTTCAAAAATAATTATTTTCTTTAAATGAAAGTGATACAATGTAATAGTAAATAGCAAAGTAGTAACTATCATGGTATACTCTGATCACAATTTGGAGACTAGTAAAGTTATTAGGGTTAAATTTTTAATATTCAGAGTGTATACTAAAATAATGAGTGAAAATTTGGAGGCAACTAAAATTCGCTCTTAAAAAATTTTACATTAATAATAATATATATTAAAGATAGTTAATATTTTATATTACTTAAATATTTTCATATATATAAGGACAAGGAAATGAATACTTACCAGAAACATTGTTAAACACTTTAAAAATTACTGATAAAGAAAATACAATTAAATATTTTTAAGTTCCTAACTTTCTAGATAAGACATGACCTATAATTACATGACACTTAAATTTAAATAAAACTCTTATTCCACAATGAATGGAAGAGATGGCAGAAATTGTTTACAATGGAATCAATGATCTTGTCACAATTACATAATTCTAACATATTCATTAGTGCTTAATAACTAGAAGGCATTACGCTTTACATTTTGTTAACTATAAAGAAAAAATACGTCTCAGAAACTAAAATCAAGATAGACGAGCTATTCAGGAAAAAAATATATAAACAAAATCAAAGACTTGATAAATGTGAAGAAAAGAGATTGGAAATAATAGACACTCAAAATATAAAGAAATGCTAAAGAAACAGCCTGAGTAAATTTTAGAGGATAATTTCAAAATGATTAAGTCTCATCATAACCAAATTTTCACAAAATTCAAAGAAATATAAAAATTAGGACACAATCTATTTTAAATCATTTAAATTAGCATCCACATGCTGGAAAATTTTAAGAACTTACACAAGACAAAATACAAGGGAGACTAAATTGAGAAAAGAACCCAACACAAAATTTATTTCATGGAACAGAAAAGTACATGTAGGCAGCAAGTAAAATCCCCAAGTCAGAGGAACAAAGGAAAAAGTAGTGATAAAAGATAAAAGACACCTCAGAAATAGGCGGTCTTCATCCTAGAAACACTTTGAGTTCGATCAAGTCCCAGAGACCACATGGGGAAGGCATTCCACAGCAGTGCTATTTCCTAGCTTATATGTGGCCTGGACAGTATTTTAAACTAAGCAAAAATACTGCCACAGCTTGCTGCTAATGAGGACAGTCACACCAGTTGACGAAAGAATTTATTCTTGCTAAATTTAGCCTGTTAGTGCAAACACAGAAAAAGAAATTTGGGATGCCCTGAACCACTCTCCCATCCCAGAACCATTTGTGACTTCCTCTTTTATTTTCAAAACCATTTGAGGATCTAATGTAACACAGAAATACATACAATATATATAACCTCCTTTCATCTAAGTATGAAAAAAAGGGAGCAAGTATAACAACTGACATTATACTCTATTGCAACTCTCAATCACTTCATAGGCCACTTACTTCCCTATTCTAAAGATGAACAAGTAAATCAGTTATGCAGTGGACATATTAAAACAGTTATTAATTTGAAAGAAGTGGTCAAAATGAAGTACTATAGCTAATTTTCCTCTCTGATACAATTTCTAAAAATAAGATGAAAAATATTAAGTTTTTCTTACTTCTCAAAGGTATTTAGCATCATGGAAATGTGGAAAAAAAGGAGTGATCTGCAATATATTACAAGTGGGAAATATAATCACTGAATTTTAAAGCATAATTAAGGCTTTGAAAAGAAGTTTGGTCCTTCTGGATCAAAATAATCTTCAGAAATCAGAGGCAAAAATCAAAACATTTATCTAATGTAAGGAGTAATAAAGATATGAGAATCATTCACACAAAATTCAACATGATATGATAATTTTAAAAAGCAGAGGTAAAAACACTGCTTTGAACATCATTAAAATAAGCAAGCAAAAACACTTAAAAAATTAAGATCACAAAAGACAAAAAAATAAAAATCCCTAAAGGGGATCCACACTTGGATATAGAGGATAGATATTTGGATTTCAAACGTAAAAGAAAATAAAGCATTCAAGTAGATAAAATAAATATGTTACATATGAAGGAAAAAAAATAATTGTGCCAGAAGACAATGAAGGAATGTCTATAAAGTTTTGAGTGCAAAACATCAAAAAGCAAGAACAAATTCTATCCTCAACCAAGCTTCCATGTATGAACAGCACAGGCAGTCACCCTAGAGTCCATGAACATAAACCACAGATTCTTGCTGATAAAGAATTTCAAAAAGTTCCTCCAACAAAGCAATAATCAAAAATCAAGAAACAGAGAACGTTAGAAAAGAAGAATAATGAAACCCAGAGGTAAAACTGAATAATCATCATTATAAGACTATAAAATGTAATGCAAATTTTGAAGCATCTAATAATCATCATCCAGATCTAAATTTCCAAACAAGTGTAATATGCAGCAACCTCATAAGGCATCATATAAGATGCCTAACCCTCATAAAAAAGTATTGTGATATCAATTTTTTAAGTGGGAATAGAGAAGAATGGCAATACAAAAGTTACTAAAATTTTTTCTTTAGAAATTTCTATTCAAAAAGCATGTATCAAAAAACATAGTTTGTTGCTATAACCTAAAAATAATTTTGTAATCAAAACGGACCTAAGGGTTCCTTTTTTTGCTTTTCAGATTCAGTTACTTCTAATTCTCCTCCACCACCTTTAGTCTTCACTTTGCAATTTTGCTTTACAAAGCATAATGTGGTCATTGGTAAACAAAAGAACTCAAGAATGCATGGTAAACGTAAGTACCACAATGCCAACAGAGCAGTCAGAAACTCAAAGCAAAATTCCTTCTTTAGGTCTAGCTATCTCTGGTCATTACTTCTCATCAGCCTTTGTAATGTGATGCCTGCCCCAGTAATGTGATGGTGATCTTTTTTTTTAAAGATTTTATTTATTTATTTTTAGAGAGAGGGGAGTGGAGGGAGAAAGAAAGGGAAACACTGACAGGAGAGAGAAACATAAGATAGGGTGCGTCTCACACACGCCAGACTAACCCACAACCCAGGCACGTGCCCCACCAGAATCAAACCAGCAACTGCTTGCTCCATGGGAGGACCCGCAAGCAATTGAGCCACACCAGTCAGGGCTGGTGGTGATTTCTGATAAATCAATTATACACAACTTGTTCCATAAAAACAATACGAGAATGTCAGTATAATGGAGGTGTTAGAGAGAAAGAAATAATGTATATGGAATTTCTCCTCTTAGATACTGCTCCATTCTTTATTATGTTAAGAGAAATACAAACAGGACATAAAATTTCCAAATCATTAGAGGAAGAGAAAATTTCATTACTATAGCAACACTAAAAAAAGAGAAAAGGAAACTATTAAAAAACATTAACAGAAGTGTAAAATGAGAATAAGGGTATAAAACAGACATTAAAGGCTTATTCAAAATGCTAACAATGATTATAACAAGGTTTTGATATTAGATGAAACCCTCCAACCCCGCCTAAATTTTTCCAAAGAATATGGATTACTTTTGAATTAGGAAAATATATTATAAAAACTGGCTGAGATAAAACCAAAGAAAATATAAAAACTGTTTTCAAGGGAATAATTTCTCAAAGCACATTATTCTTAAAAGCACATGAATCAAACTTACTGGTTCATAAACTAGACCATCTGCTGATGCAACCATTGTTTCTGCTAAATCCAATACATCTGCTCCAACATCTGCATTAAAAAAATTAAAAAAGTTTTACATTCTATGCTAAGAGCCAAACTATATCTGATATAAATTAACAAATTAAGATAATAGAAAACTCACTTTCCTATATTGCTCATTTAAGTTAATAGCATTAGATAGATTTGGTCACAATTATTTCAAAAATAAATAATGTTTTTTCTACTTCTTACACAGTAAAAAGATGATTCAGAATCTCACAGCAAAAAGTATAAAGTTTACTGAAGAGCTTTGCAAAAATTGGCAAGAACCTAATCCCAAGTACTAAATGGCTGCTACACAAAATATTAATTATAAGAGTTATTTTTAGAGATTAAAAGAATTCTTAAGGCAAAGCTACTGATGATTTTTTAAATATCAATATAAAAAGTTTATTTGAAAAGGCTAGAATTTTAATGATATTCAAACATCTAAAATATGGTAAAATATGATATATTCAGTTTAACACTAGATCATAATTTAGATACAAAGTATTTCTTTCTCTTAAAGTCACTAACATAAGGAAAAAATAAATGGAAACAGAAAAGAAATTTTAGGTTGTTCTGTGACAAAATCTCCCAGAAATTAACTTTCTTAATTGGATAATACTACCTCAAACTTTAAAAAACTTTGTCTGCACTACTGAATTCAGTTTCATGAAAGTTATGAAAGATATGCAAAAATATCCTCATTTTTTTGAGAGCACTACTGATTCAAATATTACCCAGAATATGCTAACATTTTTTCACTTCTACCAGTATAATCAAGTGAAGCCAGTGAAGAAAACAGAAATGGGATCACTATTAACTTAAAATTCTTGGATCTGTATTTTAATAGGCAAGAGTAAAAGTAAAGGGTAATAAACTGAAAGAGTGAAACGGGATATTCTTGAGAAACATGGGTGTAAAAACTGGTAGTCCAAACAAGAAAATTAGAAATATACCTAAACTAAAACTCTTATTCACAAAAATTTCCTTCAATTTCTTTTAATTATGCTAATGTGAAAGTTAAGTTTCTCCTCTTTCTAAAGAAGAAATTTAAAGAATATAACCGGGGAGAAAAGTTGCATTACTAAATAACACTACAATAGCATTTTAAGATATGGTAAAGGAAAAATAAAGTTAAAATATAACCAGTGGTTTTTATTTTTTACTAGCAATTGTTTAAACCATAACTATATATGGATTCATCAAATTAAAGGTATACTTACACTGACATTTCATGGCAACAGTAATATCTATGTTGATTCTCAATTTGCTAAAAGACAAAAAGGAAACTTCAGTACCCACCAAGTAATCAAAAAATTACAAATATAAGTCAGGTCTATGAAAAACTTGGATTTCAAGAAGAATACATCAATTAGAAGTTGGACAGCATTTCTTGTGGCCAAAACAAAAGCACTTTGAAAGTAAAAATTCTATTTTGCAATCATTCCAAAAGCCTTTCCGACTTCACAGGTTTTTAAATCAGTATCCTATAGTTTAATTTCATTAAATTAAATTACTCCAAGAAACTCAGAAAAATGAGTCTTAACCTTTGTTCACATAAATTTTATTTTAAAACATTCCTTTGAAATTTTCAAAACTCAAGAGTTAGGTACTGCAAGCCTTTCTCCTCTATCAAATAAGTACTATTGTATTTATTTTACCTTATCATTATATTATCTTCTTTATTCTTTATCATGGACCTAATAAAGTGGGTGGTTTCACAGTTTTGTAGCTAAAACAATGATGTTGAAGGCAGAACAAATGCCTGGCTTAAGATCACACAACCAATGAAATGGAATACTGGAGACTAGGTCTGTATGACTCAATAAATACAACCAAACTGCCGGAAAAAAAGTTCTGATGCTTAAAGTTTTCCATGTCCTTTTTAAAAGGCTCAACTAATGCTTTATTTTCAAATGATGGCTTTAAATTAAATTAATTTTCAAATATCAGAATTACTTACACACCATAAATAACAGAGTGAGTATAATCAATATCAGTCTTGTCCTGTGCTGCCTATCAAAACTTCTTTCACTCTAAGAATTTGCTTCAGGTTTCAAAAGGAATTTTTAGAGCTTAAAAAATTTTTTTCAATAGATTTTCAGGGCTTCAAAGAGTCTTAAAGTTGTCTAGAGTTCAAAGTGTACTCCAAATAACCCTGGGGTTTAGGCCAGGAGATGCTGTAGGAATCAGATGAGAAGGCCAAGTAGACAGCCTTCTGGATATCCCCACTAGGCTTATTTGGTGAACTATGGAAAAAAAATAAAGTGATTCATTGGTGCTAAAAACAAACAAAATAAGATATATAACACACTCTCTGAAAATCTATGTTGTCAAGAATAATCCTCATCTTAAAGATGAAGAAACTGAGGCCCAAAACAAGTCAGTTGTGTGACTTACCGAAGGTTACACAGCAATTTACAATGTTGACCTACTTCTCACTAGTGTCATGAGGAAGGTACTATAATTATTATCTCCATTTAATAGAAAAAGAAACTGAAACACATGCAGATGTAGATTTCATAACTTCCTTAAAAAGTCACATAGTAAGTGGCAGAGCTAGGAATGGAATTGAGAAGTAAATGTCTCCCCTATCTAGTACAATCTTAATATAAAAACCTATTATCTTCAGTTAATTGAAATATCCAAATAATACAAATAAAATAAAGTATATTTGTCTCCTTATTAAGGTACTGCACTTTCAAAGTTTTAAGTGATGTTATTTACATTACTATTTAGTTTATAGGTAATTTAGAAAAATCAAGTTATAAGCATGTACAACGTATCTTTAAACAGTTCATTTTCCAGCTTACACAGATCAGTAAGCTATTTCAAAATCTAAAAAGTAAAGTTTTAAAACATTAAACAATTCCTACTAGTTCAACATCTTTAGAAAAAAAATATTATGTTCTCATAACCATTTTATACAGTGCACACTGTATCAGAGAACCTCCCTTTCAGAATTTAACCAGTATTCAAATGATTCTAAAATGTTTCACCTAATGCATGCAATTAATGAGAATTTATCAGAATTATTTATACAGAACTAAAATAAACCAAATGTAAAAGGTTAGACTTTTTTAAAAAGGCATATTATCTTTAAAACAATTTCAATTTAAAGGTATTTCAAGAAGAAAAATGTTACCTAGAAAAATCTTTGTCTACTTCATACTCATATTTCATCCATGTATCTTGATATACTGAGAATTCCATTATGGTTAATAAAGCCATAGTGGTAAATGCTATTAGAGAAACTGAGAAATCAAACAAACAAAAAAAAGAATTAAAACAATTTTTTATAAGTAAATACTAGGATATTATTTTTAGTGAGATTAAACATATCAAAGAATACCTTAATGGCTACCATGAGAATGAATATTATGAAAAGTTCTTAAAATGTCCATTATAGATTTTTCTTAAAACAGCTCAGAAAAGAAGATTTAATGAACAATGAACATACACATAAACACAAACATTTGTACTACAGAGAAAGCATTTTATTCTTTCAGTATTACAAGACACAAAACTTATTTTCTTACACAGAGCAGTGTCACAGACATAATAAATGATCAAAGCAAGCATGCATTTTACAATACAAATTTGAAAATGGTCCCCTCATAATTAAAAATGCACTTATGCCTGCAGCCCAATTTTAAAAATTAGCCTAATTTTTTAGATCCTGAGATGCCAAAATAATCTGTGTGCCAGAAGATCAGGTAACATACATCTCCAAATCTCTAATAAAACTCTCATCTACTTTGGAATCTCCTAAACATATCATTTCATTTATAAAAGCAACTCAAAGACCTGACAAAAAGGAAAGAACTATCATACACTTAACAAAACACAAAATGGATTGTGCAAAAAGAACTTGCACTAATTTTGTTAACAAAAGTTAATCACAAAAGATTATAAATAGTAAGCAACTTTGTACACATTTACCAAAAGAAATGTCAATCTTACGTGAAATAATATTTTACTAGTTCTTCTCAAAGAAATAGTAAATACTGTTATAGTTCCATATTTTGCCTATATATTCCATTATTTATTTATTTTATTTAACAAATATTTCTATCTGTACCAGGTATTAAGCATTTTGTAAGTATTAACTTATTTAATCATAAATACTAAAAAATCATAAATACTGATTTTGTTCCCACTTCATGGAAGAGGAAACTGAAGCAGAGATGGATTAACTTTCTCAAGGTCACATACTTAGGAAGGGGAAGAGGTAGGATTTAAATCCAGAGAATATGGTTCCACGGTCTAAGCTCGTAACTATTTACTCTATGCTGCCTCTCCGGTAAGGTAAAATTTAAGGATTTTTATTTTAATGTCTAAATTGATTTATTCTTTACCAAATAGCACTGAGGCAGTTTCACATCATTAAATAACTTCTCCCAAGTTAAATTCTATTTATATAGAATAATCTTACTAATATAATTATACATAACTCACCAGTGCCAAAAACAGTAAAATTGAATTAATGTTTCAATAAACACTGCTAAATGCAGAGACTACACTGAGTTAGACGTCAAAGAATACACACACACACACACACACACACACAAACACACACACAAAATAAAATTAGGGCAAAACAGCATTATATGGGGACAGACCAGTTAAAAAGTTACTACATTGATGAGTTTTTCCTCATGGCTGTATTTCTGTATGTTATTGATTGGATCGCTCAGAAGTTGCATTCAGTGAAGGAGTTTTCATTTGAATTGATACTCTCACCTGTACCCCCACTGGCCGAAGTCTCTACATAGCTCTCAGGAACCTTTGGAAAGGCATCCAACTCTTTCACCAAACTTAAGGTTTTCTTCCGATTCAGTCGCCTCATCTTCAGAAAAACCTTCTTCTTTCATATAGTCATGCTAAGGAATAAACAATGAATGAATGTATCCTGTAAAAAGATATAAAGGTTTCTTTTATTTTTAGATAACTGACAAATGTCATTGGAAGAACTTAATATTCTCATTCCTCCTTGAGAAACAAAGCTTAACACTCATTCACATCTCTCCTTTCTCCCTCTCACTGACAAAAAGTACTATGAAAGGCAACTTACAGACACAAATACATTAAGTAGAAGAAAGAGAAAGAAAAGAAAACCACATTCATAATATTTCAACATACAAGTCAAAATAAATGTTTCTTCCTATTGAATTTATAAATATATAAAAATAATATATCCCCACTAATAAATGACAATGAGGTAAAACAGACATGCTCATACCTTGCTAATGATAACATAACTACTCACCATTCCCCTTTTCACTAAATTCCTTTTTTAGGAATGTATCTTAAGGCAATAATCTGGGTTATGTACAGAAATTGGATCTTAGGCATATTTCCCATATTGTTATTTTTAACTATATTGAAGATAGAAACAAAGTCATGGTATCCAATATACAAATTATGATTAATTAAAAGTTCCAAATCCATGCAAACACTAAAAATCTTATAAAAGAAAACATTTAATAAGAAAATACTCATAATACATTAAGAACAGAAGGCTGTATGGGTTCAGTTTTATGAAAGACAGGAGAAAAGATATTCAAGAAACAATTGACGGTCTATACACAAAAATGTTAAAAGTAGATCATGGAAAGATTTTAATTTTCTTCTTTACAAAATGTTGGAATTAACAAATGATTCACTTTTACAATAAAAATATCCAAAAATTGACTGCTGTTCTTTTTGATCAGAATGCCTACTACATCTAAAGTATGTTACAAGGCCATAAAATAACTGAATTCTCAAATATTTTATGCAATTTTTATGACTGATTTACAAAAATACTATAAGTGGTACCGGAAATCAAAGTTGTATTAATAAATTCAAATCTAACTGCAGAATAAATCAAATGGAGAAGTCATTAAAAGGCAAAGAATGCCTCTCAAAAAAAAAGCAGAAAGATTCATGTAAAATAGCATGGGTAGGGTTAATACAGAAAGAATAAGCCACAGAAAGGACATTCATAGAGAAAAAGGAGAGTCAGAGAAGTAAAACGCAGCAATCATAAACGCTGTCCAAAAGAGAACAAGCTCTAATCAGTGACACTACTAATCAGTCCACGAAGGAGCTACGGCCCTAAAGTGAAGCTGGATGCATTTATAGGTTGATTTCATTTGCCATTAAAAACATTCAACTAACTTCCTTTGCTTATTCCATGCTCATAAAGTGGCCTTTAGATTATAATTTTGCTTCTCATGAATACGACTTCCTAATAAAAAAAGAACATACAGACAAAATAGATGACATTTTGTAAGCCCCAGTAAGTTATAAAACTGGTATTCTTGCTTATAAATTAAGCTTCTCGGTGTTTGTTAGGTGACAAGCCATGCTCCTGCTCCCTAAAATTGTTCAACTGAGAGAATCATCAAATTTATTTTTTGTATCTGCTTAGCGATAACTGCACCAAGATCGATCCTCCTTCAATCTTTTCATTACTGTTTATTCTTTGCTACTGGAGTTAAATATTAAATATGTTCTATCTTCTTTACAACAAAACTCTCCACTGAAATTCAAGTCCAAGTCTGACTATTGATCTCTGCCTGCATCCGTATCAATATACACAAAACAATGAGTTGTCCCCATTCATCCACTGTGATTACTTCCTCAGCACAGGATCACCACTTAACTAAATTTCTCTCAGGCCATTAACAACTTCCTTAGTAGTAAGTCCAATGGACATGTTTAGTTTTTACCTAATTTTGCCCATCAGAAAGTACACTACGTTCATCACTTGCTTTTTTTATTTTATTTTATTTTTTTAAAGAGAGAGGGGAAAGGAGGGAGGAGAGGGAGAGAAACATCAATGTGTGATTACCTCTCATGCACACCCTCCTGGGGACCCAGCTGGCAACTCAGGCACTTGCCCTAAGCTAGGAATCAAACTAGTGACCCTTTAGTTTGCAGGCCAGCACTCGAACCGCTGAGCCACACCAGCCAGGGCTGTTATTCTTGAAACAGTCTTTTACCTTGGCATAAGCTATAGTGTACTCCTGATGTTCATTCTACCTTGAAAGTCTTCTTTGGCTTACTTTGTGGATTCTTCTTCCTCCCAGTTCTTCACTAGGCCTTCTTCCCAGCCTCTACACTTTCCCCAAGCAATCTCCCATCCCTTCAATTTCCACCTACATGTCAATTCCTCTCAAATCTTTATTCCCAGTCCAAAGCTCTCTGCAAACATGTATTATCTTTTTGCCTCTATTATATTTTCATGGGAGCATTACAAAGACAACTCACACTCAACAGGTCCAAAATTGAGTACTTCATCCTACCAAACCTGTTTCTCCCATGTCCCTCTTAGTCAATGATGATACCATGTGCCCCAAAACACAAGCCAGAATCACAGGTTACATTCTTAAACTTAAATTTTTCCTTGATTTCTCTCAAGCCTGCCTTTTCTTTTCCAAGCTCACTGAGAAGTTCCTTACTAGGTCCCACCTGCCACAATCTATCATTTCACTGCTTCAACAACTTTTACTCTTCAACCAATAATCTTTTTAATATATAAAAGTGATCATGTAAGTTTTCTTTTATAATTTTTCAAGAGTTTGGACTCTATCTTAACAAAGTTTACAAAGCCCTCAAAAACCAGGTCCTTCTTACCTCTCTTTAAACCTAATCCCTCAAAGTCTAAATTCTATCCAAACTAAACCACTTTCTAGTCCTTCGACATGTTCTAACAGAAATATCCTTCCTTTCTCTCCCCACACCTCTACATTTGGCTAACCTGTACTTCCTGTTTCAGTCTAGACCTCTCTCTCTTCAGGAGTGAAAAATCCTTTTCTATGACTTCAAACATACTAGTTACAGTATGTGCTCCTAGAATACTGTTTCTAATTGTTTGTTTAATTGTCTGTTTTCTCCACTGTAATGTTACAACAGGAACCACATATACCTTGATCTTTGTATCTCTGGTGCCTAGCACAGCAGGTATTTGATAAACATTTGTGGAAGGGAAAAAAGAAGGAAGGTAAAAAATGTCCCCAGAAATGCCCATGGTTGCAAAGCTATCCAATCAAAACAAACCATTATTCTTGGATAAATAAATACATAAAAGTATAAGATCCACCAAGTTTTCTGTTTTGTTCACTACAGAATATCTCAAGCACTTAGAATAGTGAATGGCACAGAGGAGGGAGCATTGCTGGGCAAATGAATAAAACTGAATTTTACTTTCTGAATTGTCTGTATTTTTACAAGTTTTATAAATGCTTTCTTTAAATTATATATAAGTATAAAGATATGTAAAAGTTAGTTTTACAAAGCCTCTAACAATTCACATAGCCTATTCAGCACTCCTTCCTTAAAAGTATAGCTAGTGTCCTGGCTGGGTAGCTCAATTGGTTAGTGTCATCCCAATACTGCAAGGTTGCGGGTTCCAGCTCCAGTCAGGGCACATATAAGAAGCAACCGCCAGGTACATGCACAGGGTGGATGTCTCTGTCTGTCTCTGTCTCTCTTTCTCTCTCCCTGTTCCTCCTTCTCTCTGGAATCAATAAAAAAGTCTAGCTAGTATATCCCACTTGGCTGCTTTGCAGTCTCTAGCCTCTTCCATGCCTATTTTCCATGATTACTATTCTAGAATGGAATACTCTGTCACTCTACTGCTATTCCTGTCCCATTCCTGTTAGGTCGGCATTAACCTACATCCACGAAACTCACTGTATCTCCAATACTTGCCACTCTATTCTACAGAGCCACTGTTCTGATATGAACAAGTTACCCAGTAACAAGTTTAACAAAAAAAAACCCACCTACCTGCTCTTGACATGAAAACATGATGTTCAACTGGTGGTAAATCCCTTTAAATTCTTACTTTATTTCTGAGACTCAAAGGGTAAAAAAAAGTAGCATGTTTTATCAAGATTTCTCAACCACCTCTTCCTTTTTCAAGTCTATCTTCTAATAAATACATATACTACATAGAATTATAGCCTAACTGTCATATTATATGCTATTAGCTGAAAACACTTTGTGTATTAATTCATTTAATCCTCTGAATGACTCTATGAATTAGATATTATTTTTATTTCATTTATAGATAAGAATACTGAGGCACAGAAAAATCGAGTAATTTTTGCAAGGCCACTCAGCAGGTGGTAGAACCTGGATTTGACCTCAGGCAGTCTGGCTCCAGAGTTTATGTTCCAAACCATAGTTACACTCTCACTTTAGCACTTGTTATCATTTTTTTCCATCTGGATATACTTGTATTTTGCCCTGTATAATGTGCTCCATGTATAATGCACACCCACATTTTCAGCCCAAACTTTCAGGAAAAAAAATCTTACATTTTACAGTATATAGGTACAGAATTAGTACTACGCATGTATAATGTGCATCCTTATTTTTCCCTCAAAAATTTAAGCAAAAAAAATGCACATCAGCAAAATATGATATTTATAATTTCCAGGAGGGATAAATGGAGACAGGAGACTTGACTTGGGTGGTGAACGCACAATACAATATACAGATGATGTATTATAGAATTGTATATCTGAAACCTATATTTTTATTTAAATATAAATTTATTTATATATTAAAATATGTATAATTTATATATAAATGTAATTGTATTTATATATAATTAATCAATGTCAAACCATTAGATTCAATAAAGAAGTAAAAATTTTAAAATTCCTTAATGACTTCAGTGTCTGGATCACTTAATTTGCTTCTTTTCTTCCCCATGCCATCACCATCCTTTGGAACTCACGACCTGAGGACACTCACCGAATGGTATTCATTCACGATGTAAACAGAACAGATCTACTCCAGTGACCTCCATCTTAATTATGTGCAAAGCCTCACACAAGAAAGGCCATGTTGTGTCTTCTCTTTATTTTTAAAACTGCTCCACCACTAAAATCCAAGACACTAATTTTCCTCTCTACACCGAACCAATTATCCTTCTAGCTCCGTAACTGCTTGAGTAGGACAAAATCTGCTCTTCATTTTCCCTGTGGCCTCAACCTCTTGGACCCTCTCAGTTATCCGGTCTATTGCTTCCCTGCCCACTCCACTTGTCTCTCCATCCAGCTTAGTCAGCCATTTTGAAAACTGCTGAAGTCAAATGTCTTTTTTTTTTTTTTAATGAAATGATAGAAGTAGATAACAGAGGTCTGATTTTGTTTTTTGATGTCCTCCTTTAGTAAAATGAAAAACTGCAGTTTTATGTCCATCCTCAAATCCAGCCTCTTTGCCTTTCTTTTCTATATATGTTTTGTACTGCTCCACAAAAATCTAAAAATTAGGAGTTATTGCACTGGATTCCTTTGCCCACTGGTTGGTGCTGCTCTTCATACTTTGACAATCTCCAGTACCGTATCTGCTGTCTCTAATTTCTCTCCTAAACTGCATGTATAATAAAAAAATAAAACAAAATAACTCCAGAAGATAGTTACAACTAAGACAATGCTTTGAAAAACTGCACAGGATGTAAGAAACCACCCTTCATGCTGGAAACACAGAGACACACACTATCAACACTCAATATATGTAATGTCATACAGCCCATATTTTATCCTTGAATCAATCTTAAAATAATGAGACTATCAGACGCTTTGCCAAAATTAAAGTATAGAATTCATGACTTTTTAGTCTGCCTGCTCAATTAAGTTTTCTTTCTTCTCCCCCAAAAAGTGGAAACGCAATTTATCTTCAGCTACCCACGTATGAGCTAACTTCTATTTTTAAAATACATCTGGCAATATGAGATATATTTAATTGGTTAATAGATATGGACATGTTATAGGTTGAACTATGTCCCTCAGAAAGATATTTTGAGCCTCAACCAGTGTGGTTCAGTTGGTTGGGCATCGTCCAGCAAAGCAAAAGGTCACTGGTTTGATTCTCAGGGCACATGCCTAGGGTTGCAAGCTAGGTCCCTGGTTGAGGAGTGTAAAACTGATCGATGTTTCTCTCTCACATGATGTTTCTCTACCTCCCTTTCCCTCTCTCTAAAAATAAATACATAAAATCTTTTTTAAAAAAAGATATACTGAGCTCTGGCCAGTGTGGCTCAGTTGGTTGGAGTGTCATCTGTAAACAGAAAGGTCATGGGTTTGATTCCCCATCAGGGCACATGCCTTAGGTCATGGGTTCCCATTTGGGACACATTTGAGAGATAACCAATGTTTCTCTCACATCAATGTTTCTTTCCCTCTCTCTTCCATTCCTCTCTCTCTAAAAATCAATAAGCATGTGCTCGGGTGAGGATTTAAAAAAAAAAAAGATATATTAAAGTCCTACCCTTGTGGATGGGCCTTATTTGGAAGTATTTGTGACTTTGAAGACATTATTAGTTAAGATAGGATTATTCTGGGTTAGAGTGGCCCAAAATCCAATGACTGGCGCCCTTATTAGGAAAACCATGTGAAGTGAATCTACAAAGTATCCAATAAAGAAAAGAAAAAACAAAGCCACGCGAAGATACACAGAAGAATGTCACATGAAGACAGAGGACGAGATTAGATACATCTACAAGCCAAGGAGTGCCAAAGATTGCCCAGGCGCTGGAGGTGGCAAAGAATAATCCTTTTTTAGAGCTTTCAGAGGGGGTATGGCCTGCCGACACTTAGACTTCAGTCTACAAGCCCCCAAAATGGTGGGAGAATAAATTTCTACATTTTTTTAAGGTACCCGGTTTATGGTAATTTGTTATGGTAGCCCTATAAAACTAATACAAGCCTTTAATAAGAATGAGAAAGACAGAACAAGTATTATCCAGGCCATTACTGAACTTTAGAAATGAAAAGCAAAACTATATCTTATCTGTAATTTTAAATTACTTAATTATACTATATTAGGATACATTACAATAAAAATATTTCTATTAAAGATAGCTTAGTTTCAGCCTATAAACCTAGATATCCAAAAGAAGTGCTTATTCTTTTTACTTTAAAACTGGGACTCAGTTAAACTTTATGTTTTCAAAATTATTTATCATAATATAATTCAAATAAATCTAATAACTTTCTAAGTGATTAAAAGGTTTAATTGGAAGGCAGTATAAATATGAGTTTTGTGATCAGAAAAACTTGGGTTAATATCTAGGCACTTGTCAGCTGTGTGACAAATTTGAAAAGATCCTCAACTTCTCAGAATCCTCTATTATCATCATCTTATTTTAAAAGGAGGGAGAGGGATATAATGGCTACCTCACAGTTTTCATTCAAGATAAAAAAAATAAGAATTTAATGTCTGTTTCTAATTATCAAAAAATGCAAAGGTTTGTAGAATACTTGAGAGTTATGTTAAAGTCTTTACGGAAAATGGGAGAATATATGCATTAGTTAATAACATGAATAGACTGAGGATGATATAAATTGAAAGAATAAAAGTTAAGGAAATAGACTGCAGAGTGATGACAACACAACAAGTAGTAGTAAGTGCCCAGCAGCAATATGAACGACAGACAAAGAATGGCTTGACTACAGTAACTACTCAGTAAGTGTACAAAATTTAAGTAAAGAAGGAACAGTAAGGAAAAGGTCAGAGAAACATGAAATATTATTTACAACAGAATGAATGTCTCCAAAAACAAGGAGAATGGATTAACAATACACTTAAAGACCAACAGTGCTAGTTTAGCCCTGGCTGGTATGGCTCATGGGACAGAACGCCAGCCTGCAATCCAAAGTGTCCCCGGTTCGATTCCCAGTCAGGGCGCATGCCTGGGTTGTGGGCCAAGTCCCCAGTAGGGGGCATGTGAGAGGCAACCACACATTGATGTTTCTCTCCCTCTCCTCCCTACTTTCTGCTCTCTCTAAAAATAAATAAAATCATTTAAATTTTTTTTTGACAAAAAGAGCAATAGTTCTCTTTTGATTTAGACTGTAGTAAGACAGGAGTAGAAAGAAGGAACTTTTACCTTAGAGAGGATAACACCTTAAGAAAACAGGCAAATGGAAGATGGAGTTTAAAGACATATTAACCATAAAATGAAGAGTGTTTCACTAATCTGGGGGTCAGAAAGAAATTTTTTTTTAAAAGTCTTCCTCGGTCTGTACTTTGAATAAGAACCAAGGCAACATTTTGTGAATATCCTTAGAGGTTAGAAAACAAAAATTTAAAAATTACAAGAACTAACACATAATGAATGTTAACTGTACACTATGCATTGTTCTAAGTGCTTTGCATGTTTTAACTCATTTACTCCTCACCAATCACCACATGAGTTAGGCATTAATATTCCCATTTTGCAGATAAGGAAACTAAGGCACAAAGGTTAATTTGCCCACCTTGACATTTATGAGGCAGAATCAGAATACTGAAAACTGTTAACTAGGATTAGTAGCAGGAACAGACTACCTGAAAGTAACTTATACTGAAAATAAAATCACTGTTTCTTCCAGTTAAATCACTAACCCCCAAAGAAAATAAATTTGTTTTTTCTAATTACTTTTTGTTGGGTGTTGTTCCACAGTAGACCTAATTTCCTTTCACAGAGCTTTCAAGTTTGATATATTTTTATGATTTGTACTCTCGAGCCATTACAATACTCAGCTGTGTGGTAAACTTTATTCTTAAAAAGAAACTTCCCTCCCCATCCCACTTCACCCTCAAAACCATGGACTTCTTTTTCTCAGGTTTTCCCTCTTAGAACTGGCACAATTGCATCAATTTAAATATATCAATAAACAAATTAAGTCAGTATACGACCTGAGGGCTTCAGTGAACCAGCCTCTGACTTCTTTATTATAATAGCTGTATACTAGAGTTCAACGTATCATTTCAAACAAATGAATAAATCTTATTTTTTAACTTATTTTAATAGCTTCTGATAGCCAGTATTGCAACATTTTAACAGATACTATGTAACTTTTCGTTGTCTCGAGGGCACTAATCCTAAATAGAAGTTACTTCGATGTGTTTTCTCAAGGATCTTCCTTTCGACTCTATAGCCTTTACTCAAGGCTATTCTCTACCAAAAGCTGACAAGTTACTTTCCAAGGGTTTCTTAATCCTCGAAGGTTTAAACAAAGTAGTGACACTCGGACCTGTCTCTCCTGCAACATCTCACCCTGCTCTGCCCCTTCGTCATTTTTCCAAGCAAGGTGCGAAACTCTCCTTCCAGAGGAGGCCAACACCTCAGTGTTTCTTAAAAAGAGGGAGCAACTTGCTGCAAAGAAATTAGCATTTGTCTGAATGATGGTGGGGAGCCAGACCCCCGGGAAGATCGGGACATGACCCGTACGGTTTTTACAAGGCGGGACTCCCCTCGCCTGCGGACGGGAGGAGCCTCCAGCGTACCGGACACTGTGAGAAGCAATGGGTCAGGGTCAGCAGCTGTTGAGGAAGCACCTAAACTCCTTCAAGTTGCGATACAGTTCAGAGAAAATGAGCCGCGGAAAAGGGACCTCCAAGGCTTAGCGCTGCCCAGGGTCCTGCCAGTAACGCCCCCGGGGGAAGTGGAGCAGCTACCCAGTCCTGCCTGCTCTCCAGAGGAGAGCCACGAAGACAAGAAGCCAATTCCATGACAGGCTCTCAGCCCCCTTAACTACATTCACGCCCGGAACAGCCCTGGAACAACCGAAATAACAGCACCCGGTACGATTTCAGTATTTTACCTTGTGCTTCGGTCCCAGCCGACCGCCATGTTTCACAGAAGCCCGGGTCGCCCGGGCTCCAGTTCACCCGGAAACATCGCGAGAACAAATGCGACCACGACCACTGAGACTTTCAGGAGAGAGACAATGTAGAGTTCTCGCGATAGGCTCTTTGCTGACGAAATGTTTCGTGAATCAAGAGGCGTGGTCAAGATGAAAGGGGCGTGACTAAAGAGTAAGGAGTTCGAAACTTATTTTAGGTTAACGAAGTGGCCAGTAAGGGATCAGCTTTTCCAGGAAGGGCTAGATTACCTTCTAAGAGACCACAGAACTACTGTTTCTCTACTCCTCATACTGTACTTCATTACTGATGAAAGACTTGGGCGCAGGAGGCATATCACTCCTCAGATTCTGCACCACGTCCTGGTCTTTGCCTCTTTACCACCGCCCCCGCTCCACCCCCGCTGAGAATATTTAAACTTACTTTTCAAGACAAAGGCAACGCTTATAGCTATTCAATGTTGTTGTCTTCCAGATAGTATGCTCCTTGAGAAAGAACATCTGTCTTTCTCACCTTTATATTGCCAATACGCACTATGCATTCAAATATTTCTTCAGAAAAATTAATACTTCATCTTTTCCTAACACTTCACAGTATAAGAGGTAATAGAGGGGACTTTGGGAAGAAAGGGAACTATTTTAAAGTTTGCACATCTGTTATTGGATTTCCCCATCAAACATTTAGATTTTAATTTTCTGATTGATTGACCAAAAAAGTCTTACGGAGGCATAATGACAACTAATACTTACACAGTAAGTATCATTTTAAATGCTTTACTTACCTTATTTCATTTAAAGGTGTTAAGGTAATACCATTATTTACCTGTTTCATAAATAAGAAAATTCAGTCAAGTGGCACTTAAGTGATTTACTCAAAGTCAGATAGCTGGGAGAGGCAGAGATTGACCACAACACTAAACTGCCCTTTTATTTATTGAATTAACTATTTATGAAACACTAAGTTTTACTAAATTGAAACTATCCTAGAATATAAGGACAAATAGTTTCCACTGATGCAACTTCATTTCCAATCTTTCCTGTTAAAACACTTTAGTTGAAAAACTTTAAATCAACTTTAAGTTGATTTGTTTCTACCTCCCTCACATTTTTAAGAAGCTGCATAGTGTAGTGGTTAACCTCTTAAACTCAGTTACTTGCTCCCTAATTCTTGGCGACACCTTACAGAAAGAGGTACAGATAAATAAATGTTTTGTAAACAATTGAAATATCCTATTTTGTTTAAAAATTAAGTGATAAGCCTAATAAATGATTTTTTAAATATCCATTGCTCATTGAAATTGTGAAACTGTAGGAACCGTGTAGGGACCTGTCCCACCTAATTGAATGTGGGGTATTGTTCTACTTGAATAAAATTAATAATTTTATGGACTGAATAACATTCACCTTCATGTCTTCTAATGTTTACCACATTAGAAAAAAATAGTAAAGGGTACATGTTACACTAAATATGAACTTAATGACATTTCAGATTGTAAATTCCCAGGAGGCATGAAGCAACATTAAGTTTCTGTGACCGATGTTTAATACTGAACATACGAAATACACCAAATCCAAGTTCCTCAATACAAGGGTTGTGGGAAGTGACATTGAGTGTTTTTGCACTGATAAGAGTTACTTTTCAAGTATGCTGTTATGTGTTTTCTTTCCCATTTAATAACACAATTCCATCCAGCTGCTGTCTCAGTAATCATGCTTCCCCTTCAGTGACAGATGTGATCCAATCCCTGTAGGCAGAAATCCTAGTGAAGACTGTTGGTGCGGTGGGATGGCAGTTACTGCTTCCCCAGCTCACAATACCGATCAGTTTGTACCGCCCATCCTGGGCACACTGCAGTGGTCCTCCAGAGTCTCCCTGAAACCAGCAAAAAGAAAAGTTCTCCTGCTTGTGTGATCCATGGTTGAGGCTAACCCCACCTACAGAGCATGATCAGACAGCGTCTCAGCTCTCTGAACCCTGATTTCTGCGTAGGAAACCAGAGCTGTCAGGTTAGTCAGATGCTATTTCATATAATCTGAATCAGATCAAAGTCTCTATATTCAAGGAGAGGCTAAAAGATACATTGAGCATAAATTCATTCAATGCCGACAAAAAAGTGTGCCATGCAGGACATTTCAAGCATCTACTAAATACAATGACTAAATGATAGTTTTGAATTACATGAACACATCTTAATATCTTTAGTGCTACTAGAAGTAGGTACTTTGAGCCACCTAATTCAGCTATGAAATCAAACCGTAAGAAATTATCATCTTTGTAAGTCAAAAAAGAGTTGGGTATCATTAATTTCACATAGTTTAAGCAAATGAATAATTCCTTCTGAGAACTGAATCCACTTCAAGTATCAAAGTAACAGTTGCAGCACATCAATTTAGCAATGTTCTTATCCTTCTCACTTCTCATTTTGAAACTACCCTACATTTATAACTCCTTATTGTCAGCAAGCACCTATTCATGAGACACACTGAGAAGATAGCTCCTACACTCATCAATACAACCCTTGAATTACCAGGCATGAGGATGATCCTGCAGCCCCTCCACATATATTGGTGTTTTTAATATCCAGTCCCCAGTAGCTTCGACATGATGTACTACTAATCAATGGTACCTTTGTCTGCTGCACAGTTTTAGAAAGTTTGTCTTCTAGTAGAAAAGAAATAAAAACACATATTACCTAGGCAAATGCTTTTAAAAGATAAGACACACAAAAGAAAACCCTATTTTGTAGATAGACTTCAAAGATTAAATACCACTCATTCTTTCCTTTTAGCAATATAATGATGCTGCTAGCTGATTTGTTTAAAAAACAAAACAAAACAAACAACCCCAAAAGCTGATATTACTACACAGTGGCTCATACAGCAGGAATGATAACAACAACAATTTTATGTGGGGTCTTTTTCCTTTAGTACAATCCTAAGAAGAGAGAAAAATAGTATCATTTTTAGAAGGAAAATGACAAAGTTTATACCCAAATTAGTTGTTGATAAAGGGAACAATATAAGTCATAGTTTACATGTCAAATCTTTACTTCATTCCATTGATTTCAGGGTGCTTTCATTCTTTTGACTGGAATTTTGCTTAACAGACATTTTGTCTAAGTGCTGACACTGTCTGGGAGTTGTCAACCAAAATTGCATCTTGATTTAGTCTTTCATTTATCAGATGTTTGTAAATTGTTAGTTCAGTTGCAGAATACAGTAGAAGTGAGACCAGAGTCATGAGTTTGATCTTTATATGAACTAGTTATTTGCACATAATCTTTATACCCATTTATACCATTTTTACAAGCCTATCAATTCAGAAACATGTCTCATATCCTTGAAAATAGGTCCATATCTCTCTTTATTTTTTTTTAGAGAGAGGGAAAGGGAGGGAGAAAAAGAGAGAAACATTGATGTGAGAGAGAAACATTGATTGGTTGCCTTTGGCCCAAACCAGGGACTGAACCTGCAAACCAGGCATATGCTCAGACCAGAAATCGAATCGGTGACCTTTCACCTTGCAGGACAACACCCAACCAACTAAGCTGCATCAGCAAGGGCTAGGCTCATATCTGTAAGTATGGATTTTTACAGTAGTGGTGTACAGTTATGAAAACAATTGTGTCTGAGTATGTGTTCACAGTGCAATTAGGAAATAATTACATATAAATGAAACACATGGATATTTAATAGGAAATAAAATCACTACATACTCTCCAACACACGTTTTTTTGCAAGCATCAATGAACTATTTATCAGTGAACTAACATCAATATATATGATAGCCTAAAACACAAGCAGTAACCTGTAGATCCATTATGAAAAAGACTTTTTCTACTATCATTCCTATAAAAAATACAGAAAAAATTGAAAATAAATAATATACTCAGATTTCACATCTATGTGGATTATAATCTTAGAAGAAGTAGTGAATATACTCACGTTGTGGGTCAGTTAGTCCCCAGCCAGCAGTCATACATTTGGAAAGTAAGTTTATTTTACTGTCTTTTCCTGGCAAACAAATCGGAGATACAAACTTTCCTAATCAAAAACAAGAGAAAGAAAAATATCCTTCAGTCCATAGGACTGATATTAACATTGTTTGCTTTTCAGAGATGATTGTAGAAATATCTACTTTGCCCTACGCTACCCTTTTAAACCCTGTAATTTAATAAATAAGTCTTCAAGAAGAGAACATCTACTAATTACTCAGAAGGGATCATCCCAATTCACATGTTACCACTTTCCTCCAGGTAGTTCCATCCTCCTAGGACAGCAGAGACACGTGCTCTGTCCTGGGATGTGGGACTCCTGGTTTCTCAACCACAACCACTTTTTAAAATGTGCCTGCCTTTTTGTCCATGTGCCTCCAGGACATCACCTTGTTGAATTTGAGATGACAGTGAAGGAGAATATAATTATCTTCTTTCTTCAACTATATTATAAGAGGAGTGGGGAAAACCACATTTGTAGCAATTTAAAACAGTTTTCTTATTTTTATAGCTAATAAGTATTTTATATCTAATAAAGGCATAACAAAAACTGTACTTATACATTATACATTTAAACATTCACATTTTTATCATCAAAATTTGTATAAACATAAATATTGCAGGTTTATATGTGTGTCTATATGTATATACACTACACACACAATGTACCGAATGCAGTGCTCCTGTGTTTGTTTTCCCATGATGTTGCACTTTATTCTTATCCAGATTTTATATACTTAGATGCTTCAGCATACCTGCTGTCCTAGACCATTTTTAAGATGATTTGTCCTTTATTTTTACTGCTACTTCTTGATAAATTCTCATCTATTCTGGTCCTACTCATCTCCATATATGTGCCAGCTGGCTCCAAATCTTATGTTATGCTGCCTTCACAGATTGTCATTGATCTATCATATCCAATAGATATTTCCTGGAACTAAAATAAAATATCTTCCCTCTACCAATATATTTTCCAATTGGTCATTTTTCTTGTTCTGATTTTTTTCACTTACTAGATTATGATTATATCACTCATATCATTACATATAGATCTACCACATCATTTTTAATAGGACACAGTATACAGAACAATGTACCATTATTTATTAAATATAGAAAGGAAACATATGGGTTCTTGTGGTGAGAGAAATGTTCTGTATCTTTACTGAATCAATGTCAATATCCTGCAAAATGTTACCATTGATGAAAACTAGGTAAAGAGTTCATTGGACCAAGGAATTCTACTGCTGGGAATACGCCCTAAGAATCCAAAAACACCAATTCAAAAGAACTTATGCACATTGATATTCATAGCAGCACTATTTACAATAGCCAATTGCTGGAAACAGCCTGAGTGCCCCTCAGTAGATTAATGGATTAGAAAACCATGGTACATCTATGCAATGGAGTACTAGCAGCAGAAAGAGGGAAGGAATTCCTACATTTGTGACAGCATGGATGGAACTAGAGATGACTATGCTCAGGGAAATAAGCCAAATACCATATGATCTCACTTATAAGTGGGATCTAATGAACAAAATAAACTAACGAGCAAAACAGAACCAGAAACATGGAACAGACTGACAGCTGCCAGAGGAAGTGGAGGGGGAGGGTGGAAAGAAGGCGAAGGGAGCAGCCAAAGAACATCTGTGAATGACCCATGGACGTGGACAACGGGTGGGGATGGACTGTGGGGGTGGGGGGTGGGTGAGACAGAGGAGGGCAAAGGGGGGAAAATTGGGAAAACTGTAATAGATTAAATAAGAATAAAAAATAGAGAGAAAAGTACATTGGTGTCTCTATTGTGTTTTACAACTATATATGAATCTACAATAATCTCAACATAAAAAGTCTAATTAAAATAAATTTTTAAATCAGGATAAGGTGAAAGAAAATACTGATGCCAGGCCTCCACTCCTAAGATTGTGATTAACTTGTCCAAAATGCATCCTAGCCTATACTTTTGTTTTGTTTTAAAGCAACCTAAGGAATTACGAGGCACAGCCAAGGTTAAGAAGTACTGTTATAGAGGCTCTCACCGACTCAGTTATACAGGCAAAAAAAAAAAAAAAAAAAAACAAACAACAAATGGGGAACTGAGCCATGAGTGGGGGTTTGCAAGATGGATGCATTGAAAAGACAGAAAGGGAGGAGAGGCTGTTGGCAGAGGAACAGGAGAAAAATGCAGAAACACAGGAGAAAGTCGGGGTAAAGCCATGGGCATGAACATGGAGATGGTCCACAGGGCTTAATTACATCTCTGCCAATATATTACTTTCCCACCAAACGTTCACCTGTGTTAAGTAGGTTGGTGGGTTACTGTTACACGCTTTCTGCAAATGATAAAACTGAGGCTCAGAACACGCACATCACACCCTAGACTGCATGGCTACTAGGTGACTGAGCCAGACTGAGACTCTCAAGGTGGGTTTGGTTTAAGTAAACATTATAAAGACAGACAAAATTTTACTAAGTCATGAAGGTACAGGAAATATAACATCTGATGGTTCAATTCCTGGTCTAAGTTTTTGGGTTAACCTCATAGGATACAACAGTCTCGGAAGAATAAATAGAAAAAAGTTAAAAATGTATTCCTTTAACATCTTTTCCAGACCTCCATGAATTAAAAGTACATAAAAGGAAAATGTTTATGCAGGTTTTTAGAGAAAATATTTTAAGATTTTAAGTAAGTTCTGAAATAATTATTTAACTTCAGAAATACATATGGCACTTCTGCCCTGGCCAGTATGGCTCAGTAAGTTGAAATGTCATCCTGTAAATTAAAGGGTGGAGGGTTGAATTCCTGGTCAGGGCACATGCCTACCTTGTGTGTTTGCTCTCTGGTGGGGGTGTGTATGAGAGGCAAACAACTGATGTTTCTCGCTCACATCAATGTTTCTCTCCCCATCTCTCCCCGTCCTTCCCCTCTCACTAAAATCAATGAGCATGTCCTTGGGTGAGGATAAATATATATATATATATATACACACAGCACTTCTAAGCAAAATGAAATATAAACTATACGGCAAAGTTCAAATAATGGAAAAGAGGTATTCATACTGACCTAGTTCAACAGGTTTTTCCAGATGCAACAAAGATAGATCATCATTAGGAGGAAATTTTGTGAAGCCAGGGTGAGTGTATACAGCTTTCACTGGTACCAAATCACTGTTTTCTATGTTTGAGAGGTAACTTCTTCCTATTACCAGGCTGTCTGTGACAGTACTTGTCATAAGAAAAGGGAGTGAGAGAATAGGTACCACTTTTAATGGGGCCAAAATTTTTCAAAATTACCAAAAATATATTTTAATATCTCTAATCTACATTAAAGTCTTTGTTACCTTGAATTCTTAGAAAAAGAACATCTCTCATTAAATCCTTGAGAAAAACTTTAAAGTATCTACTTTCTTGCTTTAATAACATTAAATACAATGTTGTAGTATTTCTTTGACAATTAAGATTCATGACACCTTAAAGTAATAATTCTACAGATCATTATAATCATAATATTATACCTTATGTTACATGTTTATATAGTGGTCACTGAAAGGTATTCTTAATGTTATAATTACTCTACTCCCTAATACAATGTTTCTTAAAGAAATGTGTAGGGAACACACATACTAAATATGGCATATGCATTCGTTTATTTGGTTTTTATTTTTCTCTCTATAAGGCAAATAACTTATTAAGTTCCCAGGAAATCACAAAAAATGGACTGTAGTATGTATGCCAACACAAAATAAACAATCATATATAAATTATAAAAAGTGGGTATATAAAACAGTTTTCTTTCCAAAACATGTTAAGCATTTTGAGGTATAACTCAGCTATACTCTTTAATATAAAAATGAAAAGTATCTTGAAGTGATAGGTTAACGTCAGTTTTAATCAATAAAGCTTCACAGAAACATCAACTAAATTTTCTTAAATAAAAAATTTTAACGCATTTTGCTTTTATATGTATTATGTTATCATATTCAGTCATGAAAAGTAATGAAGTCTTGCCATTTGTGACAACATGGGTGGATGTAAGGATTATTATGCTAAGTGAAATAAGTCAGACAGAGAAAGGCAAATACCATGTAATCTCGCTTATATGTGGAATCTAACACATACATTTTTTTTTTAAAGAAATCTTGATAGGTATAGAGAGCAGATTGGTGGGTGCCAGACGCAGAGGATGGGATGGAAAAAGGGGGTGAAATATTTTTTTTTATTTTCATTTAAAAATTTCTAATAAAGGACATTTAAAAAAATCTTTGAAACTTTAGATATCTATTCTGGGAATGAGTCTAATGAGCAGACAAGTAAGAACAGGAAAACAAGAAGAAAATGAACCCACAATTGAGCAGTCCCTGTGCTCTAGGTATGAATATGATGTTAAGAGTCTAATTAGAAAATGTTAAGACATCATTATCCCCATGTTATAGAGTAGTAAAGAAAAGGGAGTGTTGTTAGTTGCTTATTAACTAAATTACACCTAGAAGCAGGAAGTACTTTTTAAAATTGAAAGCAATTAGTAGTATGTGTATTAGCGAAGCCCAGAAAGTTTCATCAACCTGATATAGTACGTCCATTCACTTGCAAGCTAGTTCCTTGTGTCATGAAGACAGCGAGAGCACAGCCACCATGCGCCCTCGGAGCGCTCCAGCACCCCCGCACCACACACAGGCTCGCACCTGAAGTTGCAGTGAGCTGCTGTCAGGACCCACTGCTTTGCAATCAGAGCACCTCCGCAGTAATGTTGTCCTTGGTGCTGCAGACTGACCAGCCAGGGCCACGACATTGCAGGTGCAGTGTGGCCACCAGCCACCCTGGGCTTCCCAAGCTCAGCTGGTAACCCCTTTGTATTTCTCTCAGACTCTTCTTCTATGACAAATGGGTCAACAACTGGAATTCCACATTTGTCTTGGGTTAGCCATCTTTCTGGATTGTTTTCTAGTGTCATTCCTTAGGAAAGTAACAACAAAACATTAGATAAAAATACTTATGAAAATCTATTAAAATTTCAGCGTGGAGCTGTTTGTTTCTTGTGTAGGTTTGAAACTAGAATTCTTAATATGAGCAAAAATCTGTAAATTTAACTGATGCATAATATACACATCTTTAGACAAATCAGAATATAAATCAATTTTTAGAAAAGAAAAATGTTGCACTTAATTATGAAATTACTGAACATTGTTCTTTCTGTGGCTTTATTTATGTTACCCCAGTATTACATATGTAGACATATCAAAATACTTTATACTTCATGTATTCAAGATACAATGTATACATAATGGAAATGCATAAGGAAAATTTCTAGCAGTGTGTATATTCCATTCTTGAATTAAAAAGAAATCTACAAGGATATTAAAAACAAGAGATTTATTTAAGTTTTTCCTTAAATATTAAGAAAATTAAGCTTCTCTATAGCCATAAAATTTAAAATTATAAAATGTGCTCATTTGTTAAATTAGTTACTTGAAAATTTCATTTCTATACCAGAAAGCTGTTCTAACAAAGTGGATTTGTTTGTTTATTCAATACTTATATCAAAACTCATTTCTACTTTCTCTTCAGATAAGTATAAAACATGAATTCCCTCCTCCTTTGGATACATATTCCAAAAAAATATGTGAACTCTTTTAAACTAAGCTATCCTAACCTCAGAAAAACCCACAAAAGGTATTTGTTTAAATATGGTTTTAGTGCATTAAAGTTTACTGCCTTAGTGCATGTTTTTACTGCATTTACAATCCACATTATATATGGTGATATGTAGTAAGTCTTATAACTTTGCGTATTTGTAAACACGTATCATAGCAATATTTTATTAGTATTCAACTTCCAAAAGAAAGAATATTTTTAAAAGTGAGGCAACCTAAATATTTTGGACTGTGACAATGCAGTTTCAATTTAGAGATGCAGGGATGGAAAGGTAAAAGCAGCGGTCAGTTAGGTGAGCATCCTAAAACAATTAAAACCACACCCATGGGATGGTGAGACTCAGCCCTCTGTGGCTCAAGTCAAGGACTCCCCTGAGAGCTCATCCACTTCTCTGTAATAAAGACAAAGTGACATCAAAAAAGAACTTCACATTGTAAGTTGCTCAGAATTCTTCCTGGAATTACACTCCAATAAAAAAAAAAACACCCCTAATAACACATTCATTAGGCTTTTAAATCTTAAGCACAGCTAATGACATTCTAGCTTAAAAGCAGATTGGCTCAGTAGAAAAATATTTAAATCATTTCTATTTTATGCATTCAGGTAAAATAGTCTCCTTTGGAGCCTCTAAAGGAATGGGAGGGCAGTTACCTAATAAAAGAAACATTGTAACAGATGTGAAAACAGTGAACTCTACCTTTGTTTCAGCTTGAATGTCCCCACTGGATCTTGAAAATAGCAACTGACTTTTATGGTTATCATTATCTCTTAAATAAAAATAACACACACACACACACACAATTAACTTTATTACCTCAGATGATGTATCTGAACTACCCAAGTTTCATGCAGTAAGGAATGGTTTGAAATGAAGTTATCCTATGTGACCTTTAAACTAGAGCTCCCAGTTCTACTTCAAGACCTATGTGATATTTGCTTTAATAAACATTTTAAAATAAGTACTTACCATTGATAGGCAACTTAATCTCAGTATTGCTTTTCTGAATCCTATCTTGCAGAGTAAGTTTAAAACCTTTTCCTCCCACAGACTCATCAGTCTTAAAATGCACAGTCAGGTGAGCACTGCTGGATATCAAAACAAATTCTTTCCTGGAGCCACATAAATGAGCTGCAATGTGAGGAACATTTGATAACTAAATACTTCTGTCAATAACATAGGTAAAAGGGGGTAGAGTAAAAAGGAGATGTTAAATCCTAAACTGTTAATATTGACAAAGGAGTAATTATGAACAGTGTAAGATCAAGATTTGTAGGATGGAACTCATGATTTGATTGCAAAAATGAAAGGGTGTAGATTTTGAAAGTGTAAAGGGAAAAGGCTGGGTTAGCAATTGATATGAAAATGATATATAATTGTGGACCAATCTGTGATTCTAACAAATGGGAAAAGAAGCATTTTGGTGAAAGTATATGGACAGAGAAACAAACAGTATATGAGTCAAATGTTTGTGTCCCCTCCCCCTGCTGACTTGCCCCTGAAATTCGGGTGTTGAGATTCTAACCCCAATGTGATGGTGTTAGCAGATGAGGCTTTTGGGAGGTAATCAAGTCATGGAAGTGGGGCCCTCATGAATGGAATTAGTCTCCTTATAAAAGACACCCCAATGAGCTATCTTGTCGCTTTTTGCCATGTGAGGGAATAGCAAAAAGACAATTGTCTATGAATTAGGAAGCTAGCTCTCACCAGATACCAAATCTTGGACTTTACAGCCTCCAGAACTGAGAGAGAAATGGTTGTTATTCAAACCACTCAGACTATGGAATATTTTTTTACAGAAGCCTGCAATAAGTCACACAGTTTGCCCAAATATAGAATAATGAGGATCCTTTCTTAATTTAGAAACACAAAAATTGGTTTTGGTAATGATAGGACATTTGCTATAATTTATCTGTACATGCTGTAATTTAAATTCTCCTAAATTAAAACAATGACACACTATTGATTTATCTAAAGATAATATTATCTCAGAAATCTGAGAAAGAAATATGGGGAATAGGGAAATAGTTATTTCCCACATCATTCTTATCCTCAAATAAAATGTGTGGTGAATTGGGAGTGATGGGAAACTCTGAGATAAACCGTGTCAAATAATGGGATTCTGGGTAGAAACAAAACCCCTAGAAGTTTTAAAATAATGGAAATGGGAAAGTGTTAATCTGTTTAAAAAGGAGATTAGGGGTTGGAGGAATGTGTAGGAGAGAGAGAAAACAAAGAGTTGTAGGGGGTGTTTCAAGGTCACTTATCAGTGAAGTAACGCTGTTTCGTGTTTACAGGCAGATTCTACCTACCAACTGCTGCTCTGACCCAGCTCTGCAATTTATTAACTCTGTGGCCCTGGGCAAATTACTTAACCTCTCTCCGTGCCTCAAATTTCTCATCTGCATAATGGAGATAAAAATGATAATCTCACCTGAGGTTAAATAAATTGATATTTATAAAGTACTATGTTTGTTAAATAAAAATAAGCCTCAGCAAAATTTTACAGCTAATTATTAGGCAGATGCATTTTGAGCACTTGGAGGAGAACTCAGTGGTCACCGGATGCCAGCACGGGATCCTTATCAGGTCACATTAAATTAACCTAATTTAATTTTTGAAAGAGATAATTGGATGGTGGCTAGGGGGAAGGAGATAAACTTAATGAATCTTGATTTCAGTGAAGCACTTAAGAAAGTATATTATGATGTCTCCCTGTGAACAGATATAGAATGTAAGTGGATGATTATGTGGCTAGGAAGTTTCATTGCTGATTAAATAACCATTTGCTGTTAACCTGGGGGGAAGGTGTGAATGGTATGGAAAGGGTATGGAAATGGTTCTATCTTTGGTTCTTCCAAGTACAGGATTTCTAGTAATGTTTACAGGTAACATGCTTACAAAATCTCTAGGTTTAAATGGGTGGTGGCTAGATGAAGAGTAAAGGACTAGGTTAAATACAGAACTGAGAGATCATTTAACATTTCATTTAACACTGAGTTCCTTTTAAAATAACCCTGGACATATGATTCCTATCCTTGAAAATATGACATTGACCTTATTAGCATTTTCTCTTTTTGAACAGTTCTAATTGCTAAACTGTTCTTTCTCGTATTGAATCAAAAGACATCAAAGTAATTACTGCCATTAGTATAGTGGCCAAGAATGTAAGTGTTTGAGTCAGAATGCTTGGGTTAAATCCTACTTTCTGTATTTATTATGTCACTGAGGGGAAGTTATTCAATCTTATCATGACTTGGTTTCTTATATTTAAGATGAGACTTATAACCTCCATCTGAAGGATTTTTAAGAAGATTAGGAGAGTTCTTAGGACTATGCCTGAATAATGGTAAATTCTCAGTAACAATTACTTAGGACACAGAACAAGTTCCATACATGGCCTCTGTAGGCGTTCCACAAATATTTGAAAAGAAGACTTACAATCTGTCTCTCTTTTCTTTTCTTGAAGGTAAACACGCCTGGGTGTCTACAACTTTTAGCATCCTGGTCATTATGTTCTATGAATGTGTCCCAGTTTGTCGGTGTTCCTCAGAACTGCTGCATGGGCAAGGATAAAATAACCAGTAAGGCAGGGCAACAGCCCGTCAGACTGGATCTTGGCTCTGAAGACCTGTGAGACTGAGCTAGCACACGCCAGCTAAGTGCTAACACTAAGTTTGACCATACAATGGAGCTATGATTCCCTTTATCCTTTAATTCTTTACTAACACTGCTCTGAAAAATCATAATCATTTGACACTTCTGAAATTTTTATTTCAAACATGCACTTTCTAAATCACCACCTTTTATCTATTCAACTCTATTAGTATTTCCCTACTCTAATTGTTTGATCTCACCATAACCACCTAGCCATTGATCCTATACACTTTCTAAATCTATCAACCTCTAAGTAAGAGATTTTACTGCAAAAGGAAGCAGAAAAAAAATGGGACAACAGCTAAATTTCTTGTTTGACTTTGAAATGATGGGTAATGTTAGAGCATGTTTGAAACTTTGAGAATGATAGAAGAGATTGATGATGTGGGAGAAAGGATAACTAAAGGAATTTTGTGAGATGCTAATAACTCTCAAATTTATATTTCTAGCTTAAACTTTTCTTCTCGCTCAAGAGTTCTACTTCTAACTACCTTGCCAACCCCATCTGGATATAGCATAGCATTAAAAAATGTAACGTGGCCCAAACTGCTCTTCCCCAACAAATCTCCTTCTCCTTCTAGTATTTCCCATCTCAAAAATATCACCATATACCTAAGAATCATCCCTGATTTGCATATTTAATTCCACACTCAATCCATCAAAAAATTCTACCAGTTCTATCCCAGATCTGCCCACTTCACTTGTACCCTATTGTTGCCATCATTTTGTAAAGTAAGATAATCTATTATCTAAAACTACTAATAGAACTTTCTGCAGTGATGGAATGTTCTATATCCGCTCTCCCCAGTATGGTAGTCTATCACTACATGTAGCAACTGAGCACTTGAAATATGGCTAATACCACATTTTATTTCATTGTAACTAATTTAAATTTTAATAGCAACACATGCTGGACAATGCAGGTCTAGGTTACCCCAATAGCTTCGTAACTGCTGATAAAATTCACCCTGTTGCCCCAAAAGCTGCTCCTCCACACAGCAGCCAGACCAGCCCTCAGATGACTCCCTTGCTAAGCGCTGGTGTTCCAACCACTGGAGATACAGCAATGAGCAACGAAGACTAAGTCCTGTTTACAGGACACTGTCATCCTGGTGGAGGGAGAAAGGTTTTAAACAAGTAAACAAATATCTATCTATCTATATCTATCTATAGGTACAGATAGATAGATATAGATATGGATATAGATATATCTGCTAGGTCATGATTAATGCCACAAAAAAAGAGAGGAGGGGAGCTGTATAGATTACGGGAAAGAGGAGGCCTTGGATATGTATTGTTAAATAGTGTTATCTTTGTCTTCTTTATTGTCTGTCTTCCTAAAGAGAAGGTGGCAGTGACCATCTGACTTGTTCACCATTGTATCTCCAATGTGCCTAACACATCAGGAAATACTCAGTAATACATTAATTTAACCTGTACATTTAATATGGTGTTTACTAATCACTGATGTCTTACTTTCATGGAGTAAATGGAAGAAGGGTGACCAAATGACCTTAATTTTGCTAAATTTACTTTCACTGAAATATTGTAAAAGCATTGAAATGGAAACTGTTTGGTGGCTATCAACCACTCCATTTATATTCACATCAGTGATTAAAAACTAGCTAAAAACTGGTGAATTATATTTAAGAGAACAAAGAGATTTAGTAAGAAAAGAAAACTAAGATAATGTAGCCAATGTATTTCTGTATAAGAGCTAGCCATTGTAACTAGCTAGGAGAATAGCAATGGGGCTCTATGTCAAATAGTTATAAAAATCCTTATAGAAATTACATGTTTCATTGAAATAAAATGACATGAGTATATAAAATTGTATACAGTAAATCTGTATAAGCTAGTAAATAAATGGTAATTTCCTCATTTTTATATAGTGTCATATAAGCTAATTATAGAAATACAACTTGTCTTATTTGTAATCATTTGATACCTCTAACTTTTTGATTAATCAGAACTTTTAAAAAGGAACAATGTTGCCAGGTTGAAGAGCACAAAAAAGTGAAAAAGAGAAAAGCAGCCCTTGAACCCGTGTGACGTGATGCTACAGCTGGAATGTGCTGTTCTCTTGTTGGACATAAACAATCTCACATAACATCAACATCAGCTAGGACTCTCTGCGTCTGTAATAAACTGAGACAAAAGCAAGGTCATATGTAACCATCAAAATACCAAACATCTCTGTCTTTCTCTCTCTCCACCCCCAGCTAAAATGAGGTATTTCTACTCACTTGCCCTTTTATCCTTACTCAAGTCAGGCTTCCCATGATTGAGATGCCCATCAAAAAATTGCCTCACTTCCTGATGGCATCCAATGTAGAGCCAAGCCCACTGCCTTAGACCCTCTCCAAAATCACCCAACCAAAGCCTAAATCCTATAGTAGGTTCTTTTTAACACTCTTTAACTGAGACCTCATGGTTTCCCACAGTATGTAATCTCCCTCTTTGCAGTGAGTATTAAATCCAAATTGTTCAATTACAGATGTATTCCACGGGTCTTTGGCTGAAGGGCTCTGATGAGAGTTAGATGTACAAACATCAAAGTCTTGTAGATGCCTCCAATTAATCTTAAGGAGAACTAATAGCTTGAAATTGTATATCTTCCTCTACTCCATATTCTAATTGCTTTAAAAATCTTGAAAGGCACGAAACTCATCAATAAAAAGTTATGTACACATGGGTGTTATAAATCCTGGAATATTACAGAAGAGGTCAAGATCCCTGGAAAGAGACACTATCAAAAACTCTCCTCTTGCCCTTTGGACAGGTGACTTGTAATGGTTTCCTAAGTGGCAAAACTGGGAGGAGACTGGAGAAGGTGATGCAATATTAGGTTAAAAAATCCTTGGAAAAGTTTCCCTTTATGAATGAGTCTCAGCACAGGATATTATCTGACATCGAAGTATGATAGACACTATGGGGTCAATGAATCTGTAAAGATCATTCAGCCTAATTAGCCCTTTCCTCTTTGATTTACTGTGAGTCTAAAAATGGCCACTTTTACTGTGAGAATGAAACCTACCGAAACAGATTTTCAAAACAGTCACCTAAATATTCCGTTTAGAAAATAAAACCTCTTTAAGCATATTACATCTTGAGAAAAACCACACATTAGAGTGCTCTCTAATGATAAAGGGAGATAGGAATCACTGGACTAAATTTAAGAAGAGCTGAGATTATAGGTCAAAATCCAGTGAGTGTAGTCTATACTCAGCCCATTGTGTTCAGGGATTCTGATTAAGGATTTGATGGAAAATCACTGACAACAAATGATACTGTTCTCAAGGTAATTGTAGGTATATTTTCCACATATATGCATTATATAAATATTTAGTGACAACATAGATATTAAGAAAGATGAATTTACCAAGTAATCTTGATTTCTGATCTGGCCCATCATAAATATTGACATAATCCCATTCACAGTTCCAAGATTCTTCTATTAGCAAGTCTTTAATCACTGCCTTAATTGTATTTCCTGATGTCGAATAAAAAGTCCAAGTGCAGTTCAGCATGTTTGGATACATATTGGGATAATTGGGAGATGTGATTTCAACAAAACTAACAGGAATCAAATCCAATACTGGACATCCTTAAGGCAAAAAGAAAAGAATGTATTTAACATAATAATCAAAAAGCTGAGTTACTTCTTGAATCTAGCTTTAATGCTTACAAGTGGGTCATTGAAACTTCAATTAGCCCTGGCCAGTGTGGCTCATTTTGTTGGATGGTCTCCAATGAAACAAAAGGTCACTGGTTTGATTCCTGCCTGGAGCACCTGCCTGGACTGCGGGCCAGGTCCCCAGTTGAGGGCCTGTGAGAGGCAACTGATCAATGTTTCTCATATGGTTGTTTCTCTCTCTCTTTTTCTCCCTAGCTTCTCCTCTCTATATATAAATAAATAAAATCTTGAAAAACTTCATCCTTTTTTAAATTTCTGTCACTGTTTCTTTGCATCTATGGTTCCTTATGTATATTGACTCAGGGTTTAAATGATTTTTCTTTTGAAAAACTTACTCCCCAAAAGAAGACAAACTGAGTTCTCTGACTTAAACTCACAAACTGTGACCTACTAAATCAACAACTTCTACATTTAAATGTAGTTTTGTTGCTCATATGTAATATATAATCCTATTTAATGTTCACAATAATGAGAAATAGATTTTATTATCTTTAGAGATGAGTGAACTCACACTTGCTATTCAACAGATTTATCTTAAGACTTTTAGGACTTCCCCAAATTTGTAAATACCACAATAATATTTTATTTCCTCACAAATGCAGTGAGAAATAATTTTAGTATTACAAAATGTGAGTAAAGAACAAGGCAGTTTGAGAAGTCGATCTGAGTACTTGGTTAGACTAAATAAATGAGCAAATTATGTGCATCTAAAATTCAGCTTCGCAGCTAGTACACCTCAAATTACACGTTTATTAGGTAGGAAAATTTGGATCACTTTCAGATAGTTGAAACCAGGACACTACGTTTCATAAGGGCCAAAGGGCTACTGCACCAGAAAAGAGAACTGAGGAATTCAGTCATATTTTTCGATTACTCCAAATGTTCTAGGTATTATCCAACCTAAAATTAACACCATCCAAAAATTGGCTTATTTCATCAATAATCTTAGCTTTTTAGTTTCACTATATATTGGTCCAGGAAAAAAAAAAAAGCAAGAAAGAACAGAGAGACAGAGATATAGATACATAATGCAAAAGATATAAAATACTAGTATATACAAAAAAATGCCAATAAATGGACTTAAAATAGCTAGGGGAATTCCCAAGAACAAAACAGATGATATTCTTATCCATTAATTGGATAAGGTGCTATCTCCTTACCTTCCACTCCCTATCCTAACCTGGGTCTCCATTACCTTCAAAGTTTAACATTAAGAAAATTAATACAAGTCCATATTCACTATAAAGCAACTAGAATCAGGCTACAAACACCTAGAAGTTTTTGACAGAAGTCAGAGCACACTTTTTACTAAACAGTGCTTAGCAATAAGGATATTCTTGATTCTATTTCCAAAATATTATGTAACCAAAGCCAAGCCAATTGGATCTCTTACCTCCTTTATAATCTTACCTTTATCTTTAACTTTTCCTCTCATGGAACCTAGAATAAAGAATATTCAGGATCACTACATCCAAGCAAATCCTTTAAAATTTTTTTCTTCTGATTATAAATGTAATACAAGCCCATTGTGGAAAATTTCAAAAATACAGAGAGTTCAAAAAAGAGGATAAAAAGCCTCTTGTAGTTCCATCCTATATGTAACCAGTGCTAATATTTTAATGTAAATCCTGTCAGGTCTTTTGATGTGCTATATGTACATTTTTTTAACTGTATGACATTTTATGGCTCTATATTTTTGATTCACATAGATATAACAATTTCTATTGATATTTTAATTTGTAATTTCAAGAATATGAATAATAAGTCAGATCTTCAATAAACTTGATAACAGTATGTAAATCTAATAATTTCTTCTGTTATTAGAAAAATGTCTACACTAAAGATTTTCTGTGTTTACTGGAAAAATAGAATTGAATATGTGTAATAACAGTTTCCAGAGTTAACTTTAGCTCATACTTTGGCTCTCAGCCAGGGGGAGTTACCATAAAAAAAAAAAAAAAAAAAAACAGATACATTTCTTATCAATTCACTGGACAAGAAGCTACCTCCTTACTCTTTATTCCCTAATCTGCTTTGGCTGTAATGTAATTTCCTTTATTCAAACAATTATTGAGCACCAACTATTTACTAGGCATGGTTGTCATTTTCATCTGAGATAACAGCGACGGGGCATGCTTGGTGTGACTGAGGGACAGCCAGAAGTTTGACAGGGCTGGTGTAGTGAGTACTGGGAAAAATGGTAGGATAAATCAAAAGGTGCCAAGATCAAGATCATACAGCATCTTGTAGGTTAGTGTAAGGACTTTCAGTATGAATGTGTTGGGAAGACACTGGAAGATTATGAGCAGAAGAATAACATGATCTGAAAGATTTACTTTAAAATGATCCTGCTAGCTGTTATAAGTGAAATGGACTAAAAAGAGCCTCATATCAGAATGTTATGTTGGAACTGTTGAGAAATTGTTCAGTTCTAGATCTATTTTGCTGAAAGGCCCTCATGTGAACTATGGTATATTCAATGTGAAATATGAGAAAAAAAGCCCAGGAGAACCAAAATTAATGGCGTGAGCAATAGATTAGTAAAATGGAGTTGCCATCTACTGAGATGGGAAAGCTTGGTAGAAGGATAATTTGGAAGCAGTTTGAGACGCTTATTATATATCCAAGTGGAGAAGGAGGCCATCGCATACACAGTGCTGGAGTTCAGTAAAAGGGTTGGGCCTGGAGATTTATATTGGAGAATTACCTGTGCATAGATGGTATTTAAAGCTAGGGGTTGCGCACTCACTCACTTAAGGGTGAGTATAGGTAAAGAAGAAAACAGTCAGGCCCTGGGTCCTGGAATGCCTCATCCTTTAGTGGTAGAGAAAATGAGGAACAATCAAGGAGGTGAGAGGAGAGCCCAGGGAAAGCTGTGTGTGGAGGCCAAGTGAGATTCCAGAAGGAAGGAGAGTGCTCATCTGTGTCAAATGCTGCTGGAACGACTGAGAAGTGGTTACTGGATTTAGATTTGTGGAAGTTACTGGTAGCATTGGCAAGAACAATGTCTGTGAAAGGGCAAGATAAAAAGTCCTATGGTAATGGATTCAAGACAAAGTAAGAGGGCGAAAGGGGGAGACAATGAGTAGAAATAAATTTCATGGTGTTTTAGTGTAAGAAAACAGAGAAATCAGTTTTCCTAGAATTCCATCCCCATCCTTGACCAAACTAGACAGAATCTTTCTGTTATATATTTTCATTGCACTCTGTATTTTTCCTTCCAAACTTAATACACTTACCTTCTTCACTCTTTGTTTTTCTATGTGATTATTTGATTATTTACTAGCTCTTCTGATATAGACTGTAAATTTTACCAGGACAGGGACTGTCTTGTTCATTGCTGAACCCTCCTGGTATAAGTTTAAAAACGTTCATTGCTAGTCAGAATAATTACAGGCTTACATGTGAGATTTTATTCTGTTTCGTTTACGTGAGTCCCTAGCAGGGCTGCCTAACCCGCAGGCTGCGTGCGGCCCAGGATGGCTATGAATGTGGCTCAACACAAAATTGTAAATTTACCTAAAACATTTTGAGATTTTTGTTTTCATTGGTGTTTGTGTTTTTAATGTGTGGCCCAAGACGACAACTCTTCCAGTGTGGCTCAGACACCAACAAGTTGGACACCCCTGCTTTCTTTGACATATAATCTGAACTTGATGCAAGTTTCTTTAGTTGTCTTCTACCAACACTTCTCACATTATCAGCCTAAATTAAATAAACTGTTTTTAGTAGAAATGTATCTTCAATTGTATTTCAATTAGCATTTTTAATGGGTATGAATTGATTAATCTTAAGAACTGGAGCAATTCTAGTAATATAATTGCAAGTGCTCTTTCCATGGCACCTGTTTTCTATAATTTGCAGTAATTTTCTATTTTCATACTACCATCAGCACCTTTGCCTAAACCACAAGAATGTTAGGCATAGCATATTTTTCAATAACCTTGTTGCAACTAATATACATGAACTAGACACCAAACAGGTAAAAGAGAACTAATTTACTTTTGATATTCACATATTAAGAAACTTCAAGAGAGAAAATCTACTTACATTTTTAATAGGGATAAAATATTCCTACTATACTTTTATAATACACCAAGTACCCAGAAAAATAGGCAACATTTTTAGGTGCTTTGCAAAAAAGTAATAAATCTGATCAATCTTATACTTTATAGAGATTTAGATTGAGGCCTCCATAGATTGCAGAAGTCACAACCTTAGAAATAATTTTTGTCTTCTCCCCTAAAGCTGACAAATGAAATAGGGAATTCCAGTCTATTCATTTGGTAACATAGTCTTCCTAATGAAGGACAATAAAATAAGCACATTAACAGATATGAAAAAAAAGCAATAGATTTTCCAGAAATATGAAAAGTATATCTCAAAGAAAATTCTTTCATGGCCAAACTGACATTGTACATGAAAATCAACATCATAAGAGGACCATGAGATTTTAATGAAGGTGAATTCCCTTCACAGACTTCTTCTAGCCAAAAAAAAAAACCACCCCAAAAAACCCTTCCTATTCATCAAGGCAAAGGTTATTGAGCAAAATAAGAGAGAAAAAAAATCTTATTTTTGAAATTACATACTTATACTGTATCTATTCCCAACAATATAAAAGTGGGAAAATCAAGCAGAATTAAACCAATTAGAATAGAGAGATGTAAATTCCAGATTCCTGAGTCTAAGCAGTTCTTAGGAAGGGGCTGTAAACCAACTAGAACACACTATACTATCTGGAATCACCTTGGCAGATATTTTTAAAGCCATATGTTGCAGGAGAAGGTGACATGGTCTAGCCAGTTTCTCAGGGAACAAAAAAAATTATTCTTGTCACCAGACTTAAGAAAAATAATCATATATAGGCAATGTATTCGAGCCTTTGCTATATATAGCCTTCAAGTATTCACAGCATAGTCGAATAAATAAAAAGTAGGTTGGAGTACTTGGCATGACAGTTAAAACCATTAGCTAGTCTAAATGAAATTGTTTAGGCAATAGGTTTTAGAGGCCTCCCGAGACTCAGAATCCTAGAGCTAATTAGCAATGGTTGAGCCCCCATTACCCCAGGATCTCTGAGGCACCCTGCAGAAGGTGATAGAGTCTGAAGTCCCTCAGAGACGGCTCTCTCTCTTTCGAGGCGGCCTGCTAATAGGCAGGCTGCTGTCAGGGAGTTACCCTCCATGCAGTTATTTCAGCTTCTAGAACAAAACAATTTTTCTTCTTCTGTCACTTTTTCTAGTTTCCTTTAAGATCAGAATGTTCGTTTACTGAAAAAAATTTAGAGGAGTTCAAAACTAATCACTCATAATCTTGTACTACAGAAATATCCATTTAAACATAGTGATGTGTTTTCCTTTAGACCTTTATTTTAGTCATATGTAGCACTTTAAAAATATTTAATTATACTATGTAGCTTTTCATCCTGATCTTCTCGTTCAATATGACGTAAAAATTTTCAGTTTCATTAAAAAGTGATGCAAAAGTATTTTATTTAGTGCCTGCATAGCATTTTTACCTATGGATTTACAATACTTTTCTTAACCAATATTCCATGTAAAATTTTTTGGCTATTATAAATAACACTAACTGAATGAATACCTTGTACATAAATGTCTCTACACATATGTAAAGTATATTTTTAATAGGTATGGCTAAGAGTTGAAACACTGAATAAACAGTTAACTTTCAAAAAATTTCTAAACCTCTCCCCAGAAAGCATACTCCATACTATATCTAAACGATAACATAAAAATGCCAGCCATGTTGCATTTTATTTAATACATGTAACCATTCTCCAAAATATTTATTGTCAATTTACCAGATAGAATTTTTCTCAGTTATGTTTTAACCAGGCTAAATATTTTTTTCTCATATGTATTTATTTGCCTATAAATTGCTTATTTAGGTCACCTGTCCATTTTTCTATTAGGGTCTATCTACAAAAATAATGATTCTGAATTGCATTTCAAAGTTAATTGGTTAAACTCTTACTCATTGTATTTATTTTAAAAAATGTTTATGTCACCTTAATTTAAAAAATAAACTTGTGCTTTATACTTGTTGAGCCAAGTAGTAGTTGGTTAGAAATGTTATAGGTAAGGGTTATCATAAGGTTGATGATTTAAATATGCTCCCTATGACAAATTATTTCAACTTTGGTCATACACAGTATTTTCTGAAACAAACATTCTAACAAAGGTAGTATGTTATAACATTCATAGTTTCAAGGTTTCAAGTCTAATCCTAGGAACTATTAAGCTTTTTGCTATTGCAAAAAAAAGGAAAACTCTGGCATTTTTAATAAACAGATGGCCAGAGGATTAACTTCATTGTGACAATATACACACAAAAAAGGAGATTTAATTTAGATTGTATAGTCACTGATATATAAACATTCACTAACCTTTCTTATCTGTTAATAAGGCTAATGATTAATCCAGTGCTTTATGTTTACAAAATCACTTGGATCAATAGTTCATCATTCTTTTGGAAAATGAACAAAAAGTCAAAAGCTTTGGAGACTCTGGTTTTAACTTTAACATTTTTTTAAAAGATTTTATTTATTTATTTTTAGAGAAAAGGGAAGGGCAGGAAAAAGTGAGGGAGAGAAACATCAATGTGTGGCTGCCTCTCATGCATCTCCTGCTGGGGGCCTGGCCCACAACCCAGGCATGTGCCCTGACTGGGAATTGAACCAGCGAGCCTTTGGATCTCAGGCCAGTGCTCAGTCAACTGAGCCAGACCAGCCAGGACTGAACTTGAAATTTAATCAAAGCTGAGTCAAAGATATTCAGACCTATAAATTTATTTTTTACAGATTTGAGCCTTTCTAAGACTGATTTTAAAGTTCTCTATGTTAATTACCTTAACCCTTTAACAGAGTTGTTGGAAATGCCATTTATTTGCTTTTTAACTTTTGTTTTGGTTAGAGCAGAAAAGGTTTTAGTTATATAGGAATTTATATTTTCTGGTCTCTTTCATTGCTTTTACATGATAAGGTCCTTCTCCCTCCAAAGTTAAAATAATTATCTATATTTTCTACATTTAATGGCTTAAGAAAAAAATGCTTAACTCTTTATAATCAGCTGTTCTATGATATGATGAAGAATACAATTTATTTTCCTCTCTGATTTTTAATGCCAAATTTATCATATTAATGCCTATGTTTCTGATTTTCCTTCTGGTCCACTCGTGTGTGTCTCTTCTTGTACTAGCACTATGCTGTTTTGATCATTATTATTTCAAAGTATGTTTTAATACCTGATAATTTACTTCATCTGGTCTTTCTCCCCCAAAAAACCATTTTCAGCAAGTGCTATTTATTTTAAGGATAAACTTTAGAGTTGTTATCGATGTCTTCTTCAGTCTCAAAAGAGTTTCCATTGGAATTTTGTTGGAAAATATATTTGTAAATTAATTTGGGATGAATTAATGTTAATTTTGTCTTCCAGTATTAGAACGTGTTACTTTTCTCTATTCTGAGCTCTGTGTGTGGGGGTTCTGGGGTGTGGTGGGTGTGTATGTGTGTGTATGTATATGTGTCAAGTTTTACATTTGATGATATATCTCATATATTATTTTAAGTTTATTCCTATCTTTATGGATTTTGTTGTTAACTATAATTGAAGTAATTTTCCCATTATATCAGTCAACTAATTTTTACTGGTATGATTTTAAAGGTATAATTGCTATGTAATTAATTTATATCTAGTTTTCTTAATTTGACCTAGTTATATGATTCATAATATATATTTTTCAATATTAAAACATGATCCTTGTGTTATAGGGATAAATAAATCATAGTGCTTGGTTATGTTAAATATTCATTGAATAACCCATTGACCTCAAGCATTGAGTTAGCCCCTGGACTTTGTAAAACTTACTTGTAAAAATTGAAATAGGGTCATTAAAACTTTTGGGGGTAGAGATAGGAAGCAGTACATATGTTTTAAGAACTAATTCTAAGTAAAGAAGAATAGGTATGTAGTTCATTAAAACTGTAAATTATAACTGATATGGCTAATGTACTATTTCCCCTCTTTCTGTATTTCTTTGCTCTTCCAAACTGTGTACTCAGACAACCCATCCATGGAAAGACAACAGGGAAATAACAGTTTAATCTTTTCTTCCAAGCAGCACAATTTAAAGAATAGAAATGGGAATGTATATTTCTAATTCAAACACAGCAGAAGCTTGATCTCTTTTATATTAATTAACACACACTCTTATTAAATTCTCAAAACCACCTCATGAGGCAGTCCAAATAGCAGGTATGCTGTAAGGCAAGAAAGGAAGAAGCACAGATAACTTACAAGGATGTTGGGACTAGACTTTACATTCTCCCCACAAGAAGCTATGATGCTGTTTATGCAAAATCATCTCAGGAACCAGGAAAGTTCCATGTTTATTAACAGTCCCTTCTGGGATGGTCATGTAAATCCATAGAAAAAAAGGACAATGAGTTCACAATTGGCTGATTTATCAACTTTGGCATCTGGGTTGTTTTTCACTTTTAGGAGGTCAAAGGCCATCAAAATGCCATGTATCTCTCCCTGTGGGCAGTCACCTTATGTCAGCAGGCATATGTATTGTTTAGTATTCTGGGAATTTATAGCACAAGTGTTTGAGCATATGGAGGTGATGGGGAGGTGTCTGTTCGCATAAACCACTGAAAAGCAACAGGTAGATATCATTACTTCATGTCACAAATGAGGAAACTGAGTCTTAAAATGCTTTGGGAACAATTCCCCCAAACACTGACCTACTGTGTGGTAGAACTGAAATTTGAACCCAGGACCATCAGATCCCATTGCAACAGGTACTATTGGTCCACCAGCCTAAACCCTGTTTCCATTTCCATTCTCCCTTGTCATTTCCCAGTCCCCTGTGGCCACATGGCAAATCTGGCCAAAGAAACTTAAATCTGCTACAGAATTCTGGGGAACATGCTTGCTTTGTCAATCTTGATACTCCTTCCCCATACCCCTTCTTCCTTTTTCCTCCAGAGTAACAGCAAGGACTGAAATGGGCATTGTGGAACTGTTAGGAAAAGGCCAAGAGAACTGCAATAACTTCAGTCTTGACAGAGTTGAACAGTTGAACTTGTGTATCTGTACACCTCTAGGTTTCTCTCTCTTTTTAGAATAATAAATTTGTCACTGTAATCAGGTTTCTGGTTACTATCTAATTGACAAACCCATTTAATGCTTTTTCCTATAAATATTATTTCACCTTATTGATGTTATAGTCTCAGTTTCCTTGTGTTACGTGTGTGTAAAACTCCTTTATGCATCCTTTATTTGTGGTATTCCTGGGCAAGTTTAATCTAGGCATGACCAAGCAAGCAGCATAGAGTTTGTGGGGTGTTGTTTTCAACTTAATTGGAGAGAGTATTTGCTTAATTTCAATTATAATTCTTTAAAAAATCATAACAGTAACCTATTTCAACATCATATAAGAGATGAATTTACATCACCTGTAAGTCACATTCTGAGTATAAAACAATCTAAGAATATTTCATAAAAGAAAACCAAAACTAAAGTTTTTCATGGGAGGCTAGTTACCTATTAATGTTTTGCCTGATCCAAATCCTTCATAAACCCACAGGCGACCCTGGCAGGCCAAAGGTGTCGGTTTCATCTGGAAGTTGATCATATCTCGGCAAATGATGTGATTTGAAGGGGCTAATAACCTCCAGTGGCATCTGTGGCACAGACAGAAAAACCTCAGGAATGATTTCTAAACAGCATATACTGTTATTTTCTCTGTTCACAATTTAATGCATCACTGTAATTGACTTAGCATGCCTTAATTTTTATATCTGGTTCTTTGTGCTTGGGTGAAAGAAAGATTTCTACTTTAGTTTACAACCGTTATAAAAGATTCTCTAATATATACTTTTTCAAAGGGTTTATGTAAATTCACCCATCATGGTGAATGGCTGGTAAATCATGTAAAGTGCTCTAAATTGTGACTGGTAATCTGTAAGAGTCAAGGACTTACTCTTCTCTGAAGTTGCCCCAAACTCCGCCAAATCGTGTAAGTTTACTTAGGATTGATATTATATAAATCTTTACTTTTCATTTAACCCTTTAAATTTATCTTATTGTTCAATTCCAGGAAAGTTCTATTTCCATCATGGCAATCTAAGAACCACTTATTGAGTATCTACTAAGTGCCAGAAGATTCTACATTTATTATTTTAATCTCTAAAACTCTTTGAGATTTGATTTTCTACTTTGATAAATGATCTCTTTTGTCCAAAAGGTACAATTTATTAATGGGGATAATCTTACAATCAGCTTTTTTATGTCAAAGGCCTCAGATCAAGTGAAAAATAACACTTCAGGCAAATACTAAGTGTTGCTACCTGTCAAGTAATCATTCACATACTTCTTTCATCATACTTAACATTCCTTCCTCACCTCATAGTAGTTCTGTGAAAATACCTTGGAATCTGTATGATTCCTGCTGGTTCGGTCAGAATAACATTGTTACAAGTAGCCACATACTCTTGGTTTGAACTCTGACAAAGTCTGGTTATTCTACTGACTTTTGGACCTGTAAATAAAGAAATGAAAGGAAATGAGAATAAAACTAATTTTTAAGAGACTTATTATATCCTTTTTCATTTCAAAGCTATATACCTTCTTCTCTAATTGCTATTTAAAAAGTTAACAGGAGGTGGTGAGTGTCACTGGAAAGCCTCTACTGAAATGTGCAAAGACACAGAAAACAAGCACCTCTCTTGGAACTTGGATTGGCATAGTCTAGGGTCTATGGAAGGTAATGGGACAAGTGCAGATAGTGCTGATTCCATGCACAGTTCCTCCTGAAAGCAACATTCTTAATATAGTGCTTCAGGGAAAAAACTTTTCAAATGATATGCATGCTTCTCTTTATTATTCACTTAAATTTTCCCCAGATACATCTTTGCAGTGATTTTTGGTGCTGCGAGAATCAAGCTTTCAGTTACCTATGCTCATCAAGAGTAGAAAATCCTCATTAATTACATGTTCTAAAATGCAATCTGATAACTCTGAATTTCATGGAGTTTACATTTATAATGCTAGCATCTAATATTTGTGTAGTTTGTTTTCAAAACTCATTCTAACCTTTTTGTTGGGAAACACCCTGTCTGGTTTCAGGAACTGTAGCCCCACCAGCAAGTGAGAGGGTCCCGAGGCTTGAGCTGAGCAAGGAGGCCTTGGGAAAATAGGCCACTGAGGAGACAAAACCTGTCTCCCTGGCAGAGGCTGTGGCCCTGCCTCCCTCACCTCACCCTGCTTGGCCCTGGGGGATGGCTGGTTAGTCAATGATGGGTAAGACCCCTCAATGGAAGGGCCAACCTGAGACAGGCACAGCCACAATGGGAATCAGGGAAAAAACTTGGGGGACACAGAGAAAGGGCAAAAGACCCTCACCCCTCGGCTTTGATATGGCCAGGGTCCTCATTCTATCTGAAAGAAGTTTCCTTATTTCCTGGCTTCCTTGCCCTCCCTCTGCCTGGCTAAGGTTTGAAACAATACCAAAGACAGCCTAAACTGGATCTGATGGTTCTCTGGGGAAATCAGGCCTAGAAATAAATTCCTTGAAGCATGCTTTGTTCTTCCCTCAAAAGTTATGATAGCCAGCTCACACTGGGAAGGAAATTTACATTATTCACAGACCCTGACCCTAAACCCTTTGTCACTCTTGTGTTTACACTCTCATGTTTATTCGTCTCCTCTCAGACCCATGTAAATTGGTGTGTTCCTGTCATTTGTTTTCCTCAACATCATCTATTCTTCGTGAACATTAACATATCGCTGTAATGAGAACACTTGTACATTCCTATAGCCCCATTGATAATCCTTTCAATAAAAGCCTTTGGAAAAAGGGGCTCGGGCTAGCTTCCCCACTAAAGGGAACAGCCCTTTCCCCTCTCCTCGCAAACAGAGAAGTTTTCTGGGATGACTCGTTTTGTTTGCTCCCATCCATGACAACTCTGAGATAGACTCTGTGGGACTCAGAGCCCATGCTCCCTCCCTCAGCCGGCACCCGAACAGGGACCCTCGGATCCAGAGTTCGGTGTCCCTCCCACACCCTTTATTATTATAATATCACTATAAAGAAAACTCTGATACAGAGGTAACAACCTGTCCAGAACCAGCTAAGATTTCAAACCCTGATCATCTGATCCCCAAAAATTACAACATCAGAAAAGGCTCTCTGTGGTGGAAAATCATAATCACAATCAAAAACATTTTTTTGCAACCCACATATCTTAGTCATGCCCAGAAATCACAGTTCTGGATGATTTACAAGTCAGTCATGTTACCCACTGAGTAGTTTCTTTATTGGACCTGACCAATCTTGATCACCTCAATTTAAACTCACTTCCCACAAAAGCATGATTTCTTACACAATGAAAAGGTTTTAAATATTTCTAAAAAGAAAAACATTGACTTTAAACTTTATAAATTTATAAAATTACCAAACATACCTCGGATTCTAAAGACAATATAACTTATGCCCAAAGCACCTTGTACGTGGGAATGAAATGTCACCCTCAGCAGTGGTCCAGAGCCCAGGAACATCATTGGGTAAAGCCTTCTTCCACATAATTCATCTAGGTTAAAAAAAATCAAATCTAGTAAAAAGTAAGGACTCAAGTTTTTGCTCAGCTTTTCTATTTTAAGCACATGAATTATTTATTTTCAAATATTTATTTCTATTGAAGTGCATCTGGCATGTAACACTGCATAAATTTCAAGGATACAAGATGTTGATTTGATACATTTATATATTGTAATATTATAGCACTTGTAGCAATAGTTAGTACCTTTATCACATCACATAATTTTTTTTTTGTGGTAGAAAGAATTAAGATCTAGTACCTTAGCATGTTTGTTGTTTAGAATACAATATTGTGGTCTATACTCACTATACTGCACTATTAGATCTCTGGGAATTATTTGTCCATTAGTTGCAAGCATGTACCCAGGAGGTAGAAATTTATTCTAATTTGCAACATGAGGAAACAGGGTTCTAGAACCCAAGTGACTCACCTGAAATCACAGACTGGTGAGCTGAGGAGGAAGGATCTGACCTGGGTCCATGAATGTAATGCACTCTTACTCTACTCTACCATGTCACGTTGCTCCTTGAAGGACAGTAGGTAGTAAACTATTTTACCTTTAAATAATGCTGATATGCCATTTTTCTCCTATAAAATTAACCTAATTATTAAAAATATTTCACCATGAAGATCCATAATGGAAAAATTTTTCTATCTGAAAGTTTATTTTTTCCCCCTACATATTAGTCTTTCTTTGATTGCTTTAAGAACCTAAAGTCAAAGATGGAAAGAAAAATTATAAATAATAATAATTCTAAAACAATTCAGAGGGCTGATTAAGAAAATATGAAAAGAACCTGTGAGCTTTTTAAAATCAAACTCATCTACTATTAGAATGATGCAGTATCATTGTGTAACATTTATTTAAATGTCATCTACTCAGAAAGACATTTCCTGCTTGGCCTATATACAACTATATGGTATCTACATCCTGGATACCACTTCTCTCCCTTCTCAATTCATGTCCCTCCTAGCTCACCTACACAATACATCATATATTTTATTTTATCTTATTATGTATCCTCTCCCCACTAGAATATAAATTAATAAGGAAAGGGATTTTTTGTCCATTTGTTCACTACTGGATCCTCCAAACCAAGAAGAGTCAGTCTCTGGCCCACAATAGGTGCTCTATAAATACTTGCAGAGAGGAAGAGAGGGAGACTATATCCAAGAAGAAAAAAAAATTAGTTGGCATAACATATTTGGGTAAATCACATTGAAGTACTATTTGAAGAATGAGCAAATATTTATCTATAGCAAGTAGAGATAAATGTAGCTCTCGAGTGAATTGCTGGCTCCCACAGGGAAAAAGATAGCATTTTAGAGTATAGAAGAATACCATCCACCTTGAATGAGGGGCAATGTTTCCATTACAGTTTTACAATTCTGCTAGCTATCATCTGAAGAAACAGATCAATTCTAAAACGATCAAGATGACAATTTCAAAGCAATGAAATGCTAGGTTGAAAAATTATAGTGGTTCCTCAGTTAGTCCACATAAAAGTCAAGCATGTTTTTCAATTGGGTATAATGATAGAGAAAAGTTTTTCCAGAAAATGTGTCTTTCTATATGAGAATCTAGTATATAATAAAGATGGTGATATAAGTTGGAGAGAAAATAACTTATTTTTAAAGAAACAGATATAGCATCACTTTATAAGATTACACATTTTACATTTTAGCAGGACTAAAGAATTAAATTTTTTTCTGAACTTAGGATGAATTAATTTTGAAATGTAAAAGCAATGACATAAATCACAGATCACAGATATGTATGAAGAGATTTAAGCAAATAAATTTTCAAATGTTTACACCAACATATAATAAAATTTAAAAGCAAATTACAACCTTACAAATAAGCCCTTGTGACTTGTGATAAAGAAAAAAATCTGTACATATAAAAGCTTTTATAAATCAATAAAAAGAAAAACACTTAAAAATGGATGATAATCACAAGAAATAAAAAATACAAATAGCTAAGCAATATATAAAAAATATATATCTCTATGAATGATTTTTGAAAAATAAAAGTGCTTGTCAAATTGACACATTAGGCTATGGGCATGGTGGAAGAGGCTTTCATGTATTGCTACAGGCAGCAAAATCTGATTTAGCCTTTCTGAAGAGTAATTTAGCAGTACACATTGATATAAAAAAAATGTTCTGAGGCTTTAGGCGTTGTCCTAATTTGGGGAGATACAGAAGGGAACAAAATAGCAAGATCCCTGCTCTCATGGAGCTTTCATTTTGGTCAGGTAAATGAAGATGATTTCAAATAGAGACAAATGCTGAAAATGAAATAACTAGCGTAATATGATAGAAACTGATTTTCAGGGAGAAATAAATGGTGCTACTTTAGACTGACAAGGCGTTTTTGAGGAGGTGATCTATCATTCACTCATTCATTCATTCGTTCAACACCTTCCATGTGTCAGGTGGCCTTCTAGGGGCTGGGGATTCTTGAAATGAAGAAACAATAGTTACAACCCTCAGGAAGCCAGATGCGAAGGGGAAGACACAGGCATAAAAAACAATCAACATATGTGAGAAGTCAGTCGTGTTAAGAAAAGGGCACTAAGAAGTACGCAGGCAGAAGGTGATGCAGTTTATGTCCACCAAGGTTGGACTCATCAGGGAGGGGACATTCTAGTCAACACCTGAGGGAGGTGAGGGACAAGGATGAGAAGCAGCTCTTTGGAGGGCTGGGAGAAGTAGCTGCACAAGGGCCCCAGGTAGGAAAGGAAAAGCCTGGCGCATGCAGAGCTAGGGGACAGAGAGGGGACATGTGTGCTGGGATTTGGATTTTATTTCCGCTCTAAGGGGTCCTTGAGCAGTTTTAAGGGATGTGGCAAAGGTGGTCTGATTGTAAGGGTAAAATGTCCAAAGTGGACAGGTCAGTTAATAGTTTTTTTCTGAAATCTAAATGAGACAGTGCTTTGAAAGATCGCTTTAACAAATGTGTGTGCCTTTTAAGTCAGTGATTTAATCTCTCACCCTAATGTAAACCTAAGAAAAATAATCTCACTTTCAAAGCAATTTTCCTGGCCTCCATAGACCCCTGAATCAAACACGTGCATATGTGTTTGCACGTGAGTGTGTACAAACTCACAATGACATAGATGAACTTGTTTTCATTCCAGGTTTTCACAACAACCAAATTATTCCCAACACTTTCCTCTTTGCTGAGTGACAAATGGACTGTATTACATCTATACAAACAAGAGGTGGCAAATTTGTTTTGTTGAACAAAAATAGGTTTGCCCAGTACATGAAATAAAATGATGGCTGCAATGTTATTAACACTGTTTTTAATTCTGCCATTCTAAAAGCCTTTAATGCATTTTGCTTTATTTGAAAATTCAACACTCCCTTCCCATCCCCCATTTTCAACCATCTTGACTCCTACATATACACATTTCTGGCAATCTGGCGTGGTTTTGGCATGTTTGCAATAGTCGGCCCCTTTTGTCTTTTTTTCCTTTGACTACACTTACATACGAACACACACACCCAAACTTTAGTATACCTGTTTTGTAAATTTTGAAAATATTAGGTGTGTCTAGGAAAAAAAGGCATGCCTATTACATGGATCAACATTTTGGTAGTATTATCACCAAGTCTAAGTTTCTCCTGATCACAAACTGCCTCTACAAAAGAGACTTGCAGCCCAAAGTTTAAGTGCCAGTAAGGATTACCTAACATCCTTCTCTCACTGTTGCTTTCTTCATAAATAGTCAGGACAGAATCTCAACACATACGAGACCCAGGAAGTGACAGGTACTCAACCGAAAATTTTGCTATACTGCCTAGTAAAACTCTGAACACCCAAGAACACTCCAGTTTTCCTTGATAATTCAGTGGATATTTCGGAGTTGAAAAAAAGTCTCTGGGCCCTTCTAGTTCCTCTTCAGAGGGACAGCCTGAAATTCAGAACACACAGACACTAGGGACCAGCATAAGCAAAGCCAAGAAAAATGGGGCTCTACCACAAACCTGAAAAATTAAGGTTTTCAAAAAGAAAATTAAAACTTTACTACAATGAGTTACAAGTTCTTGGGTAAAAAAGATCATCCCATTTAATGTGTCCTACTTTCTTGAAATGAGAACGTAAGAGTAGAATTTAAATTATAATTATGTAAAATGACTTTTAACTAAATTTCTAAAATTTCTTAGAAAATGCACAGTGGATTACATTCTCTACTCCCAGCATGTTTTTCTTTCTTTTCTTATTTGAGATGCAACTGAAGATCTATTCCTAAGTCTTCACTAATTTCGCTGAGCATTTATCCTACTGGGACTAATGATTACATTCATGCAGTTTGTGATTGAGGTCAAGAAAAGGATAATTTGCTGAAAGCACTTGTATGTCTCTCACTTCTCCAACTTGCTTGTAAGTTCAAGGACACTGTTAGACCTGTAGGGTTACCTGCAGAGCTTCAGATGCCAGGAGCTCTCTGGCCCACTGACTTTGTAACCAGCTTCTCTTTTTTCACGTTACGTCCTTGACTGTTCCTTCTTCTCCTACATCTATTTAATCCCTTGATAAAAAAATCTTCCAAACAATTATATATTGAAATATATATAATTAACAAGTATTCAAATTAACATGTTTGAATGTATGAATATTAGTTAATTTATACATGATTTTATATGTCCTGTGTAGAAACATTAATAATCTAACCAAGGAGAGATAAAGAGTGGTAGAAGGGAAATAAAAAGCTACAAAAATTAAGGATGCTACTCCACTGCCCAGTCTTCTGTTACTTTTCTGCAAATTCTCCTCCTCATGTCTATGGCCACTGTAATGGAATTTATAGATTTATTAACTCCACTTTGACTTAATAGCAACCTAACTGGTTTCCCAGTTTCTAATCTTCCCCTACATGCCCTCCAATCTGGGAACAGTGTACGAAGCAAAAGAACTAAATTCTTTCTTTGTTTAAAGCAACTAAAGTAGTACGCCTTGCCAGGTCTTTCACAGTCTGGCCCTAATGTGTCTTTCCAATCTTCTCACTCTTTTGTTCCTTTCCACATGAATCCTCTGTGGAAAATCTGCCTGGAAAAGGAGCCAAATCATATAGACCCATGAATTCCCGTCCAGTCACTGCATTTTATAAATGGGGAACATTGGGAAAAAAAAAAACATAGCTAAGATTCATTAATTCCCTTATGTAAAAAACAAGTGGTGAGAGTGGGTGAGTGTTAAATGTGGCATCGTCATAACGTTTTCCCTCATACAATAGGCCTAGAACTAACAGAAAACAATGCTTTTTCACATGTAAAACCTTCCAAGTTTTTTGGCATGCGTAAGAATTTCTGAACATATACAAGTGAGAAATATCTTCTCTATGTATTAACGATATTTATTTTCTAATAGCCTGAATGGGACAGTTCAAAGAATCCATTAGACTGTCACCATTACTGCCACTTATTAACCCTTTTCCCTGTTCATGCCACCTTTATTCTCAGTGCCTTATGTGCATTAAATTACTTAGGCACTCATTGAAATTACTCATTTAATTCAACCCATTGAAATCATTAGGTTTTAGGATCATAGATCTAAGTTTGCTCTCCATCTCAACCCCAGTTCCAGATTTTATTTTTTTAAAGATTATATTTATTTATTTTTAGAGCTAGAAGAAAGGAGGGAAAAAGAGAGGGAGAGAAACATTGATGTGTGAGAGATTTGGTTGTCTCTTTGCATGCCCCCAACTGGGGACCAGGCCAGCAACCCAGGGATGTGCCCTGACTGGGAACCAAACCGGCGACCTTTCGGTTCACAGACTGGCACTCAGTCCACTGAGCCACACCAGCCAGGGCTCCAAATTTCATTTTAATCTAAATATGATTCTGACTCTTGTTTTGACTCTTTGACTCGTGTGTTGTCAGACCATATCACCCATAACTGGTCTGAGTTACTCCCTCTCATTCCAGATTTCAGCAGACATTCTCTCCAATACTATTCCTCCCTTAAATCTTGCTGATTTCAGTATCCCTATATTATAGATGATGATTCCAGTACTGAAGCTTTTCAGTTTCTCAACTTTCCCCCACCTGACATCAGCCTTATCCCAAAGGTCAGCCCCTAGATGTTCATTGGAAGAAACCCCAAGCTTTTCAGAATCTCAACTTTAAGCACCACTGTCTCTACCACAGACTGCTGTCTTTTAAGTTCCTCTAACACTTCTTTCAACTTTTGAGACTTGCAATCAATCCTAGGGATTTTCAACCAGTGTGCCACGGCACACTGGTGTGCCACAACAATTTTTAAAACATACAGTACCTGTTTAATCAGGAGCACTGACCTCTTTTCCCTTAGGTTGTCAAATTAAAAAATGACAATAGCCAACACAGCAATAGCTGTCTGGTGTGAATGAATCAAAATTATACCTATTTTTTGTCAGATCAGCAAAATATATATATTTGTGCTGCAGAATTTTAGTAATTAGTTTGCATGCCATGACAAGAAAAAGGTTGAGAATCCCTGATCTATCCTATCACCTTTTCCTTGGTCTCTAACTCACTTCACATCCTTGTTTACACTCTTACTAGGCTAGTTCCAATGATCCATTGTTTTAATCCCTAATTCACACACATTCTCACTTTCCTTATACCCTTGTATACCTGGGAAAACCCACTCTGACTAATCAATTCTGTACCTGCTCTGCATCTATAGGGTACCGCTTGGTGTCTACAGAGGAAAACATACAATTAAAATAACTGGTTGGTTTCCTTCTAAATTTATAATTATTAAATCTCAGAGGCTTTTATGCTGCCCAACAATCTTACTACATTTTCTTAGTCCATGCACTCTGACTTTTTTTTTAAGAGAAGTATTTCTCTCTTTTTTTTCTTTTAAAACCCTTGAAACTTTTTTCACAATGCTCTGTTTCATCTGCTGAGAAAATGGAAGTAATTAGAAAAAAAATGTCAGAAGCTCCCATCCCTACCTGTACCCATATGCCAGTACCAGTGACAAAATATTCTGCCTTCCATCTGGCCATTACAGATGAACTGTGTTTGCTCCACCTAAGACCCCTCCAGCCAAGCACCAGATCTCGTCCCTTTCTTCTGCTGAAGTCATCACTCTAACAATTCCCCAACCCCTCTCTCCTGTACCTTCTTCAATTTTTCTCCAACTCATATTATTGTCTCCTGGGTTGTGTGTACGTGGGAGTGAGTAGGGGAGAACGAGATGAAAAGGGAAAGACCCTGACCGTTTGAAAACCAAGAATAATGGTATCATAGATCTTCTATCCCCCTACAAGTCTACTGCAGACTTCTAAATCTCAGGCTGCTCTTTGCTCTTAACTAAAAATAAAAACCCTATTAGAAAACAGACACTAACAATTGTGGGAGAATTGAGAGAGACAGTAACCCGGATGCTGATCTTGGTATTCTCATAGCCAGAGCAAGATATCTGAAAGTATAAAGATCTTTGTTCATGTAGGAATAAATTGCTCAGAGGTCAAAATAATTCTATGCACTTCTCCAAAATGCAGACAGTTGTTCACAATCAAAAGATATTTTTTACCTACTACCACTGTATCTATGAGGTAGAAAAGATCCCCAGACAATCTCAGTTACAATTTTCCTCTCTTTCAGCTTAAACTACCTAACAGAATGAAAACAGAGTTTAGAGTGCTCCAAGGAAAATAAGAGAAGCCGAAGTGCAATGCTTTTTGCTAAATTCTTCCTAGCTGTATTCATGGGGTAGCATGAGTGTCCAGTACCTGGCCCAGACGCACTGTTATGAGTGGTGGAAATTGTTTCCTTATTAAGGTTTTGCTTTTATTATTTATCTGAAGTGAAGCAAACTTTGTATCTGGAGAGAACAGGGTAAAAATAAATTAAAAACAAGTGCCTGAATACAACAGGTAGTTTGTCCCAAAGCAACTTTTGTTAAAGGGGAATGCATATCTAGGTTTCAAACAGCCTCAGGAAAAGTCAGTTTTACCTTAACTCTGTCTAAGGGAGAACATATTCTTACAGAACTTTAATGTGCATTTTAATGTGTTTTAAAACTAAATTAAATAAAATGTTACTTTATAGTCTTCTCTTTCACAATGTTGATAGAAATCTTAAGAAAGAGGCATGGTTTTTATAATTATTGGAAAAATATTTACCTTTCATTTTGGATGGGATCCAGTCCAAGAAGACACGCACCCTGGCACATACCCCGGGCTTTCTTGGCAGGGCACAGCCAGCTCCCCAGCTGACGATGCCATAGAGGACAAAGGGATCATTTTCACATCTACACACTAATGGCCCACCAGAGTCTCCCTGAAACACCAAGGAAATGTGTTCTAGAAATTTACTTTAGTCAGAGGTCCTGTTTTCAATTTTGGAATAAGAATAACCAATAATTTATACATAATGCATTTCTTTCATTTCTTAAAAGAATCATTGTATGTCAATCTGTATACATTAGAATACTTAGACTCAAATAAAATTGCAAATGAAAGAGAAGATATTACAAATGACACTGCAGTAACACAAAGAATTAAAAGAGACTGTAATAAATAAATTATACACCCAAAAGTGGACCACCTAGAAGAAATGCAGTCAGGCAGTACATAATGATATTTTGGTCACTGACAAACCACATATATAATGGTGGTCCTATAACATTATCCTGAAGCTGGAAAATTCCTATCAGCTAGTGACGTTGTAGCTATCCCAACATGGTAGTACAATGCATTATTTATATATTTGTGGTGATGCAGGTGTAAGCAATCCCACTGTGCTGCCAGTTATGTAAAAGTATAGCACATACAATTACATAGTAGGTTACGTGTCTAGGTTTGCATAAGTACAATCTATGATGTTTGCACAAAGAGGAAATCTCCTAATTATATATTTCTCAGAATGTGTCCTTGTCATTAAGCAGGGCATATGACCAAGAATTATACAACTCACCAAGACCTAATCATAAGGCAATAAAAAATCAGACAGACCAATACAAGGAAGGAGATTGACTCAGTAATCAAAAACATTCCAACAGAGAAAAGCCCAGGACCAGATGGCTTCACTGATGAATCTACTAAACATTTAGAGAATTAACTCCAATATTTCTCAAACTCTTCAAAAAAATTGAAGAGGAGAGAACACTCCCAGGCTCACTTTATGAGGCCAGCATTAGCCTGAGACCCAAGACAGATAGATGTACTAAAAGAAAATAAAATTAACAGGCCAGTATCCCTGATTAACACAGTTGTAAAAGTCCTCAACAAAATTCAGACAGATCCTGACTTATGATGGTTTGACTTACAATTTTTTGACTTTATAATGGTACAAAGACAATATGCATTTCGTAAAAACTGTACTTTGAATTTCAATCTTTTCCAGGGCTAGCAATATGCAGCATTGTCATATTGCTCTCTAGTGATGCTGGTTGATGGCAGTGAGATAATATTGCCCAACTGTAGGCTAATGTAAATGTTCTAGTGCATTTCGGGTAACCTAGCCTAAGCTATGATGTTGAATAGACTAGGTATATTAAATGCATTTAGCTTAAATATATTTTCAACTTACAATGGGTTTATTAGGATGTAACCTCATCATAAGACAAGGAACATGTGTACTAACAAACTGAATTCAAAAGGAACATACACCATGATCAAATGGGATTTATTCCAGTGATCCTAGGGTGGTTCAACATATACATGTCAATAAATGTGATGTACCACATTAACAGCATGGAAGTTAAAAATTAGATTATTATGTCACTAGTACAGAAAAAGCATTTAACATTTGTTCATGATAATAAAAATAACTCTCAACAAATTGGGTATAGACAGAACATACCTCAACAGAATAAAAGCTATATATAGCTACATACAACTAACATCATATTCAGCAGTGAAAGTCTGAAACATTTTCATCTAAGATCAGGAATAAGACTAGGGTACCCACTCTCACTATTGCTATTCAGTATGGTACTGGAGGCTCTTGCCAAAGCTATTAGACAAAGTTTTAGAAGAGCATAGAAATCAAAAAGGAAGAAGTAAAACTGTGTTTGCAGATGATATATAGAAAATCCTAAAGACTCTACCAAAAAACTGTTGGAACTAATCAACAAATAAAGTTTTAGGATACTGAATGAACATATAGAAATCAGTTTGTCTCTATGCACTAACAAAATATATGAAAAAGAAATTTTAAAAATCTTATGTACAATAGCATCAAAAAGAATAAAATTCTTAGTAATAAGTTTAACCAAGGACATGAAAGCTCTCTACTGAAAATTATAAGATTCTTACAAAAGAAATTGAGGAAGACACAAATAATTGAAAAGTTATCCCATGTTTATGGATCAGAAGAATTAATATTATTAAAATGTCTATACTAATGAAAACTACCTACAGATTCAATGCAGTTTATATCAAAATTTTAGTGGCATTTTTCACAGAGATAAAAAAATTTGAAAATTCATATGAAACCACAAAAGATAGAATAGCCAAAATAATCCTGAGAAGGAACAAAATTAAAGGCATCAGACTTCTCAATTTCAAAACATGTGATCTCTCCAGAAGGTATCCAGGCATGTAATATGAAAAATAGAGACATTTATTGAAGAAGATAGAAGAGACATTGTATATAGTACTTTGCCACCTCAGTCCCCTTCAGGGTAGGCACCTTGGGGCCTCACACAGTTCTCCCAATCACCATCAGCTGCCCTGTCACATTTTCCTAAATCTCATCAAAGTTCTGAAATCTCTTCCCTTTCCAAAGGCAATTTTTGTTTTGGGAAAAGCCAGAAGTCAAAGGGCACCAAATCTGAGCTGTAGAGGGCTGAGTCACCTGGGTGATTTGATGTTTTGCCAAAAAACTCTGCATGAGACGTGATGTATGAGCAGATACGTTGTCGTGGTAAAGCTGCCAACCACCACTTGCCCATAGCTGCGGCCTTCTGAATTATCCTAATAGTTCCCATGGAGGAATGTTCAAGCTTAACACAAAATTTGATGCAGATTCATTGCTCCACTCCCTCAGTCATTTTGAATCACACAGACACACAGCACACATGCTCATTCAATGGCATCTACTGCCCCCACTGACTAGCACAGTGAAGTCGTCACTGTTCACACATGTGCATTCTAGTCCACTCTCCTTGGCTGCCAGGTTACATTAATGTCACACAAACCGTTCTCTTTATGTTAACAATGGTTGGACTTATTCTGGACAGAACTTGTATACCTGAAGTAAATGAAAACAGGCTAACAAAGGGGTATCTGCACTCCCATTAAAGCATTGTTCACAATAGCCAAGATGTGGAAACAACCTATTTTTCTGTCAAAGGATAAACAGATAAAGAAGATGCGGGTGTGTGTGTGTGTGTGTGTGTGTGTGTGTGTGTGTGTAAATGGAATGTTGCCAAACCATGAGGAAGAAAGAAATACTGCTTTTGCAACAACATAAATGATCATTGAGGACAGTATTCTAAGGAAAAAGTCGGACAGCAAAAGACCAATACTGTATAATGAGAGTAGGTCTTAAATATTCTCAGCACAAGAAAGAAAAAGTAATTATGTGAAGCAATGGAGGTTTTAACTAACCCTATTGTGTTAATAGTTTCACCATATATGTGTCAAATCAGCACATTGAACATCTCAAACTTATACAATGTTATATGTCAATTATATCTCAATAAAGCTGAAAAAATCAAGCCTTAAAACATAGGATTTGTATTTTCTAAGGTAGCCTTTCTGTTTTTTAATCAGCCTCCCTCAACACACCAAACTAAATAATGTGTTTATGAACAAACTAAATCCATAATTTGTCTTCTTATTAAATAAACTAAGCTGATAACATATTTGATATGCCTGTTTATATTATATGAAAAATTTCACAGAATAAATCCTAAATTGGGAATAAGGAGATAGATTCTCTAGGCTATAATGTAGAACAATTAACACTTTTTCTGGGCCTATTCTTTTTTCCACATAAAATAAGATTATACTTAAGACCCCCTTCCAGTTTGGAAATCGTCTGATATATCTGCCAGGTAATTTGTTTCTAAAACCATTCATTCTTTCTGTACCAACACATACCCAATATAGAATTTTTAATGCAATTAAAACCTTCCTTGATACAGAAAAATCCTGTCTAATTTACTTCTTATTTCCCATACCTATCACAGGACCTCGCATATGGTATTCAATAAACAATGGTATCTATTTATTACTTTTTAAAATCATTTAGTGCCTATTGTGAGCCAGACATTATAAGAAAAACAGAGTATAAACAAATTAAATGGTGATGATACTAGAAAATACTGAGAGTGAAATGAAGAGAATATGGGTAAGTGTGTGTGTGTACTTACACGTGCAGATATACATATGCAATTTCAATAACATTTGAGTTGATACATGAAGAATTAAAAGGAACCATATTTTCAAAAACCCAGAGGCATAGTATTTATGCAGAACTGATATCTGAGCTAAGGCCCCAAGCTGGGCAAGTATGTGGCAAGCTGGGAGGTCAGAAAGAAATCAATGTGGCTGAAATACAGTAAGCAAAAGCAAAGAAGTATGAGATCGATTAGAGAAGTCAGCAGGAACGGGACATACATCACTTTGTGAGGACAGAGATCCTTTGTTGGTCAAAAAATTGGAAAAATTTTTAAAATCTAAAATCTGATTTTTGTTGCGAGCAAGAAACCACAGGACTCTACATAGCATATCTGAAATTCCATGTGTCTGCATTCCAACATTTCTGTTTTCATCTTCCTGGAAGAGAAATTGCGTCAGCTAGTCCATTATCTCTGAGCATACAAGAGACGGTAAAAATCAGTTGGTTGATAGACACATTAGAGTTCATTTTATCAAAGCAAGTTTCTGAAGTCACTCCTTTGTAAAAGAAATCTAGCCACATTTCCTAGTTGGCATCTCACGTCCCCATGTTCCTTCCCTTGTATTGGCTGTGAATTTGGTCGTGACCCAGCGAAAGAGACCGTTGTTGTAACAGAAATAAGGATAAGTGCCACAATATGTGGGTTACCTCTGAAATGAACCTAATTCCCTTCCCTGTTCTTATTTGCTCTCTTCATAGAGATGAAGGTCTTCCCTTAATGCTACATGCTGTCAAGCATGACAGACAGTAGAGCCATTTGTGATTTTCTTGATTCAAAGCAGAAAGGAAAAACCATCCCTCAAAAGGGGAAGGCTGAACATACTAATTTAGAATACTCTTTCTTTCTCTCTCTCTCTCTATTTTTTTTAAATACTATAACTTCATGTCCTCTAACAGACCTGGGAGTGCCTTTTCTATGTTCCTCAGATCTTCCAGCCCGGACCCTGGCTCTGTGCCTGCAGGCTCTCCCTCCACCCCGACTCCATCCCACCCATGAAGCAGGCCAGAAGTGTAGGAAGTGCTTACCCTGCAGCCCTTGGACTAGGACTTCAGGGAAGTAGTGTGTAAGTAGCCCAGTTCCCTCACCCCTCATGGGGGATAAATATTCTCAGTGTGTTCGTACCACTGCCAGAGTTTTGCTGCGGGATGATGCCCAATCCCCTCACTTGTGGTAGCTTCCCTATATATACCTCCTCCTCACTTTCCTACCAGCGATCAGCACTTCCTAAAAAGATCATTGCACTGGAGTACTTGTCATAGGCTCTGCTTCTGGGTAATGCAAATTAAGATACACAAAATATAACAGAATCTGTGTAGGGCTTGATGCTGTGAAAGGGTTTAAGTGCAATAAATTCATATTCAGTGTTAAGAAGGTACCTCTTCCCTTCTCTCTTCCTGTTTTCAGGTGGAAGGACTTCTATTCAGATTGAAAATGGGGTAGCACACCCAGTTTTTTCCCCATAGAGGTGATATCCATTGGTTCATGTTTCTTGATTGGAGGGGGAGGTATGCTACCAAAAAGCAGTAAAGACTAGAGGTTCGTTCTTTTTTCTCTCTCTACCCTAGACCAGTATGAAAGTTGTTAAGACCACAACTTTCCTTTAGGTGGGCTGCTCAGATCTAGACTAGATATTGAAGGTAGTCTACAGAGTGTCAGAAACTGCTTTGGTTGTGTATCTAAAATCTCATTCCTCAGTTGGTTTTGTGAATAGTAAAGCTGGTGTTTGCGATGCATTTGCCCATATTCTGTCTTTTTCTTAGCTGATTCTGAACTTACCAGTAGTGCGGTTGCCCCCATGAATACATCTACAATATCACTGAAATTAAACTAGTGCTTTGTGATTTGGTTTTCACTGCATATGAAAACCATTTTTTCAAAGGTTCTCATTTTCTTCATGCTTACTCTATTTTACTCCATGGTGGAAAAGCAAGTGTGAGTGCACTGGAGATTAATAACAATTGAAAACAATTAAACTCTTAAGTGATAAATAAGATACACTAATTTAGAATCCTTATTTGCTTGTTCCTCTTTTCCCAAAGCCTTAAATATATCTAAAAACATCTTCCGACCTACAGGCCAGTGTGGTGGTGCTGCCTTCTCCTATCTTCTTGCGGCCCCTCTCGGTACCGCCTCCCCCCACCCACTCTGCTGGCTGTGGCCTCTTTCCACTCTCCTCTACCATCTCAGCAAGTCTGGATAAAGGAACTCATTCTTCCTGACCTCCTACTGGCCTTTGGGTGAGGGGATGTGGCATGATGCTATGAAGCACAGCCTAAGAGAGTTGTCTGTGGCTTTGAGAATCGTCTCCTCCTGTGCAAGGAGACTCTCCAGCAGGTGACGACTTCCTTTTTATCTCTGCAAAATCACAACCGTCTCACCTGACAGCCATCTCTCCCTCCAGTCGATGCAAAGCCAGCACAGATCATCGTCTCTGTGATCCCTCCTAGGCGGGCAGAGTAGTGAGAGCGTTCGCAGATCTCTCTCTCTAACACAGCCACTTGAATCTGCTGTAGGCGACTTGCCAGACCACCATCTAATTAAGAAACAGATTCAGAAAGCTTCACAATGACGTAAGCAAGAAATTATGTTAAAAAAATACTGAACCTCAGCCTTGCTCTGCACCAATGTAATTGCAGTCTCTCAGCCATGCCTGAGCTGATGCAGAGTGCTGAATCAAAAAATGCATGTATCTCATGCAGGGTATCTTCATTTCCAGATGTGACATCTTTGTAAAGGAAATACATTGGCAGGAGGACGAGACCAGAAACGTTTTTTTCTAACTTATTTCCAATTTAAATGTTAGTGTTTCCAAATATTGCTACATAAGAATTCAGACGGAGAAATTCAACAAGAGATGAATTAGTTTTATATGTGATTGATGTGATTACATATTATACATATAAATATATTATGTAAATATATATTATAAACATGTGATAGCAATATGTTTTTATGATTTCCTAATATGAACTAAAATCATATTCCTTTTTCTCCCAATTGACATTCTGAGCTAAACTCGACTCCAGTTTAAAAATGATACTAAAGAATTTCTTCTCATAATTGACCCTCAATCAGGCCTGTGTTAACATGTATTTTGCATAACTTATTCTATCACTTTAGATTCATGACCTTACAAAAATTAAGTTTACTATTTTATAGTCTTACACTTTTTAGGAAAAAATAAAACTTACATTTCTATAGTACCTTAGTATTTAGAGGGCCCTTTATTCCAACCTAACAATACCAGGGCATTGTGAGGTGAGCTATCACACTGGTCTCACACATGAAAAAGCCGCAGCTCTGAAAATTTGATCTCACAGCACCTATGGGGTAGAACCAGGACTCCAGCCTAGGTCTGACTCTATATCTTGTGCTCTTTTTGATATACTAATCTAACACACAAGCATTTCAATGTATTTAAACTCCTCTTTTCAGGGACCATGCATCCCATCAGTGTTGCTTACCATGTCTCAAAAATCGAGCACTCATTTTCTCTGAGTTTAAAAGAATGGATTCATCTTTGATAAGACTGTAACCACCTCTCAGTCATTGGGTGGCCATGGAGCTGGCAACGGTTGAAGGTGGTAGAGAATGGGCATGTTTGTTCAAGGGCTTTGAAGCCGGTCTGTCAATAAATATTTCCTCCTCACTCTAATCTATGTAAACTTCTAGCCCTGGGGAGAGAGTGCTGAATTAGACAGAGGTGTGCCTCCCAGGGGTTCCTGCTCTAAGAGATGAGCTGTAGAAAGTGATCACACAAAATGATGTCAAGAATATGCGTGTACAATGAGACAGCACAGTGGGCAAGGCAGAAAGTAAGTGATGGAACAGCCCTGCTGCAACACAGAGGTCTGAGAAGGCGAGTGACATCTGAGTTGAGAGTGGAATGATGAGGAGGCGGCTGGGTGGGTAGCATAAGAGTGTTCATCGTGGAAGAAAATGAAGTGCAGAACACAGAATAAGTCTGGTGTTTAAGACAAAGGAGAAAGACCGCAGTGCCTAAAGGGACAAAAGGAGGAGATGAAGTTGAAGAGTTGAGGGCAGGCCAAATTACACAGAGCCCAAGGCAGGCCGGGAGTTCAAGGACTATCAGCTGGGCCATGGCTGATTTTAAATCCTAGCATTGTTATATAGTAGTCTTGGGATATTAATAAGTTATGTAACTCTGGGTCATAACCTCCTGATTTGCAGAACAGAGAGGGTAAAAATCTCCTCATATGGTGGTTGTAAGATTTTTGGGACATGTGATTTGGCTGCAGGTAGTGCAGTAGCTGTGAACATGGATAGTGTACACAAAGATGAATCCCCTCTCCTTCAAGCTCACAGATTCCAAATAAATGACACAGAAACAGAAGGAAAATATAAAAGAAAATGATCTTTTACAGTGAAACGCAAACACTGACCCATTCAGATCATTCACTATTTGATTACAGGTTTAAGAATACCACAACCGAGCCCAGCAGTCAGCAAACCGCAGACAGTGGGCCAATTCCATGCCAGCACCTCCCACCCTGTCCCTGGGCCTGTTTAGTACAATCCAGGAACTAATAATAGTTTGTACATTTTAAATGGTTGAAAAAATCCAAGTAAGAATAATATTTCATGACACATAAACACTATATGATACTTAAAGTTCATGAATGAAGGTCTGTTGGAACACAGCCTCATCCCTTTGTTACATACTGCCAGCTGTATGTAACGAAGGGCTGTGTTGTGCTTCAGTGGCAGGACTTAGTAGTGTGACAGAGACCATATGTACTGCACAGCCCAAAAAACTTATCTGGCCCTTTATATTGTAGATTTGGCCTACTTATAATTAGTCACCCTAAAGTGAAAGTATAAAACAGCTCATTCTCTAATTTGATCACCTATTACAGCTAAATAAAACATGGTTTCTAGCTTTTGGAAGGACAAAAGGCGAAAGCAGATACTGACATTTTCCAGATTACCAACCTGCAGTAAAGTTTATGCAAATGTAAAATGTTTACCTTCATTAGTACTTCCCCATCCAGTCATAGCACAGATCTCAGAGGAAAGTGGAGGCTCCATGCTTCGTGGGAGACACACCGGCCTCACTGCAGAGCTGAACTCCAGAGGAGGGCTCAGTTGCATTAGGGCGATGTCAGAGCCAGGGCTCAACCTCTCAGAGTCTTCATGCCCCACAATGTGCTTTGCCTTTTTTACCCATATCAGTGGCAAGCAAAATTACAAGGTTAAGTCAAGTCAAACTACTTCCTTGCCTAATGGTCCAAAATAAATCTTAAATCTCTACATTTCCATATATCAGCAATGAAGATGAGTTTGTACTACATTGAAAAGGGTGATCTCTGTCTATGCTTTGCAGGTGGCCGTGAATCACTGTCTGAGGGCTGATGGTCCTGGGGAAACCAGAACTCCGGACCTGACTTTCCACGTGGACCCGAATTTCCTGACCAACTTCACCTAATTCTCTGACAAAAACATGACTTCCAATTGTTTCTTACTTGCTGGTATAAATTATAAATGTAAAGGGGCACTAGGGGATGGATATCTCATTACATAGTTTTGTTAAAGGAAGTCACTGGCATGTGATAGCACTTAGAGTGCAGACAAAATGACCTTTAAAAACAGTTCTCACCTGCTCAGGGGACTCTTTCAGGGTTCTGTCATGGTCTCTAGCAACAATAGTCCAGAAGAGTGGATTATTTTTCCTAAAGAAAGGAGAGGAGAAGTTAGACATGAAATAGCATTTTTCACCATTTAGCTAGCCATGTGTGGCTTTCCCAACATGCACTGCTCAGCTCAGCCGGGTGCCAGCCCGTCAGTCTCCATCCGGCACGTCTGTGTGATCCCTCATGGGGAAGGCACATCATGCTCCTGATCTGCCTGAGAAGGTCTTACTTGTGTATATCCCCTCCTTCTTTTGGTCATAGAATGTCTTTGAAGCCCTTACCAAATAACACCAAAAGATATTTTTTAAGTCGAGAAGGAAAAAAGAAAAATTAGAGCTTATTTTGATCTCACAGTGATTTAAAGAATATATGGAAAAAAACTACATTCAAAATGAGAGAACTTCAGGTTTGTGTTTTACTGTTAAAAGCTTTCAAACATTATCTTACGGAAATAGATCTCAAATTGTCATCTTTTATGAAATCACACAAATTGATAAACTGAGGTAAAAAAAAAGACGATCAATTCACAGATGGGTAAGTTTCACCTATAACATTGGAAATCACAGTGAGGAATCGCTGATCATTTTAGGGGGTTGAGGTTTGAAAGAAGCATGAGAGGGGGCTGCAGGATGTTGCAACACTTTGTTTCCTCCTCTGAGTGCTGGGTACATGGGTGCTCACTTTGTGAAATTTCCTCTAATTGTAAGTTTAAGATTTGTACATTTTTTTTATATTCTTCCAAAAGGTGTTAAAAAACTTGAATCAACATCCATTAATTTGCCACATTAGCAACTCCAGCTGAAAAAAATAATCTGAAGCAAGAATCCTTCAACTGTCACAAATATTCTGTCACTGCAGCTTAGAGACCCTTTCATTTTTCAAAAGTGTTTCTTCAGCAAAAGTAAAGTTATTGAAATTACTTTTCAATACACTTTATTCAAAGAAGAAGTTTCTTAATACACATGGGCTTCTTCTTTCAAGTCATAACCATGCTTACTTCAATAGTTTGCATGATGAATCTGACTTATTCATGTGTTTCAATATGAGTTTATTAAGGGAGCTAACTCAGGTACAGTGCTTGGCAACCACCTTGCAGATGGTAATGACCCCATAATGGAAGCCATTATTATTGTTATTATCTGCCATGAACTCTAATGAAAGGATAAACTTTATTTTCAAAGTCATCCTTTAAAGAATTACTTAGTAGTAAAGAAACTTATGTCTTAAAGTCATCCCTTTATGTAGAAGACAGTATTCACAATACAATGAAATAATAAAAATTGTTGTAGAATTGATCATGTTGAGCATAATTTTTAGTGAAATTTTATGTGCGTAATCATCAAATGCCTTTTAATTTGGTAGAGAACACTGTGTACAAAGCATGTGACAGAGCAACACACATTCATAAAGCAACAGCCTGAGATTTTCAGTGGGATAATAGCCCACGATATCAATTGATGAATTTTTCCATCCTGTATTCCCACTTCCCATAATCAAATCCTATTTGTTATATTTTTTAGGGTCTTATCTTTAACCAGCAATGGCATGTGTGTCCCTTCCTGTTATGGGAGAAGAAATAGTCACTATTGAATTATAGGAAAAAAGTGGCTGAAATTGAAACAACTGCTGATTTAGTTTGAGACAGAAAGATTCCACTATATAATTGCAAAGTGAGTTTAGTTCCCTCAAGTAAGTTAAAAATTCCACATAAGCACAAAGACCAATATGGAGTTAGCAAGAGAGCACTGGGTTTTCCCTAATTGGGAACAATATTACCAGGGAACTTATTAGAAATACAAATTCTCTTTAAGAATATAAGTTCTTATAAATAAATAAATAAAATCAATCTGCATTAAAAAAAAAAAGAAAGAAGGAACTCTTACCTTTTGTGACAATATGGATAGAACTGGAGAATATTATGCTAAGTGAAATAAGCCAGTTGGTGAAAAACACATACCATATGATTTCTCCTATAAGTGGAATCTATTTAACAAAATAAACCACAGGCACGGGAACATGGAGCAGACAAAGTGACAAGAGGGGATGGGGAAGGAGGACAATAGTGGAAAGAAGGAGAAGGGACTAAACAAAGAACATGTGCAAATGACCCATGGACGTGAACAAGAGAGTGGGAATTGACTGGGGGAGAGGGGGGCGTGGTGGGATGGGTAGAGAAGGGCAAAGGGGGAAAAATTGAGACAACTGTAATAGAATAAACATGATTTAAATATTTTAAAAAAACTTTAAAAAAAAAGAATGTAAGTTCTTAAAGAATCAGCAACCCTCCAGGTGATTCTAGTGTGTGTTTAAGATTGAGAACTAGTATCAGTGTAACTAACTGGTGCCAGGGCCTATAATATATGGGAGGTGGCGCAACGGTGCTGTCAGTTGTCATTGTCTTTAGAGCGTTACCAGACTTTGTCAGCCAGCTTGACTCCTGGTGACCTTCAGCAGAAATGGTATCTGTCTCAGCTCCCAGATTTTGCATATCTCTCTGACTGGTTCATCCCACATAGCAAATTTCCCCTCTCAAAGGATTTGGGTACTCAGAAGCCCCCTTCAAAAGCCCCTTTCAATGGAGGGTGGAGCCTGGATGTCTATAGGGTTGAAGAAGATGAGGTAAGAAGAAACAGGTCCCCGAAGGAATCAACTGAAGAATTCTCCCAAAAGCAGGGATGAGTGGAACATACCACTGTTGTTACACCAGCATTTTAAAAACTTCTGCTATAAAGGTCCATACATTTCAAGGAATAGCTTCAACAAGATATTCCTCTGGTCCAGTAAGTTAGGCAACTATGAAGAGTTTTAAAAAATAACCCATGCAGACATTTTTTATATCAGTATAAGTATAAAGCATAATGTTATGTGCAAAAAATCATAATACAATATATGTGATATATACAATTACAATTAAATATATACATTATGTGCATAAATATTAATAGAAAATCAGATAATTAAAAAATTCTTAATATGGATTACTTAATATAGAGGAGGAATGGATTAGTAAAATGGAAACAGTGGTTTAGCTTTACTTGATAGCTTTCTTTAGCTGTCTGTTCCCATTATCACTACTATAATAAATTTTTGAAAAAGAAATCAAGAAGAGCCACTAATGAAATTGCAGACAAAATTTTTTTGTGGTTAACTTAAGTGGCTCACAAACATTTACAGCTGATTTTGTTTATTAATCTCGACTGGGTCATCAAGCTGAATATCCACCTTGTGAAGTGTGGTTTTGCAATGGTCCCTACATCTTGCTGCAAGCATCATCATCCATCATGTGAGTTCAAGAACAGACTATATTTGACAAGGGAGTCTGCCAAAGCTCCTATCCCTCTGGCGTCAATACTAACATTTGTCTTTTCCAATACATTAATTTTCACTAATTAATCACCTACTATTGAGGTTTCTTTTTCATAGTACATAAAAATGCACTTTGATAGAATTCTTATACAATAGACATCTTTGAAAGGATGGGGGAGGCCTAGAATGAACCATGTGGCACTGCACTGAGTTAGAAACATCTATATGAACTCATGTATATATTTACAGGTTAGTATGATTCGTATTTTCTAGTTTTGTCAGCTGAAAGGGCCTAGAAGTTTACTAGAATAAAACCCGAATAGTAACTAGTATGCCCAGCACCCAGGTTTTGATTTCTCATACCATTCTCCAGTAAAATGAATCAGGGCTCATTGGGAAACTGGTTGATTCTAAGACTGAGCAGGGAATATATAACATGAGCCTGAAGCATCTTATAGTGTCACAAAATTTGGGGGGCATGTCAAAAAGACAAGAAACCATCCTATAGAAGTTCACAACAGTCAAAGCCAGAACAACTTGAGAAACAAAATAAATATGTAGTACTGTAAAATAAATATTCCTGAGTTCATCTAATAGAAAGAAGTCATTTAATAAATAAATGGTGAAGAGACAAATCTCCAATACAAAATTTTAATAATTTATATAAATATTCCCTGCTCAAAAAGGTGGAGCTTAACACCCAATCCCTGGAGAGTGGTCTACCCTTAGTAACCTGCTTCTACAGAGTAAGTACGGAAAGGGGGAAACGTAACTTGACAGTGGAGACACTTGGCAAGCACTCCCTTGGTCAGGGATTAAGATTAACGTCATCAGTGATAAATTATGTTGATAGCATTTACCCTTGCTATGAAGTGATAAGAATGGCATGTTCCTTTGTAGTCTTCCTTCCCTTAATTCATAATCCCAGTAAAACCATGAGGAAAATATCAGACAAAATCAAATGGAAGGCCATTCTACAGGATATCAGAGGAGTGTTCCTCAAAACTGTCCAAGTCATCAAAAACAAAGTCTGTGAAACTTACAGCCAAGAGGAGCCCAAGGAGGCAAGGCAATTAAATACAGTGTGGTGTCCTGGAAGGCAGTGGGGACAACTAAAAAGAACTGGAGATAGTATGTTTGAGGAATGGGGCTGTGAGCAAGCAGGTGAGTGGTCAAGATGAGTCAGAGAGGCTGGGAGTGGTTCTTGACCTTGACTATACTTTGGAATAATCTGGTGAGTATTTAAATATACTGTGTCCAGAACCTACTCACAAGCGATTGTCTTAAAAAGTCTGGACTGAAAATGAATTAATTACATTTACACATCCACATGACTTAATCTATATATCATATTATGAAGGTAACAGAAAGTCAGAAGAATATAAACCACATTTCTTTAAATTAATATCAAAACCAAGAAAAAACAAACACATACTGGTTTTAAAGATCTGTAGGTGTTAAAACCATTTTTTTTAATAGCAAAAGAATTACGAATACAAAATTTAGCGTAATGTTTACTTCTTAGAAGGGGCACTAAGGGTCTTGATAGGTAAGTATAAAGATCCTTCCAACACTGGATGGTAGGAACATAAATGTATAGTAATAATTGTTCTTTAAATTACATATATCATTAGTGGCATAATTAACAATTTAAAAACATTTGAAAAGTTAACCAAAATTTTAGTTCCCTGGTCAACCAGTGATCAAGGCAGTGGATTATCTATTGTGCTCTCCACTGTTGTGAACCATATTTTAAGAGGAACCATGCTAAACCAATCCATGGAAAGTTTCATTGCATGGTGAAGCATCTGGAATTACAATACAATAATGAGCATTTAGGTTAAAAATTAAATTAAGAGGCAATGTGAGAAGGATCTTCAGATAAAGCAAAGACTTTTATGTAAAAAAAGAAATAAGCTTAGCTCAATTAACTTTGTCCTAATTGACTCTGTTTAAATGAAGGCTAGATAAAAATGCAGAAGAAATGCTGAAAGGAATTAACCTGGATGATTTTAGAAGTTAGACAGTTACATTTATGTCCCAGGTCTGGTTTATAAATACATTGGTAAAATACCATCAGTTTCACTCACGATTGCAGGCAAGGGGCTGCAGTCAGAATCCACTCTGGGTTGACGATGGCACCTCCACACTGGGGATTGCCTGGAAACCTCAAACCCGCTTGCCATGGCCAACAGTCGGGGCAGGCTTCTTCCCCTCCTGCAATTCTTCTGGAAAGCCACTGGGGACTGAAGAGAGGGATGCCACAGACGCCTACAGCAAGAAGGAAAAACTAATGACCCATGCAACTGAAATAATTAGGAGCACCCTCCTCCAATGGCTTGCTGTAAGCAACCATCATAATTCCCAAAAACCAGATGAGCTTTGTAAAGATATAGATTCCCAAAACCTACATCTGGCTGGGAAATCTGATTTTAAAAGTTTGCCCAAGTAACTCTATTAAGCAATTATATGTATTTTCATTGGAATTTATAGCATATAAAACTTATATTCTAGCAGGAAAGTTTTGTTTGTTAGCAGAGCACACACGGTTCTTCATTATGCATCGTTCTTTTATCTGTTTCTCACTGTATGAAACTATTTACAATCCTCAAACATGCCATATTTACTCAGATATGCAAAGACTGTTCTCTTATTTGGACTACTGCTAGGTTTCATATCAAATGCCATATTCTCTATGATGGCTCCCCCATAAGGGGCAGCTATTTTTGTCTCTTACAGCAGCTTGTTCAGCTTTCTATTATAGCCCACCAACTAGAACATATTCAATATGTGATTACAGAGGATTGACAGATCATAATATTTAACCAGATACTTTAGGTTATAAAGAAGTTAAAAGTTGCCAGTGAGTGTTAAAGAACAAAAAACTTTGTATTCCCCTTTGCCTCAAAATGAATAATCATATTAAATACAGAGTCCAGGAAGATAATTTAAATATTAAGTTTGCACAGGAATAGAAGAGGAAAAAGGATTGTCTTCTGTACCCCTTTCTTCCACCATAAAGTCGATGTCTTCTATTTATGAGTTTATATACAAGCCCAAAAATGATTCCGGAAATTTCATGGTCCTAATAATCTCATATGAAACTCATTCCCCTTCCCTGTGGAGTCATATCAATACAAGAGGTCGCTTTCTAAAATAGACCTCTTGTTAGAGAAGAAAAGAGATTCAACAAAGAGTAACCACATGGCCATAAACTCACCACATGGAATTGCTTTTGCAGAAGATACAAATGGGCTTTAGGAGGTAATGTTGATCCAATTTTGTTTAAAGAATCCATAGAAGAAAAAGTCTAATCAAAAATAGAATAGCCTATACTAGCTGACTCTACTTGTTTACCCCGGTCAGACATCAAACCACTCTAATGTTGAGCTCACTAACATTACCTTTCAAATGCTAAATGTCAGATCCCATAGATATGATTTGTTACATATCTCTTAATATTCCCATTGTATCTGACTCCTTAAAGCATTCCTCCCTTCCTTGGTTCCATAAAATTACTCTCTTGGTTTTCCTGATTATGTCTAAGGCCTTTTCTCATTATCAGTCTTTTCTTAGGATTCTATTCTTCAGCCTGAAAGATAGTCCACAAGGTACTCTTCATAACTCTATTTTTTATTGATTTACATATATATGACTTCCAAATTTGTCTCCTCAATCTAAATCTCATTCCTGGATTCTAGGATCTAGGACTGCTAGATATTACCATCTGGATCTCTTACAAGCTCATAAAATATCCACATGTTTCAAATGGAACCAATTGATTTTAATAGTCAAGATGACCTTATGTTTTTCTGTATTATTTAGCAGCTTCACCATCCATCTAGCCATTCAAACTAAAAATCCTAAGAATCATGCTAGAATTTTTCTCCTTCATACACCCTCTTCCCCACAACATATCTATCAAGCAATATATATAGAATAAATTCTTTTAATGACTTCCTCACTACTTCCCTTGCATGTAAGTTTACCCTTAACTTCCATATCCATCTTCTACATTACTACCAAGGTGTGAATTCTGACCCCAGAATTCTCTACTAACTACGCATCTTTGGGAGAGTTACTTCTCTAAGCCTCTGTGTCCCTCACCTTTGAGAAGGGGAGCAGTGTACAAATCTCTTAATTTTCAAGGAGGAATACATGGGATAATGCATGTGAAATGCTTAGTCTATACTTGGTACAGAGCAGTTAATCAAGGAATGTTAACTAGCTTCCCTACCACTCTGGTATTTAAAATTTAATGCCTTACATCTGTCATAGTCAAACTCTCGCCTTTTCTATTATCCCCTCCAAAAGTCAAACAATGTTGAATTATCTGTTGTTGTTTTTGTATATAATTCACTCTCTTTTATATCAGGTTCTTTGCAGATGCTATTCCTTTTTCTGGGTACTACTTTGTCCCTAGAATGACTAGAAACCTATTTATCTTTTAAAACCTTTAAACACCCAGAAACAGTTAGTCAATCTCATTTCTGAATTACATTCTCTAATCTGAATTATCTACTTTTAATATAAGGTGTTCAGTACATTTTCTGGTCATCTAGTCGATATAGTTTCTTGGCTTGTTAAAGCACAGGTTCCTGGGCACGATCCAAGATACACAGAATATACATCTTTGGTGGGTGGGCCCAGCCATTTGCATTTTCATTTTGCCACAGAGGTAATTTAAGCACCATAAATGTAGGTAAACATGGGCAAATTGTGTTCCTTATAACCATTTTCATAAGAAAAACACTGCAGAAGTATTTATACTGACCTGAGGGCAAAAAGGTGAATCTAGCCTTGAAGCCTCGGAAGTTATTTTCACCATCACTTTTAAAATGAATCACCATCATGCTACCAGGACTGAATATTGGAGTAGGGTTGAAAGTTCCACAAAGTTTAGCTGCAAAAGTTTTAGGGAAGTTTGACTTATAGTTATAAATTTTTCATAAAGCCAGATATAAAGTACCATCTGATTAATTATTTTTGAGCAACTGTGGTTTTCTTCCACTTTAATTTATAGGCACAGCCTTTTTATCTTACATGGGAATTAAACACTAGTTTCCACATAACAGTGTATTATGATTTTATCTCACAGGAAAAATACTCTATAGATAGGCTAAGGACATCTGATTTTTAGTATTCATAAAAACCTCAATTGATTGTTAATTTGTAGACAATGAGAAGAGGCAAGTAAAAAAAAAAAGTCCCAGACTTGATATTCCTCCTTCCAGACAGAACATGGTTATATTGTGTGTGAATAGGTAACACCTGAAATCTGCTTCACTCAAACCCTCCTCTACCTGTTCTGCTGTATCAGGGAACTGTGCTTCTACTCACCTGCCTAAATATCAAATAACCAGTCTGAACCTACTGATGCTCCTGATCTCCGACCTGCACTAGCACCTAGCTAAGGTATTAAGAAAGTGGCTACATGGCTGGAAGGGATAACTCTTATACTTGGTAAATTGGTAGGTCAAAGCTAAAAGCATATTTGATGCTTTGGTTCAAAAAATTAACTTTTAAGACTCTAGTAGAAATTATAGTTTTTGGTTACCTTTTTTTAATTTCTTTTTGTGGACAAAAGAATATCAGCAATAGAAGGGATTAACACAGAAAAGAAGAAAATATTCTAAAACATTTTTCAAAGGTTGCGTGTTTCTATTAAAAACTTTACCGGTGACTCCATTGCTGGCTCTTCGGTTTTAAAGCTGAAGTTACAGGGCACCATGAGTTTCCAGTATAAGAAACTCATGTTCCCACTTGACCTCTGGGCACCCAGCGAAGGCAGCCAGTGCCACAGCTACTCCAGTTAGTCTCATGCTTTTTGGGTTAAGTTAAAATGACAGAAGGTTACCCACCTAACTCATGCTCCTCTTCAGGATCACCATACATCACAACAGCATTGTAAGTACAGTTTTGGTTAAATTCTGTAGTAAAATCCTCAAATGCCAACTGTACAAATTATAAACATAACCAGAGAAGTGGTCAAGGGAGAGAGGAGATCAACTTGAACGGCTTCCCTCTGTACATTAAATGGCTCTTAGTAACACCCTTCTCTTCCATTGATAGAAGTGTAAATAATTGCAGCTTCTTTGGAGGGCAGTTTGGCAATGACTACAAGGTTTAAATGCACAAAACTTTTGACCCAGTAACTCCACTTCTGGGAACTGTATTCATTTACATGAGTCCAAACACAGTGACACAGGAATGTACTAGCATTGCTGGTATGAGCAGACAGGAAACTCACTAAATGTCTGTTAAAAGGGAACTAGTTTAAGAAATTATGGAATATTGCACAATATAATTTTATGCAGCTGTTGAAAAGAGCTCTGTGGACTGATCTGTACAGATCTTTGAGGTATTTTTAAGTAGAAAAAGCATCACGAAGTAATATAAATATACATATATTTGTAAATGCTTAGAATGTCTCTCTAGGGCTGATCTAGAAACTTCTCAGTGTTTGCCACCAGGAGGTAAGATGGGAGTTGAATGAGACGGAAGCATACTTTTCATTGTTTTATTTTTTAAATTGTTGAAACTTTTAAAACCATATACATAAATCTTCCTTTAGGGCTTTAAATAGTAAAAGGCACATAAAAGCTCCTAGTCATGATGGCAATTTCACAGTCCAGATGAAGCAAGTTTTGCCTAACTGACATAGCTAAGCACTCAATGAAATAAAAGGCTTCGTTTATTGCCTACCTTTATAATGTGTTTCTCTGGAGCATGAATGAACCAACGACACCTTAAATTCTTGGGATATAAGTCTGGATAACTGGCAGAGTGAACCGTTCCTTCTTCCACCAATAGAGCCACACTCCCGTACCCTGAACCTATGGAAGTGTGGAAGAAATCCCAAGTGGATAGCCAAAGGCATTCTTTCTTCTTCTTCTCCCACCCCCTCCATTAAAGAAAAAAAAGTAGGGAATTAAATATCTAAAATACTTACCTGCTTCTGAGTTCTTCTGTACAGCAGTAAAAGTAAGCTCAAAGCCACTGCCACTGTTGTCCATGTCAGAAACAAATGTAACTATAGCCTCACTGGACTCCATCAGCAATGGTGAGGGCGGTGTATCTCCACAGACCTTACCTTAAAAGAAAAAGGAATTGAAATAAGAGTACTAAAAAAGGGCAGAAACAGCCCTGACTGGTGTGGCTCAGTTGGTTGGGCACTGTACCTCAAAGCGAAAGGGCACCAGTTCAACTCCTGGTCAGGCCACATGCTTGGGTTGTGGGTTCGGTCCCCTGTCTGCACATATACATGCTTGTTTTCCTAATGTTATCTTCCATGAACTCTGTTGTAAGCACACCAAACTATTCAGTGGCCCGTTTAATCATTCCACACTCTTTGCTTCAGGGATTTTATGTTCCATTCACTTTCTCATACCCAGTCTCCCATGTCCAAATTCTATTCATCCCTCAGGGTCTAACTCAAAAGTCCAGCTCTCTCATAAAGCTTTCCAGACACCCAATGGAAGTGACAGCTGCCTTTCCTGAATCACTGAAGCCCATTTCCTATTTTATTTTAATTCCTACTTTGCTGTACGTCTTTAGTTACCTCACCCAAATGCAAGCTCATTAGAGACTGATTTTACTCTCCTCATATCCGGACCTGGTATGATATCTGGCACATAGTTGGTTTTTAACAAAGATTGGTTGAAGGAATGATTACTGGATAAAGAGCAGACCTGAAGCATGAAATCATTTAGGTAATAAATGTTATAACCCTAAGCACAATATCTTGCCTATAGCATTCTTTCAAACATTTGAGGAGATTTGTCCTAACCACTGGCCTTACAGAGACCTAGAAACTGTACCAACTCTAGAGATTCTCTATCATGCTTAACACATAATATTTCAATTCAATAAATATATTCATTATGCTTATATAGCTTATGATGCATTCAATAAAAGGAATTTAATAACATGAAATGATCTCTTGTGTCATGAGAAAAATAGCATTACAATACAATGTAAAGTTCAGTGTGTTCATTTACTATGTATGAATATATATCAGAGTGTTAACAGCATTTATCTCTAGGTGGTAGGGTTATGATTAATTTACATCATCTTCCATTTGCTCATCTGTCTTTACTAAACTTGGCAAACATGCACCCCCTTTTGTGGCAAAATGAAAAAATAAACATTGTTTTGAAAAATTTTTTGACAATTGTGATAATTTTATTCAATACTCTTATTAAATTTGAGAAAAGAATAGAGAATGCTCTGGCAATATGCTTGTCATTGGCCCCGGCCCATGTAGCTTACTTGGCTGGAGCATGGTCCCGTAAACTGAAATGCCGTGGGTTTGGTTCCTGGTCAGGGCACATACCTAGGGTGCAGGTTTGATCCTCGGTCAGGGAGCATGTGGGGGACAACTGATCGATGTTTCTCTCGTATGAATGTTACTCTCACTCTCTCCCTCTCTTTCCCACTCACTAAAATCAGTAAGCACGTCCTTGGGTGAGGATAAAAGATAACATGCTGGTCATTGGTTCTACTTTTACTGCACGGAGCTCAATCCCCTTCAGGAAGGGCACAGTATGTGGGATAAAATAAATGCCCTGTGCAAAGAATCTAATTTCAGATCCTTTAGCACCTCTTTAACCTCTGAGGAACTATAAAATGACAAAATAAATTAACATACTTACTAATAAGCACTTTGTGGCTTGATTGTAAAGATACACAGTCATGATCATATCCAACTCGATTTCCTATGTCTAAGCTTGTAAATTTTAATAGGATCACTTTATCCTCTGGTACCATTATTTTCCAAATACATAAGCTAGATAGGGGAAGGTGAAGAACATATAATAAATGGTAGAGTCAAGTGTGACAAATAAGATCTATTGTCTTGGCTTTAGCTCATAACTCACCAATAATAACATTTTACAGGATATTAAAAGATAATAAGCATTGGAAATTCCTTATGTGAGAATAATTTGTTTATGCTTGAATTTCTGGCATTTATCCAACAGAGGAGAGTTAATTATACAATGGCCAGAAACCACCTTTAAAATTTCATTTAGTTATAAAATTCAAGAATTATGAACAATAAATTGAAGCAACCTATGATTCATCTCTCTGTTCTGAGTCCAATTGAAAATTCATAATATTCACCCAGGAGTTGAATTATGAATTGTGGACTGATCATGCAGCATATGTCAGCCTAAGTCACAGTTCCTGCAGTTGCAATGTCGTCTCTGAAACTCCCGGTAAGGTCAGCTGTGACCTTTTCCCAGTATCTTTAGAAACATGTCTAAATATTTTGAAAGTAGTCTTATACAATTTAACATGTAATCCTTTAAATATTCATTTTCCTACATTAATTCATATTATTATTCAAGAAAAGAAACCTTGGCAGGACATAAATCCTCAGCGCCTTCCCTGGCACATGCTTCTCTGAATGCAAAGCAATCTTATCTGGAATCTAACATGTCAGAATGAACTTCTTTCTAAAACCCAGTAGTCTTTATCAACAAATTTAGATCGGCTAATGCTCCACTGCCTTCTAAGCAATAAGTGTTCAGGACTGCAGGAATCATCAACTCTTTTATGCCTAGTTTTCAAAAACCAAACACAATAATTCTTCTTACCAAATATCTTCTCCTTAACCAGAAACTCCTTGATTTACTTTTTTTCTTTTTAGGTCCATCATCCTGACCATAGATGTAAAAAGAAGCTGCCTAAAATATCATTAAAATCTCTTTTTAAGCACTTCAATTTAAAAAGCAATAAGCTACCTAAAATATAATAAAGCTCACTCATAAGCACTTGAGTCGAAAAAGCACTCCACATCCATCATTTTTCCTGATATTCATTATACCGCTCTGAAGCAGACAGGAGAGAAATTACTCCCCTTCTCCAAATGGGAAAAGTGGCATTGATATTCAGAGACTCATCACATCTCATATAATAGAAAATACAGCTTAGGCTTTATGATTTCAAAGGCCAGGAGTTTTCATCAAACTATTTTCTGCCTAGAATCTCTACCTCAGAGACGGAAGACAGATTTCAAATCATTTGCCAACCTCAATTTATTGTTAGTGATTGCTATATTAAAAAGGATTTTGAGGTCTCATCAAGCTATGTGAGAGTTGGGTATCAAAATTAATCATTGATTTATTCATTCAAATAAATCAACTGAGTGTTTGTTATATTTGAGTCCCTCTTCTAGCTTCTAAGACATGCAATGTCACCATAGGCATGGAAAAAAGGAGACCACCTGAGTGCCATGTATCTGTCATTTCTGAGTCTAGCTATCACCTACCAGAATAAAACCACTAGGCTTGGAGAGACTGTATAACTCCCCACTCCTCTTTTCGTTATCTGTTTTTCCCTTATCATTAGCTAATTGATTCCTTTTGGAATTTATGAAACCCTTCTACCATTCAGCACTGCTTAGCATGCTGAAAAAGTTATTAAGTATGCAAATTGGCTCCATATTTTATTACATTTCTAAAACATGTCTTTTTGCATTTGAACATTTTAAAATCAGAGGGATCTTATAATTCTGTTAGACATGGATTAAAAGAGTTTTTCCAGAAAGGATTTGTATTAGCTTTGGCCAGTCATCTGGGGGTACTGTTAACTAAATACTACTTAATTCTTTTGCTTGAGGTTGCGTGGACTACACTGGTATAGAGAATTTTAGCCTCTGGACCTATATGAGTATTAGCTTGCGATTCTAACTCTCTGCGCCAAGGTTGAGGGAGGCATGTAATCTTCCATGTGGGTGGGTTTATGCCTCAATTAGCCTAACACGGGAGGCCTTGGGTGGCCCGGCTTTATATGGAGATCTCTCAGTGTTCCATTGTTTTGTTTTCTTTATTGGTGGTACATGAAATAATGATGACGTTCACAAGAAGTTTGTTTTAAACTTGTTGAAATGTAACAAATGCATTCTAATTCTGAGTTGTGATACTGTTGAAAGTCTTACTCTTTCTGGTTGGCTTCTTACTTTAATCCCTAAAAGCTATGCAATATCTTTTTACCTATTATTCTCAACTTCATCTCCTAAACTTGAAACAGTTGAAAACTTGTAATCACAAAGATGGCATTTAATGTAAATTCCTTCAACTTTCCTATAAAGTACCTCAAAATTTTCTATTGCTCTTCCAGAAAAGGAATTGTTTTTCTCCCCAAAGCTAAAGCCTTCTTTATCTGTTGTGTTCTTATTAAACTTTCTTCACATGTATATGTCATTTCTCTGGACTTATCATTCTTATCCTCTCTTCTGCCCATAAGGACAGTTAAACCTCCGCTTCCAAAAAACCAACAAAAACAAAACTTTGTTTCTCTTGACCCTACGACTGTATTACCCAAAAGCCACTGTTCCAATTTCTTCTTTCTCTTCTGCTTAACGGTTTTCCTCACCTCAAACGAGGGCAGCTTTATCCTTCCATCGGTAAAAAAAAAGCCCCTCAAGTTAATCATGAGATTTTCTCACTTAAAACCCAAAATTTCGGCTTGTTAGCAAACTCTGTGCCCTGCCACCTCTCACCACCTCTATTGTTATAAACCTGGTCAAAGCCAACATCCTCCTTTTCTGGCTTATTGCAATAGCTGATTTCTCAGCTTTTGGTCTTGCCTGTTTACAGTCTATTTTCAATACAACAGCCAAAGTGATCCTTTTATTTTTTTAAATTTTTATTTTCCAATCATGTTTATTCTATTACAGTTGTTTCAATTTTCCCCCCTTTCCCCTCCTCCACCCATCTCACCCCATTCTCTTATCCATGTCCATGGGTCATTCATACATGTTCTTTTCTAGTCCTTTTTCCCCATCCCCTATGGTCAGTTTCAGTCTGCTCCATGTTTCTGTGCCTGTGGTTTATTTTGTTTGTGGAATCTATTCCACAAAATAAACTATAGGTGAGATCATATGGTATTTGTCTTTCACTGGCTGGCTTATTTCACTTAGCATAATATTCTCTAGTTCTATCCATGTTGTCGCAAAAGGTAGGAGTTTTCTTTCTTTCTTTCTTTCTTTCTTTCTTTCTTTCTTTCTTTCTTTCTTTCTTTCTTTCTTTCTTTCTTTCTTTCTTTCTTTCTTTCTTTCTTTCTTTCTTTCTTTCTTTCTTTCTTTCTTTCTTTCTTTCTTTCTTTCTTTTCTTCCTTCCTTTCTTTCTTCCTTCCTTCCTTTCTTTCCTTTCCTTCCTTCCTTCCTTCCTTCCTTCCTTCCTTCCTTCCTTCCTTCCTTCCTTCCTTTTTCCTTCCTTCCTTCCTTCCTTCCTTCCTTCCTTCCTTCCTTCCTTCCTTCCTTCCTTCCTTCCTTCCTTCCTTCCTTCCTTCCTTCCTTCCTTTCTTTCTTTCTGTGATTCTTTTAAAGCATACCAGATCATATTCTTCCTCTGTTCAAAGTCCTCCAAAGACTCCATATCTTATAATAAAATCACAAATCCTTCTCTGTCCTATAAGTTTGGTCACCACTAACCATAACTACTTCTCCTTCTCTCATTTAGCTCCAGCTTCCTGCTCTTCCTGTTCCCTGAATATACCAAGGATTTTCCTGCCTCACAAATGCCATTCTTTTGACCAGGAATGTCCTTTCCCAAGATGACCATATAATTTCCTCCCTTATCTTACTCAAGTCTTTGTTCAAATATCACCTTTAAAGCAGTATTCCCTGACCATCCTCTAAAATTGCATAACCCATCACTCTCTATGCCCCTTTCATGCTTTATTTTTGGACATAGTATTTATTATCTTCCACTATGATATGCAATATTATTTGTATTATCCCCACTCTCCACCTTCCAACTTGCCCCACTAAAGAAGACATTTCTATCTGCTTCATTCACTGCTGTATCGCTAATACTTAAACTAGTGCCTGACACATCTTAAGGCCTCAATAATTTTTTTTGACTATTTGGTGAAGAAAAGATATCAAGTCTTCAACAATTACTTAACCCATTATGAATATAGCTGCTGATCTGGCTACTGAATCTTTACTGAATCAGCTCCCAAATTTTGAACTGTCATATCCAAAGGTATTTAATCTGAACTCGTTTCAACTTTTGAAACATCTGACATTACTACCAACCCCCTTTGTCTTGAAAGTCTTTCTTGTAGAGATATCTTTAATTCTTCACTAAGTTGAATCACAGGTTCCCTATGTTGGAGGGTAAATTGGCAGTAATCTACATGCCTTTTAGGTAATATATAAATATTTGTTCTCAAATCTTACCCATAGGCATCCATACACTGCTCAAATAACCACTTATAAAGGAAATTCATCATCTCCTGAGGCAGTCTATCAAGCCTCAGAAATCTCTTAAATTAGAAACTACTTTATATTGAATTGAAATCTGCCTCCTCCTAAAATCTACCCTCTGCTCCTTACTCTCAGCTCTGTAGTTAATCAGAACAAGTTCAATTCTGCTTCTCTAGTAGCCTTTCCTATAAATCAAGACAGTTTCTTTCTTCTCTCAAATCTGCCTTGGACGAAAAATATTCCTAGTTCTTTCCACTGTATATCCCAAGACACAGTTTTAAGTTTCTTTTCATCTTACTCATTGTCCTTCAGCTACTTTCTGATTCATCAATGTCCCTCTTTAAAGGTGATGCCTACAGGCCTCCTCCCTACTTCCCCTGCCCAGAACTCTGGTAAAACAGGGCTCTCATTTTTGTTCTGAACTCTGTTCTTCTAAAAGGAGAATAAACAAAGCTGGCAAGGGCTTTATTGGTAGTGTGTTACTACTAGGTTTACTCACAGAAAGCCATCTTAGACTCTTAAGCTTTCTAAATAAGGGCTGCAATAAGCCATTTCATTTCCATCCTGTATGCATGAAAATATTTACATTCAATTTACATTAATTTTATAAATTATAATCTTACCATTATTTTAGCTTTCCATTGCCTATGGAATAAAGCCTAAATCTGTTCAAGTGAAATTTAAGGTCCTCTATGATTAAGGCCTTATCATTTTTTTTTCCTCTTCACTGTCCATTGCTATTCTAGTCCCCACCTACATTAACATTGCTTTCCAGCAGCATTGGGATACACATTGTTCAAATGACCCCACAGTCCTCAGCTCCCTGACGTTGCTTATACACAATTCCCTCTGCCTGGAGTTCACTGTGAAAACCTCTTAGATATTAAAGCTACAAAGGACTTCATGAACTATCTTTTAATGCTTGGTTTCAATCCCACCCCCTTCACTAAAGCATTCCTATCCCCAGCCCTCCCAACCTCAGTGCACTCACCTCACAAACCCCTGCAACGGGAACTAGTCTCTCCATTTTCCATGGTGTCAACATACCTGGGTAGTGCAGATTATAAAGCTTATTTCATCTTGTTTTATGGTGTAGCTATTTTTGTCCAGCTCTCTCCTCCTACCAGGTTATAAACTCATAGAACTATCATCTATATTTGAATACTGTTCAGGGCTAAATATAATTTTAAAAAATGAATGCAGAACACTAAGAAAATGAGATACGTGCAGAATGAATTGCTAAACTTTAAAGATATCTTTAGCCATAGAGAAGGCAGGGTATGTAGAAAAATTTTCAAAGACCTCAGAGCTTGTAGATCATGAACTAGTTTCCATCTTACAGGCAACATTTATCAAAATATTATCATTATTACAGAAATCAGTGAAACAGATTAACCACTAAATTCCTAGCACAATCTCACTACCAGGTGCTATTAATGTTAGTCATTTGAATATATCAATTCAGGTAAGCTCCGGTCTTAATACCACTTGTGTTGATAATTTATACTATGAGTATCAGAAATACTAATTGGCAAATATTTGCCAATCAGAAAATTTCAGGTGAAGTATATAGACTTTTATGTTATTCAGATAAAGGTATTGAGATCCTAGATTAAATTGCCAAAATATATATTCTTAAATGACATTGTTTATGGGGAAAAACCTAGGAATCATCCCTACCTGGGATACATACCAATTATGAGAATAGTTGCCCTCTTTCAAATGGGGATAACGGATCTTCTCATTTTCTCCAAATAACACTGTTCCCTGAAGTCTACAATCTTCCAAAACATAGGTAAAAAATTGATTATTTCAGCTATGGACAATACTTCAAGACATATGACATAGAGCTCAAAGCTGCACAATTTATATTATATAATTTATATTTATAGGAATGAATATATTTTTAGGTACCATTATTGAGACATTGTATTTGCAGACTTCATTAGGAAAATTTCTAAATGATACATTCTTTTCTTTCTTAATATAATAGTTTTATTAATTAATCATCTGACATACTTCTACAATACTTTTCTTCCTATATATTAAGGTATAATTTTAACATATTACATTAGTTTCAGGTGTACACATAATAACTCAATATTACATATTGCAAAATGACCACGATAAGTTTAGTAAATATCCATCACCACATATAGTTACACATTTTTTCCTTGTAATGAGTTCTTACAAGATCTACTCTCTTAGCAACTTTTAAATGTGCAATACAGTGTTATTACCTATAGTCACCACACTTTACATTACATCCTCATGCCTTATTGATAACTGGAAATTTGTACCCTTTGACCCCCTCCATCCATTTTGCTTAAACCCATACCCTCACCTCTGGCAACCACCAATCTGTTCTCTGTATCTATGCTTACTTTTATAAGATTGAATTCCACACAAAAGTGAGGTCATACAGTATTTATCTCTGTCTGACTTGTTTCATTCAGCATGCCTTCAAGTCCATCCATGTTGTCACAGATGTCAAGATTTCATTCTTTTTTATGGATGAATAGTATTCATAATGTTGCTTTCTTTGTTTGAGTTTTTCAAATTTAAGATTTATCCAGTTTTCTCAAATCATGAGTCACAGTGAAGCGGTCAAATTCATAATACATGGAACTAACATAGTGTTCTCCCATTTCTAACCAAGTGGTCCTGGGTTATAATAAAATACCTTTGTTTAAATACACCAAAGAAAAAGTATATAAATGTTGGCAATGACATGGCAAGACTCTATCATTCACTCAGAAATTTCACACGACACTGTCACACTTGAATTGCTGGAAGCCAAAAGAAATAGGCGACAAGGGGATGGAAGCGCAGAAAGACATCTTAAGGAAGTGTTATTTAAATAGAATACTTGTCACATTCTGATATTCATTAGACTGGAATTAGTGATTATCACCTGATTTCACTGCCATTTTAAAATATTGTTATCATTAATCTTTGTTCAGGGTTCTTAACCTTTTCAACCTTCACTTCCAGGTGATAAAAACTGAATAGAATTGCCACCAGGAGAGAATTTCCCCCTGTAGCCATGGCAATGAAAGGGACACTTTTCCTCTGAAGACCAAATGAAAGTGAGTGAGAGTCTGCTCCAGTCGGGGCAGAGAGGCAGGGCTGGCATCCCGTGGCCCAACAGCAGCAGCACGTTTCAAACCCTCAGCCAGGTGGCTGACCTTGGACTGCAACGAAGGCAGGATGGAGAGAACATCACGTTCTGCTCTCTGGGTCCTGGCGTCTAAACACATTGCTTCTTATATTAAACTACTTGTTCAGGAAACTGTGTTTTTTCATGCTCCTTTATTCTACAGAGGCTGCCCCTTGTGCCATTTTCCTGTGTAGATGCTGCCCCTTTGTGTGAAAAACCTTCTGGTCCCTCAGGACTGAGCCCCCTACACTCCTCAGTGATCTCACAACCCTCTGGGCTTCCCTGTGCCTTACCTTTTATTGCAACTGTCTCTTTACTTGTCTCCCCAAATAGCTGGAAAATTCCTTGAGGACAGGTTTATTACCTCCACACCCGTGCTTATTTTCCTAATCTATGTTGTAGTGATGCAGAACAAAAATAACTCTGCAAAGCTCTCTTATTTTTCTACTGTCGCCAAGTAAAATGAAAAAGGCAGAACAGGGGAAGTAGGAGAAGAGTGATTTATTTTAGTGCTCTTAGGTAATTTATAGGGAAAAAAGTCAACTGGATGAATAAAGAATACTCTGAATCCTTTCTCGTATTTTTATATCTCAGAAATACAAAAAAAAATTCATGAACATACACTTGAAGATCCAGTTGATGATCAAGTTGATAGACACCAGTGCTCATGAATTTAGATAGAAGCTTATATACATTGGGTTATGAATTGAAAACCAGACATATATTTGCTTTGTTTTAAAGCTTAGTCCCAATTATGTCTGCAATATATCACAATACCCTTGAAATAAGATCAGTTTCTCAGTTGCAATGAAATGAGAAAGGAAAAAATTCACAGAAATTACACCCACCTGTGACTATGTTCTGAGTGACAAAATCCATCAACTCTAACACCTTGGAGAAAATGCCAAAGGATGTCCTTACATAGTTATTTCTTAAAGGAGCCCAACTTCTAGTACAACCAGCTTCCCAGGAAGTTATCCCAGCAAGAATCCAGAGTCCACTGTCTCTTCTACAAACAAGGAGGCTTCCAGAGACCCCCTTTTATAGTAGAGAAATAGAAAATTTGAAAATATTCACAAGTTAAGAATATTTTCTCAGGTCCACAAATATCAGCACTAATCTTAGAGAAGGGGAGGCATATAAACCCAATGGTCATTGCCTATCAATAATTTTTGTCCATCTTTTTGTTTCTTTACCATTAGTTTCAAGGCACTATAGTTTTGCCCAGATGTAACCTACTTCCACCCATTACCTACAATCTTGTAAACCTAACACTTAATATCTTTCTGCCTCCTCTTTCTCTTTTTTCTGGGAACAACTATATATATTCCAAAATCAATGAAAGGAAATGAGTGAGTTTATAGATACATGCCTCTACAACAGCTTGTTGCCTGAAACTGTTGGAAAAAAATAGGCCATATCCTAAGACTACAGCACCAGTGAATAGAGCCCCCAAGGTAATGCAATGGCTCAAGATTTTGAAAAGAGAATGACTGGAAGCCTAATTTTGTCCCAGAGACTATGTGTCAAAAACTGTTTGTTCTTTAATAAGAAACCTGCAATTTCAGGATCCTATCTTTAATAGCCCTTTAGAATAATATGGTGCTTTGAGAACATGTGTCAATTCTGTGTCAGATTAAGCTGTCCTCAAAAGGCATAGAATTTCACAAGGGCTTCATCCAAAGCAAGATTGCCTATAACACATGCAGAGACGACAAAGCACCCTTAGTCTACCTGTGTTCCAATTTAGAAAGTGGCATAATTATAAATTTTTATCTCCTCTATCCCAAACTGTTCTTGGTCTTTGTTACCCCCCTGGAATAAAAATTAGATGTTTTTCAAAAATACAATTTTATGGTGCTTCTCATGGCAGCTTCACACTGCTTGATTATAAAGAACAAAGACTCCCTGATTTTCCACTTAAAAAAAAACCTTTCCAAGTACATCATCTTTTTCATTTAAAAATTAATATCCATGTCTTTAGCAAGTGCGTTTCCCTTTCCTCTCTGTGTCTGGTAAAGACTGTTCCCCTTTGTAAAATTGTTGTCTTTGGGAGATCACTCTCAGTCACAACATCTTTTACCCAAGAGTTACTATAACGATGCTATCTTTGGGCAAACTTTGTGCCAACATTGCATTCAGCGCTAAACTCTTAAAAATTTTAACAAAGGGTGGAATGCAAAAGTTCACAGTTGAACCTAATTAGTTTGCCAAAGTGGCCATCATGCTTGATTCTTTTAGTCTGGGAATGTTCAAACCACATCTTCTGTTTCTCCCACTCAAAACAGAACAAAACAAAACAAAACTGTGAGGGTAAGGTTGGGCATAGGACAGGAAAGAAATCTCTCAGCCCAGGTCCCAGGTCAAGGCAACATTTTTAGTAGGAGCCAGGTGAAAAAAATGAAGGAAAGGGGAATTCTGAAGAAGTAATGCCCAAAAGCAGCTCCCGAGGAAAGGCAGAACCCACCAGAATTTACCATCACCCATGTGTTATTGAATAACTGGACTGGTTTATACTTGTTACCTGGCAGGTGTCCTTTTCTCCATCAGGGAAACCAGCACACAACATGGTCCTTCCCAAGGGAGGAAGGTTCATACCCTTGAGCACCACATTACACATTGTGTCATCCATGATAGGAAGTTCCAGTTCTTGTAGGACATTTGAATATTCTGATGCTGCGGAGAAGAGACTGATAAGTTAGTCAACAACTGTCCTCAAGGACACAAATCATAAGAAGCCTCCAAATTAAAAACTGTTTCAAATAGGTGTTTAACCAAAATGTACAAGTCCTTATTTTTTAAGGGTGAATTATATTCTTTCCTAAAACCATATATGTGATAAAGAACTTTTTTTTTTTTTTTAAATCCAGCAGATTTTTAAAGTAACAGGCAATTCTGGCTTCTCTGAAGATATGCTTGAATACCATCCCCCCAGGTTAGTCAATAATGCAATATTTTGTAAAGTTCTTTGATTTTCTTTAAAAATCACAATATTAAAGATAAGAAAACATAACTATTGTTATTATTTCATGATAATTCCTTTCTTGTAGTCTTGTTCATCTATTACGGTTACCTTCAGTTTTATCTGACACATTAGCCAAAATGGTAGCCAGAGTTTTATGTAGAGCCTTAGATATAGACTTTCCTATGGGGAAGACAACCAGAAACCTTCACCGAATCAGAACTCAGGGCAAAGAAAAACAGAGGATAAATGTGTCACTCATGGCCAACAAAATCCTTGTTTCTACTGGGCATACGAAGGGGACATGGAAGAAATATCATATTTTTTGATGCCTCTTACTCTCTGAAGTCTTGCCCCATCCACTGGTCATGTAAAGAATCCCTTCTTCAAATTTATCATCTCTATGGGGAAGACAAATTGGCTGAAAAGCAATTCCTGAAAACAAAAAACAAAAAACAAAAAAAATTGTAAGGTTCACAGACAAGTGATGCTGAATGTATTTGGGAGGTGACGTTGTTTGATTTCATGTCTTCTAAAATTTATTTGTAAATGTTATATTGACATATATTTTTAGTTTTCTTATTTTATTAAAAATTATTTCATAAAGAAATTTAGAAAAATGCAAGAAATATAAAACAAGGAAAAATATAACCTATTGTTCTACACACTGCAATAACTCTCCCCAAACTACTATCATTTTAAGGGGTGGCCTTGTTCTTAAGAAATAGTTTTTCTTTCTTTTTTTTTTAAGTATATTTTATTGATTATGTTATTACAGTTGTCCCTATTTTTCCCCCTTTGCCCTCTTCCTTCCAGTTCCCCCTTCCCTCCAGCAATCCCCCTCCCTTAGTTCATGTCCATGGGTTACACATGTAAGTTCTTTGGCTCCTCCACTGCCTATACTGTTCTTAACATCCCCCTGTCTATTCTGTACCTACCCAATTATGCTTCTAAATCCCTATATCTTTTACCCCATTTTCTCCCTTACCACTCCCAGCTGGCAACCCTCCAAATGATCTCCATATCTATGATTCTATTCCTGTTTTAGTTGTTTGCTTAGTTTGTTTTTGTTTCTTAGATTCATTTGTTGATGGTTGTGAGTTTGTTGTCATTTTAATATTCATACTTCTGATATTTTTCCTAAATTAAGTCCCTTTAACATTTCATATGATAATGGCTTGGTAATAGTGAACTCCTTTAGCTTTACCTTGTCTGGGAAGCACTTTATCTACCTTTCCACTCTAAATTATAGCTTTGTTGGATAGAGTAATCTTGGATGTAGGTCCCTGGCTTTTATGACTTTGAATACTTTCCAGCCCCGTCTTGCCTGTAAGATTTCTTTTGAGAAATCAGCTGATAGTCTTATGGGAATTCCTTTGTAGGAAACTATCTCCTTTTCTCTTGCTGCTTTTAAGATTCTCTATCTTTAATCTTTGACATTTTAATTATGGTGTGTCTTGGTGTGGTCCTCTTTGGGTCCAACTTTTTTGGGACTCTGTGCCTCCTGGACTTGTATGTCTATTTCCTTCACCAGATTGGTAAGTTCTCTTTCATTATTTATTCAAATAAGTTTTCAACTTCTCCCTCTCCCTCTTCTCCTTCTGGCAGCCCTATGATACAGATGTTTGCCCTTTTGGAAATGTTCCAGAGTCTTCTTAACTCTTCTCATATATTTTGAATTCTTGTTTCTTCACTTTGTTTTAGTTGAATGTTTATTTCTTCTTTATGTTCCAAATCATTGATTTGAATCCTGGTTTCCTTCCCTTCACTGTTGGTTTCCTGTGGGTTTTTCTTTATTTTCCTTAGTAGAGCCTTTATCTCTTCCCTTATGCTTTTGCTGTATCCAATGAGATCTTTGAGCATTTTGGCCACCAGTGTTTTTAACTCTGCATCTGATAGGTTGTTTATCTCTGCATCACCTAATTCTTTTTCTGAGGGTTCTGTTCTGTTCCTTAATTTGGGCCATTATTTCTTTGTCTCCTGATTTTGGCAGCCTCCCAGCATCTGTGTACTAGGTAGAGCTGCTTTGATTGAACTTTAGTGCACCTGTTAAGTCATAGGGGGAGGAGCCTTGGGTATTCGCCAGGGTGGGGCATCTATGTGAGGCTCCACATGTAGGGGAGGGTTAAAAAATGGAACAGTGCCACTGCTGGCTGACCTCTGGGATCTTGCCTGGCCCTTGCCCCATTTCCAGTCACTTCACCCACTTCCCATGTATGACTGGCACCCCTTCAGCGGCTCTCCTGGCTGTGGTTCCCAGGGTGGGTGGGTTTGTGTGCGTTCCTGGCTCCCCTGGGAAACCAGTAGTGTCTTCCACCACCCCAAACCCCCACAGCATTTACAGCCAGAAGCTATGAGGCTTTCTTTCCTGGTGCTGGAGCCCTGGGCTGGCTCACTCACAAGGTGTCTCTCTGATATTTACCCACCACACGTGAACGTGGGGCTGCCCTTCCACCTTGGCAGCAGTCTTCTTGCCTTCTCTGCATCTCTCCACCTTCAAATTGCCACTACCATCCCCAGTTCTCTCCACCTGACTCCCCGTCTCTGCCCCTCCTACTCATCTGCATGAATATAGCTTCTTTAAATCCTTGGTTGTCAGACTTCCATATAGTTCTGGGTGTTTTTCTGGTTGATTCTCTGGCAGTTCTAGGAGGGTTTTTTTTTGTTTGTTTTTAAGTTAGTTGTGTTCCTTCTTATGGTTGTGCAGTGAGGACAGGTGTGTTTACCTATGCCTCCATCATGACTGGAAGCCCAGTTTTTCTTTCAATAGTAAATTGAGTACTACTATATGGCAAGCACTCTCTAGTCCTTTGTGAATAAGCAGAAGAAAAAAAAAATTCCCTGCCCTGGCAAAACTTATGCGTATGTGTATACATGTGTGTGTTGGGGAAGAGGAACTACAAACAGTAAATATAATCATTTAACTATAAGGTAATATGTGCTGTGGAAAAATTACAGTAGGGTAAAGAAGACAAATCTGGGGATTAAAGAGGATAGCACAAGAGGTATAATTTTAATAGGGTAGTCATGGCAAGTCTCATTGAGTTTGTGACACTTGAACAAAGCTTTAAAGAAGCTATGGGAAGGAACCATGCAGTTATCTTGGTGAAAAGCATTTGAAAAAGGAGAAACAGAAAGGAAAATCCCTGTAGTGGAATCATGTCATGTGTGTTTGAGGAACGGTGGGGAGGCCAAGATGCCTGGAGCACATTAAGCAAAGAATGTTCAGTAAAAAACAAAAAAGAGGTTAGATGTTGGGCTAGAAAGAGGAATATGTCAGATAATAAGAATATTGATTTCCATCTGAGTGCAATGGAGAACCTGACTTACATTTCAAAAAATATTATTCTGGCTGCTGGGTTAATAATAAACATTAGTGATACAAAAGAGAAAGCTGACCATTTAAAAGACCATTAAAATGAACCTACACAAGAACAATTGTAGGCTCAAATAGGGTAAGGTAAGGCAGAAGCAGTAGGATTTTTCTGGTGGATTAGACATAGAGTACAGAGAGAAAGAAGAATGAGTACAGTTTCCAGATTAAACAGCTGGCAGGGTAGAGTTGTCATTAATCAGATTAAAGGCTATGGATGGAGCAGATTTAGGATGTAGGGAATAATCAGGATTTTGTTTTTAACATATTAAATTTGAGAACCTATTAGCCATCCAGGTAGGTGACATTAGGTAGTTGACTATATGCCCCCTATTAATCCCAGCAGCATCTATATAATATTAAGACATCTGTGCTAGATATATAACATTTCAGGTAATCTTCAAGTAGATGGTATTTAAAGCCTAGATCTTGTATGAGATCACTCACTTCAATCCTGGACGGGATCACTAAGGGAATAGGCGCAGAGAGAGAACAGGTGAAAGTACTGAGCCCCGGGGCACGACAGCAATAAGGGGTCACAAAGAAGAGGAGGGATCATCATAGAAAACTATGAAAGGGGGTAAAGAGCATAGGAGAAAAACCAAGGGACTTTAGGAATCCAAGTGAAGAAAATTCTTCCAGGAGAATATGCCCAACTCTGTCAAAGCACCTACCAAGTAAGCTGGAGATGGAGAATTGACCTTTGAATTTAGCAACAAGGTGGTCATTGATGACGGTAACAAGAGCAAATTTGGTACAATGGTGTGGTTGAAAGTCTGATTGACTTGGATGTCTAATAGGCATCTCAAATCTAATACATGCATTTATGAGAATTGAGGAAAGGAAATTGACATACCTAACATATTTGGATACTCATGGAGTGTTTCTAAAAAGGGGAGCAGGAAAAAATCAATAGTATTTTTGATGTACAAGTCTAGTTTGAGTTATTCTCTCTCAGTATTTTGATGACCTTCTACTAAGGTCCTCTGATTTTTATTATTGCTGTTGAAAAATTAGCTGTCATTCTGTTATTTTTTTTCAGTAATAGAGTTTTTCCTTCTGGATGTTTTTGAGATTCACTCTTTGCTTTTAACATGTTATCATTTCAGCATAAACATATATATATGTGTATATATATAATTTTTAAAAAATATTATAGTTTGGAATTATTAAAGTTCTCAGGCCTGAAGATTTGTGTTTCATCATGCTTAACTCTCAGCCACTTTCTCTTAAATTATAGCTTTTCTCTCCCATTACCTATATTTTTTTCTAAAGTTCAAACTGGATGTTTACTAAATGTGTTTCATATATCTTCTCTCTTACCCTCTTTCTCTCTTTTGGATAATTATTTCAGATCTTCTGCTTCTCTATATCTGACCTAATCTGCTAGTTCAGCTATAGTGTTTATAATTCCAATTATATTTTCATACCTTGGAGTTTTATTGGCTCCTTTTAAAATCTTCTTCTTCAGTTAATAGTTTCTAGTTCTTAGTCATTTTGATAGACTTTTATTCAAATGTAAGTAAAACATACTTTATGTTATGTATCCTATTTTAACATCTATAATCTTGAAAAGAGTGATTTCTGATACTATCTTTGGTGGCAACTTTTTCTGCATGCTTTTAATTGTGGGACACATTTGTTAAAATTTTATGGGAGGACTTTGAAGCTGAAATTTAAGATTATTTTCCTCAGGAAGGATTTACTTTTACTTCTGCCAGAAGCCCTGATTATTCACCTGGAACAACCTTGAAGTCTTGGCTTGAAGTTTTGGGTCACAGGTAATGTAAATTCCAGAATCAAACCTGAATTAGGTTTGTTCATGATTACAGATTCTTCAGAGAACCCTCCGTTCAGAGCCAAGGTTCAAGCAGGTAAGTTTCCTTATCCTCTCACTTCATAGGGTGTATTTCCTTCCCTTTCCCCCTACTTCCAAAGCATTGCCTTTCAGGGAGTCCCAGTTTACACAGGAGACTCCTATTAGACTTTCCCATCCCTGATTCCTACTCCCTCTCAGGCTCCTTACATGGCCAATTAAAGCTGTAGGTCCTAAGAAATCAGTCATTGGGTTGGCCAAAAAGTTCATGTGTTTTTTTTTCCCATAAGATGGCTCTAAGAGAACTTAGTTGTCTTTAACTTCATTCAAAACAATTTTGTTAGATTGTATTGTGGCAGCCCTCATAGCAGTGGGCCTTAAAAAAAGTATCAAAATTGGTGAATTTTTGTGTAGTAGCCACTTTAATATTGAACATGGAAGAAAATATGCAACATTTTTTGCATATTTTGCTTTATTATGTCAAGAAATGTAAAAATACAACTGAAGCGCCAAAAAATTTTTTGTGCAGTGTATTGAGAAGGTGATGTAACTGTTTGAATGTGTCAAAAGTAGTTTGTGAAGTTTCATGCAGGAGATTTCTCACTGGACAATGTTCCATGGTCAGGTAGACCAGTTGAAGTTGATGCATTCAACTTTGATTGACGTTGATGCAATCAAATTGAGGCATTAATTGAGAACAAGCAATGTTATACCATGTGGGAGAGAGCCAACATACTCCAAATATCTAAATCAAAAAAGTTATTGGTGAAAATGAAAATGTGTCTTTTATTTTACGGAAAAAACTAAACGGACTTTTTGGGCAACCTAATAAATGCCTTAAGTACAATTGCTTACTTCAGTGCCTGGCTAACTACTCTAGATTTGTGCTCTTTCATTGTTTTTAGCCACTGAACACTTTCCTTTCTTACAATAACAAAAACATTTTAAATATTTTATTCAGATTGTTTAGATTACTTGCACTGAGAGAGTCAGATACCTAGTCCACAATGATGACAGAAAGGAGAAGATTCTGAGAAATTTTTCAAATGTCCTGAACTCCTTGGCTAGAGCTGAGTACAGGTAGATGGTCTACATTATAGCCCAGCCAGGACACTGGGGCACTTAAAATGCTGATTAAGTTATGATTTGTGCCTGGGACTTATGGCCCATACAATGCTTCCTATACATGAAACAAAACTATTTTTAAAAGAAACAAAACTCAGCCATTCTATTGTAATGTTACTAGATATATAAAGATATTAAACTGGTATAAAGATAATAAACAGTTTTTGCCATTACATTTTTTGTATTCCAACTCTCCTTACTTACCAAACTTTACTTTGTGTTTTAGATGCAGCAGTGCAATATCAGAACTCATATATCCAAGTGTGTTGTATTCAGGATGGATAATAATTTTTGAGACAGGAATAATCTGTTCTTGCTTATCTTTCTGATAGAGGTTGTACTCCCCAGCAATCAGAGCCAGACTCTTTATTTGCTCCCTAAAAACAAAGAAAAATGTTTCAAGAAGTACAATGGTTGTTTCCCCAGAAAAGACTCTTGATTTTATGTAATTAAATGAAAAAAGTGATTAATGGTACTGTAAGTATTACTGTCTTAAAAGAAGATATATCTTTATTAGTGATTTCTAATTGTCATATTTTCCTATAAATTATAGGGATCTATAAAAAGACAAGGTTTTTAGTCATAGTGTTTTCATTCTGTGAACTCTTTCCCCTACCAAAAACTGCCTTTCTGTGTAAAATATTTAAGTGTGGCATTTTTCTTCTTTTGTAAATAAATTGGTCTGCATATGCGCTTCCATTTTTTTAAAACAATATATAAAAGTTTTTTCTGAAACGATCTTTCTTTTCCTCTTACTATTACCCTCTTTTGATCTAGTTTAGTATTTGTTGTTTCCATGGTATTTTTTTCCCTCCTAATGATTAAAACTCAGATTATTAAAAGTTTGGAGCCAGTGGCTCAGTGGATTGAGCGCCAGCCTGTGAACCAAAGCGTTGCCAGTTTGATTCGCAGTCTAGGGCACATGCTTGGGTTGTGGGCAGAGTCCCAGGTGGGGAGTGCGTGAGAGGCAACGCATTGATGTTTCTCTCCCTCTTTTTCTCCCTCCCTTCCCCACTCTAAATATAAATTTTAAAAAATCATTTTAAAAAAACTGCAGAGCATCACTTAACATTTGATGTTAATACTTCATGAAAATAATTATTTTCTTCCCACTCACTCCACAAATTAAGAAAGGGATTGAGGCTTAACCTTGGAAGGTGTTTAGATCATCAAATCTCCAAATTCCATCACAATGAATCAAAGTTTGACAAGTGATGAAAATCCACAACTTACTCATCGAGGCTCGCCAGGCAGTGTGCTGCTGTAACCACCAGATCATCTTGAATCAAGCCTCCTCCACAGAAACGGTGCTCACCTAATTTTAGGGAGACCTACCCAAGATAAAAGTTATAATACAACTAACATACATATCCCCATAGGTGCTGACTCCTACAGAAATATTTGAAATCACTTCTTTCAATATGCTATAACATCCTTAGACACCGCTATAAGTTGGTTACTAAGATATTGCCTGTGAAGTAAGTTTTTTGGCAGATAGGTCAAGAGTATCAAGACAAAAATTACATGTTAACCTAGAGTTGTGATATTTGAAACAAAAGAAATATCTTACCATTTTCTCATTAAGAAATCAAGTCCTTTGTTATACTGACCTGCCATGGATGTCCACCAACCGCCGAATTTCTCCAACTAATAATTCTAGAGAAGAGCTCAGATTCCAAGACGGTCTCCAAAATTTTCAAATCAGCTGCTGGATTTCCACACCTCAGGCCTGTCGGGGGGGAGCATACGCGTGCACGCGCACGCAGGCCGAGCACCTTATTTAAGGGTTCACTTTATCAAGACTGCACGTTCAGAGTGTCCTGGCTTGGCGCAGATATTCTGACATCACTCAACTGTGGGCTATCCCTTTTCTTTTCTCAAAATATTCCTGAGACTACCCCTCAGTCATGATGTGTTGACTGGAACTTACCTGACACCCTACTGCTTCTTTTCGCCTAAGCTGCCTTAACAAGAAATCAACTGGGGGCAGCGTGCACCAGCTCTTCCTGTGGGGACCGACTGGGGGTTTTAACTCTGGGAGGGTGAGCAGACACAAGGTAGATTCTGTTAAAGGTCCTAGAGAACGACAATATGCTACCCCGGAAGACAGATACTTGGCTGTAAATTACTTCGACTTGGTTATTTTTTCTATGGAGGAGGCATTAGCACAATCAGGGTTAGCAGATGTGTCTAAAAACTTGAACTCCAGGATCCAAGAATTTCAGTAAGAAACTCCGGCCCAGGCGCCTCTTTGGGAACACCTGGGCCTGCACTGTCCCGCTGGTCCTTGCCGCTCCCGGCCTGAGGACCATGCAGTCTCCTGCCCCGCAATCTGCGCCCTGGGTGCCCAAGGCCAGGCTCACCTGGGCTTGGGGGTAGGCCCACGGCGAGAAGCAGCAGCACCCCAACCCAGGCCAATGCCCTCATGGCGCCACCCGCGATGATTTTGTCCGTCTTCCTCGGTCTCTTTTAGCTGAGAAAACCTAGCGAGGAAGTGGTCGACGCGCCTCAGGCCCTAGCGCTCCGGATGCGCACGCCAGCCCCTGCGCCGCGCTCTTCACTCCGGCCCGCGGCGAGATGGGCCGCACCTGCCCGCAGCTCGACCTCGCAGCATCTCCTCCTCGGGATTATCCCGGGAGGCGGCCGTTCTCCGGCCGCCCCGGGTTTCCTAGGGCCCAGCCATCGCCCCATGCAGAAGGGCGCAAGGTGTCCCCATGGCTGGTGGGACTCTTACACGCGTCCAGAGTGCCCTAGGGACAGACGCGGGATCAAGGTGATCAGTGACCTAAAGATTCAGCACAGGTGAATTCTGTCCCACAGTGGGCAGTGTGCCCCAAGCACAGAGTCAAAGAAGCGTGTCACCTCTACAAGACACAGGCTAGCCAACTTCTGAAAAGAAGGAGACTCAGGAAATCTTAATGAGTACTAAGGACACTGCTCCTGCGTCTGGCTTGTTGAAAGCTTTGACACTCAAAGGAGTTTTCGAATAGAGTGGACAGGAAAGGTCAGATTTATGCTGTCGTTACTTTTCTGAACGACAGTGTTATCAACTTTAGTGGAGTGACCCAAAGCTATATGATGTATCACTTAAGATTATTAAAATAAATTCATTGCTAACATGATCATGTCAGCACTTTTTCCATAAATATTATTTTGTAATAAATTAGCTTGAGATTGGGAGAGGCATAAAGCCAGAATGTGTAAAGGGTTTCTAGTTTATCAAAAAATTAGAGCAAGGCTAAGTGGGCATTCTATATACATTGGCTAACTTGGACACCCATCCCCCAGGCCCAGCTGTCTCAACTCTGTGTAAAATAGAAATAAAAACTCCTTGAAGTAGGACAGTAAACAAACCCAGGAAGGTAGGCAGGCAGTGGACAGATGAAAAGAAAAAACAGGAGACAATCACCGCGCAGGTACAGGTCTAAGCAGGTGACAATCAGCTGGGAAAATGACCCCTGTAACTGCAGAAAAAAGTAGAGAGTTGAATGGGCACCTTTGGGCAAGAAGTTTGGAGACTGTGTTGGCACCCAAACTTGGGTATCTAGGTGACACTGGGAAGGGGCTTGGTAAGGTAAGCAGCTCTTTTGTGAAAATAAAAACACTGTAACTACAGACTTGATTGCTGGCCAGGAAATCTCCAGACATGGTGGCAGCCTGACCAATGGCCCACACCATCCTAATCCTGAGTTAGGTGTTCATTGCAGTGATTTCACAAAGATTACCAGAATCATCCTTGGTCCCGGGGACACACTAGTCTCCAATGAAAGCTCAGAGTTGTCAAATGGACCCAATTACTCTCTTTCTTCTTGACAAAATGGACCCAATTACTCTCTTTCTTCTTCAAATTAAACTACAAAGGTTTTACAAAATAAAATGGAAGAAGAAAAAATGAACATATGCTGTGGAAGTACAATTGAACCCACAGTGTTGAAGTTCATGGCTGAACTTATCAAGCTCACCGACCTGTCCCCTTACTCTCTACCGCATGTGGTGCACACAGCTTTGCAAGATCATGAATGGTTTGTTTCACACCCAGAAATCTCCATGAGTTTGGACACTACCTCATTTCCTATAACAGCACTGACCTCTTTGTCTCTTCTATAGCTCAAAACTCACAGCTGCAAGTGAGACCAATCCAACGTAAAGGATTGATCTCTTACAGGCTTAACAAAATAACTTTCCCATTAAATAGGAAAAGAGCCATTTAGTATAAATTGCATAATACCCAATAGTCAGGTAATTAGATTTAAATTTAAATTTGTGAGTAAGATGATGGTTTGGGTATCAGTTTATGGAGATGTTGAAGTGTTCAAATGGAAGTGTTCTCTTATTTAAAAAATAAACAAACATTTGAGAAGGAAGTACATCAAGCAAGGGCAGAGTGGACCCCCTACTCTAGTAGTGGACTACCCTAGCTTAAACTTGTGATGGATGGGAAATTTGCCATTAATTTGAACCTATCTTCTTTAGGGCAGGATAATAATGATATGCTGTTGGAGGCTTCCCAAAATTCTTGATGAAGCCCCAACTCAAAGGAGAGTTGTAAAAGTGGGAGCGTTAAGTGACTAACCCATGAGCAATGAGCAAATTATGGGCAAATAATGTTTTATGTAAAAAAGTTTTTCCACCCAAGGTAAACCACTGGTCTAAACTCTAGAACCTGCTCCAAAATCCCATAAGGCTTAAGATTCAGCACTAAGGAGATTATTGATGGCCTTAAAAATGGCAGTTTTATTTGAAAATTTGTTGCAGGGACAGATATCACTATGATGCAGAGGGAATTTGAAGTATGGAGTAAAAGGGTGAGTGAAGAAAATCTATTCAAATAGTTTGGCTGTGAATGACAGAAAGAGAACTGGTAGCAGCTAGAGAAAAAAGAAATAAAGGAATTGTTTTCAAATGATTTTGATGGTGGTTACCTGTATATGGGTTTTAAAATAGAAGAGCCTGGACAAGAACCAGCAGAAGGAACAAGTTAAAGGTGAAAAAGAGGTTAAGAATAGAATGAAGTTCTACAAGAGGCAAAACCGGGGCCTCTTCTTTCATTGCAGCAACAGGAGAGGAGGGAGAATTGGTGCAGGTAAGTTTGTAGATAAGAGTGCAGGATATAAAAGGAGTACTTTTCTACCTTGTATTTACTATGTAAAGGCTTGTACTCATTAAGATGAGAGGAGGAGATCTGGAGTGGGTAAGTACTGAAATAGTCGTTGTGGGGTATGGGAACCAGAGCAGGCTCGAGGCACACAGAACAATGCAAGGTGATGAATGAATGAATGAATGAATGAATGAATGAATGAAGAAGGAAGATGGTCTTTTTCTTTTTTAAAATAAACACTGACTGGTGAGATGGGTTTCAATGGGCACTAATCATAGAGCACTTTAGAGACGGAAACAAGACAATTATTTTCATTATATTTTATATAAAATAGACATTTACATAAATTTTATTTTGGAAAGACCTAGGCAAAGTGTACATAATCAGACTTACATGGGAGAAATACTTTGTGGAAGATATATTTCTAACTGGCACAGCAAAAGTAACAAAAATGTACATTTATACACAACTGATCAAAGTAGGAAATAAAAGCCTTATGAACAAAGAACATGATGCAAGTCATTTCCCTGTAAAAAAAGGAGGGATCAGTGTGAGTTACAGCAAGTCAAATGATATCCACATTAGAAAAGCAAGCCATGGCTTCTACAGATATTTTAATTCCTTAGGAGGACATTTTTAAAAATCTTTTCCCCCTAGAAACATAACAAAATCACTAATTTTTTTATGTGTATAGGCTGCAAAATAAGAATGGTTTCCTCTGCCATGTTAAAGCATGTGGACAGTTCAGTCCCTTTCAGGGTTGTTTTTGTATGTGTTCTGTTGTGGTGATAATCTTAAGAGTTCCTAAAACAAAGGGCAACACTGATCAGTTTTTGTCTTCAGATGTAGAGTGTTTTCAGTCTGGATCAGAAGACTCATAAAGCTCAACAGCTCCATAGAACTAACCAGTGCTTTGGTGTGTGATAAACATGACAGATGTTTGGTAACATGCTCCTCGGGGGCAGAAGAAGGACTAAGAACCCAGACCTCCTGATTCCTGAACTGGTGCATCTCCTTAGGGACCAGCAAGACAACCCCAGGGGGACAGTATGCACATTGGAAACTTCCAAATGTGCTACACAAATTCACATGGGCACCACTGACAATGGCAAGAAACTTCTGGATTTCTGGATATAGACATCTCTTTCCAGTTTAGGGTAAATGGTGATCTAAATGTACAAATTAATAGATTGTATATTGTGATAGGCACTAATTTGATGAGTTACATACTCTAAAGTTTTTAATTGCAAGGATCCTTGGTGATAATAATGGGACATTTTTATATGAGCCAATAGATATGAATACCATCAGTTCTGTTGTGCCATTTTATTGACTGATATTATACCTTTGATTGTAGTTATTTTATTTCTTCTTTTTATTGACTGATATTATACCTTTGATTGTAGTTATTTTATTTCTTCTTTTTAAATTCCTTAAAAAAATAATGAAGTGCTATTTTTGGGAAAATTGTATAACATATTGTTCTTTTACATAATTAACTTCAAGAATAATAAAAAAGTTATAATATTTACCTATGTATTTTTTGGCATTGTAAGCTTTCATCTTACTCAATTGCAGCCCAAATGCAAGACTCGAAAGGTATTTGCTTTCTTTAAATGTCAAAAGATGCCATTTAGGTAAGTTTTGCTATTATTGGGAAATATACAGTTTAATCAAAGTAAGTGTTTTGCAGAAATAAGAAAAAATAAAAAACAAACAACCTATAACTACATTTCCTTTGAATGTTGTTACTACTATCCTATAGATTTATTAATCTAAGGTGCAAATCCATAAAAAATCAGAGCAAATTTTTTTTTAAAACTGAGTACAATTAGGAAATGATTACCAAAAGCTGACATGTGTATAATTAACCTAAAGAGAGAGAGACATAGGTCTAGGAATAAACTATGTTATGGACACTTTTGAGTCATAAAAAAATATGAATTTTATATCCAACCACCTTGTCTGGGTAGATGTAAATGACAAGGCAAACCCTGTCCACCTTAGAATTAAGAATTCTGTAATTATAGGTCGAATTATAGCCCAATTGCCGCAAGCGCAAAACCACTCCTCCCAGACCATGTTTGTCACCCTAGGAACGGTGGCCTCCACCATTCTGGCAATTGTGCCAAAAATCAATCCTTTAAAATTCTTTGGCTTATTTTGGTCAAGATTTAAAAGTAAATTGTGAAAGATTATAAGCATCTCTTCTGTGAGAAATTAAAAACATCTATTTTGTAAAAGTTATAAACTCCCATTGAAGTTGTTAGCCTGTGGTAGTTCTCCAGCCTAGCTGCGTGTTAGAATCTGGATTTTCTAAAGCAAAATTTCTTTTCCTCCAAGGTATTTAAATCTTTGGTTTAAAGTTCGCCTGTGTTATATCACTGAACCAAGTTTTATAAGTGCCATTAACATATTGAAAACATCTGAATCATTTTTTAAAATCCTGAATAATTCTTAAGGTTGAAATAAGCTTGTAAAGCCATTCTATGGCTCCAACGTCAAAGGACATGTTGAAGGGCTGCCACTTACGGGGATTTCGAAGGCAGAGAGAACTAACTGGTTCTAGGTAGGACTGAAGGATGGGTTAGACAGATTGGCAGTAGGAGGGAGGAGATGTGTACACGAGGAACACTAATGAAGCTGAGGAAAAATTAAAAATTATGCTCAGAGTAACAGTCACAACAGAAACTCTGATCATTGGATCAACTGTTCAGCCAGACTAAAGCAACTCCTGTCTCGTCCTCAGCCAACCTCCTACCCAGCACCTGCTATGTATTTAAGGACCCAGTACAAAATAAAATTGCAGGACTCCTGTTTAAAATATTAGGAATTTCAGCTATTCGACCAAATATAAGGTGCTTCTGAGCACACAACCCTTAAGGGCAGTGTAGGTGGCAGGTCCGTTAAGCTGGCTCTGCAATGCCATCCCAGAAAGGAGCTATTGACTCCCGTACCAATCGTGCTTTCTGGAGGGCAACCTGGACGCAGCTCCATGGCTGGCTGGGGTGCTCAGCTTTCACTTTGATAAGCATGGATTCCACATATTATTTCATGTTACAAGGACCAAATAAAAATAGTTACAAAATATACTTAATATCTTTGAAAAAATAATATGTGATTTATTTTCTAATAGGCACCATTTCAACTATAAAAATTATTTAATTGGCCACATTGCAGTGATGGTATTAATTCATGACAGAAAATATCTGATGCCAAGAGGTCTAAATTTTGATGTTCAAAGAGATGTCAGTGTGTGCAGAATGAGAAAAGGAGAGAGAGGAATAGAAAGGAGGCAGAGGAACAAGGGAGAGAGAGAGAGAGAAGCAGACATAGATGGCGGGGAGCACCCAAAAGAAGGCAGGAGACGGCTCCTGAAGGCCATGTGACCCTTTTCTCCCAGAGATGTTTAGTCTGTTACTGCCATTTCAATTAATCCTACAAATGTACTCTCATAGCTTCCGCAGCACTTCAAGTAAGGCATAATTGCTTTTCAAAATTTTGGGCTCAGTCTTCCCATTAACTTTCTAAGTGTGAGTTTTGGTTACAGATGATCCTAAAAACTTGTGATTAAAGTCCTAGATATTGGTTTTAGCTAGAGCTTATTATTCATTTTGGGGGTGAGTATAATATAGCACATTATTCAAATACACTGTAGTACCTTTCTTGGCCTTAGTACTATAAAAATATATTTGAAGGGGAAGAGAAATACTTTAAATAAAACTTTGGATAAACTTATGATATACAACTTTTAAAGAGTATTAGAAACAGAAGATCATAGTGATAATATAAATACTATTGGATTATTGATGCATGCAAACAGATGTATGCTAATGCAATTTCTGCAATTCTTCACATTTAAAATATTCCTTACATATCTCTTTCTACATTATCACTTTCTAAAGATTGTTTTTTCCTTTTATCTAGATTTACCTTGACCTCTGCCCCGTTGCCCCTAAAAACATGTAGGGACACAGCTTCCTGATACTGGGTTGAAAAGAAACTATGAAGGTGTTTTTTTGTGTGTGTTTTTTAACCATATCCTAGCCTACACATGGGAAATATGTGTGCCTCCAAAATACTATATGTCTATGGAACCTGGCTCAGTACCATGAATAGCACTAACCAGAGCTTTTTAAAAAAAATTTTTCAAATTAAAACCAGGTGTTCCAAATTCAAAATATATACCAAAATGTACTACTACCCAAACACTGAAGGCTGGGCCCTAATTTCTTTGACTTTAGCAAGTGAATAATCATACAACTTTTTGAAGTGCTGGCTGTTAAAACTTAACTGCTTTGTAAATTAGATTTATAATTTTTGTATGATCAGTTTTTAAAAAGCCACTATTAAAACCACTATGTACAATGAAAAAACTGTGTATATATTAAATATTTTATAAGTTATAAAATAAATAACACTAAAAAACAAATGTTGATTCATAGGTTCAACTTTGCCTTCCTTACTAAATATAAATATATATTTTAAGGTTATGGGTTTAGATTTTTTCTAGATTTTTCGAGCATCTTCCACAAATTATCCAAAATTACAGATGCAGAATCAAGAATTTTGGGTTTCATCACTCATGTTCTAAGTATAGAATTCTCATTAAGTCTAGGAAGACAAATCAATAAAGCTCTCTTTCCATTTAGTTAGTCTATGAAGATTTCTGTGATAACATTGTAAAGATTCTTAAATGGTTAAATATATTTTTCAAAAAAATAATAAATCTAATGATGTCTAAATGTTAAGATAATAAAGTAGAACATTTCTCTCAGTTAATATCTTTAATAATTTTCATGTAGAATATACTGTTTTTTTGCCACCAAAATAACAATATATGTGGAGGCAGAAACACTTATGATTTTAAAAGCACTTTTGAAATTATAGAGCAGAACCACTACTCTAGTAATACTTGCAATAAAATTAAAATAATTTTAAAATTTCCTTAAAGAATTAGAGGTACCAAGATCCTTGACTTTCTTTCCCCTAGGGATAAGAATATCCATACACAATTCCAGAAGCTTCCTTTTTGATATGTTAGGCAATGAGAAAAGTTTGCATCAGAGTGGAATTTAGTTTACTACTCAATAGGGCGCTGGCAATATGCTTATGGGAATATTGGATCCAGCTCACTTAACAGCCCTTTTCCACATGTTCTAGAAGGTTCTATAGTAAGTATTCGATACTCCTTTCTGGTTCTGGAGAATTAAATGAGCCACCTCTTGGTAGAATTTCTCAAATGGCTTATCTGAGAATTTATCCTCTTTGAAATATTCCATGAAGAAGCAATGCTCTGCCTTCATAGCATTTACAACTTCTATTCTTCTGGGACATAAAAGTTTAAACTGCAAAAAGAACCAGATGTCTGGGTTGCAACAGTAGAGAAATATCTGGGGGGATATCTGGAGTTAAAGCAAAAAAAAATCTGTAAAATGTGTAGCTGTTGTATTCCTTCCTTCTCAGATCTCCTTGCCCTTGCTTGCTCTTTCTGTCTTTTTTTCCAAGGAAATGCAAGCCTCTCAGCGCAGGGCTACCAGAAAGTGCCCCCAAATGTGCCACCTTCTGCTGGGAGAGAAAGGAAAGCCTCATTGGGTGTCCCCCACTAATGTGGCAGCAGAGACTCTATCACTTCTTCCTCCGCCAGATGCACCAGGAACTGTCCCTCCAGAGTAGGTCAAAAGCTGCTACGTTTGATCCTTTTCTCGAACTTCTTGTAATCGTTTTTCTAGGCGATCCAGTTTGGCAAGATTCTCCTGCAGCAGTCTGCTGTCTGGAACCAGCTGTAAGGCTCTCTCATAATAAGCTCTTGCAGACACATAGTTTCCCTGTCAAGAAAAAGACAGAATAATCTGATCCATCAGAATGCTCTGTCGGAGAATGGGAAGACTAGGAAACAGACTTTCTCTCCCCATTTAACATTAATGTCTCCACTAAGGAAACCCTGTCACATGGGTAATTTTATCCTGATCTGTTGGTGCTTTTGGAGAACCCATTTGTTTTAAGTACCAGTCCAGTTGGAAAATGTGAAGGATGAAGCTATAATATAAGATTGTATGTCAGAGAGCAGATTTTCAATTCTATTTAACACAGGGCATAAGCTTATCATTTCGAAGGATTAGCCCTATTCTTTTGTAATCAAATGGAGCCATGCTTGTCAGGATAAACTAGGGAGGAGAGAGAGAAAGAAAAGGAGAGGAGTGTGTGGGGGAGGGAAATGGTTTTGAAACTTCAAGAGTAATAATACAAAAGTAAATAGTGTAGGAATCCACAGGAACTCCTTAGTGGTAGGAGTTATTTTAATCTTCAAATTAAAACAAAGCTCGCAACTTTTGCTTAATACAGCCTTTAAAGCAAATGTAAGTTTTTATAAAATGAAAAGAACTGATTGAACTATGGAGTCACATTTATCCAGTACTCAAAGTGTGTGACAATATGTACCTGCTGGATACTTTTAAATCAAGACAGCAGGTATGTCACTCCCGACCTGCTAAAAACATCTGTCTCTATCCTCTGCTGGCCCCATCTGGTTTGTTCAATGCCTCCCTAACCAGTAACCACGTGTGCCTGGTTCCAGATGGTCCCTGGCAAATTAGTCACAATTATTAACTTTCTCCAGCTCCTTTTCTGCTCCTAAATGTGTATTGCCAAGTCTCAGGCTAAGACAGTTAGAGATCTCTCCATTCCAAAAACATGTAAATTTGCTCTACTTAATTCAGTTATAGCTCCATGTATATGAAAACCAGTTACTGTAAATTTCCATCACAATTTAAAATAGTATTCTCTTGGAACGAAAGCACTACGTAGCAATGCCACTAATATTTATTGAATGCTTAGCTATCTTCCAAGTAGTTTAATATGTGTCAAGAGCTTAGACACTACCTAACACATAGAGGGCACTCAATCTGATACTATCATTATCGTTATTATTAAATAACTATCCAGGCTCCACGTAAACACTGTATATTTCTTTTAGCATTCACTTGCTATATTGCTGAAAAGGGGAGTGTAAATGACTGAACAGGAAATTGCACACTGGGAATCCAGTATCTGGCATGTGTACAAATGAAGATATTTCTGATTATTAACACTGACTCTGATAAAGCGGCTACAGAGAATTCAGAACAAATGAGAACGTGGATATGCAATATTAAATTTTTTTTTAAAACTCAAGCATTTATCTTCCAAGTATCTTCTGATGTTTATCAAGCTTGGCACACACATGCAAACAATGGAATGTTTGTGGCTCTTAAGGTGTCCTCAAAATGTGTTTCTCTTACAGTTGACTTTGAAACTGTCTACCAAGGGGTTTCTCTGAATTCGGGCCTCAGCTGGATGCCTTGGCATCTCCGTCTCTGATCACCAGCTTTCTCTGTCCTTTCAGACAAAATCTAGACAGTCACTTTCTCTCCCTCAAATTGCTCTTTTCCCGATTAAAATGGAAACTTTATTTAAAGAAACAAGTTATATCCCTTAATTCGATGTATCGAATTCTTAGATGACAGGTAGAGAATGTGAATTACCCAGTTTTCAGAAATGTGCTATCTACTAAGATAGCCACTAGTCACATGTGGCTAGTTACTTTATGATTAATTGAGAATTCAGTTGCTCTTTTGCACCAGCCACATTTCAAATACTTGGCATCCACATGTGGCTACTGCCTTGGACACAAAACATTTCCATCATTGCAGAAAATCCTACTGAAGAGAGCCATTCTAGAAAATGCAGTAATGTCATAGGAGGTATTGAAATAGAACTTTATGGTATGGTCCAGTTGATGCGACTCTGATTATAAAGAGTTTACGGTATCATCTAACCTACTGTTTATTCCCATGTGTCCATCAGTAGATGAGTGGATAAAATAGCTATTGTACATTTACACAATGGAATACTACTTGGCTGTAAAAAGGAAGAAACTTTTACCCTTTGCAACAGCATGGATGGACCTGGAGAACATTATGCTAAGTGAAATAAGCCAGTCAGAGAAAGACAAATACCGTATGATTTCACTCATGGGGAATCTAATGAACAAACAGAACTAACACAGAGAAGAGAGCAGGCTGACAGCTCTGGGCCAGGGGCTGTGGGGTTGGGGGTGGAAGGATGGAGCAAGGAGGAAAAAGAACTCAATGACACCGACAACAGCGTGGTGATTGTGGGGTGGGGTGGGGAAGGGGATGGGTGGAGGTGGAAGGCGGTATAAAGGGGATAAGCGGTAATAGAAAAAAATTCAATAAAAAATCAACTTAAATAGAATGTATTGTAACTTTTTTTGTCTATCCATTCATCCATAATACTTCATAAAAATAACACCTTTCATTACCAAGTAGTGTGAGCAACAGACAACGCCCTTCTCCCCAACTCCTGGTGTCCCCTTCCCGCAAAGCCTTATTCCAGCTCCCACCCTTACCACAGCCCTTAGTCCTTCCTACGCTTCACCTAGGCTGAGGCAAGGCATGAGGCTCAGGCGTGGGATAACTGCCTGCCGCACATGCCACCTGGCAATGCAAAAGGCACAGGAAGTAAACGATTATTCTTGAAGGCCTCGTAATGAGAATCCTGAATTCTAATGGTGGCATCAAAGCGACCGCATCCAAGGGAAATATGGTCAATAATAGCGTGAAAACTTTGCATAGTGAAAGATGGTTATTAGACTTAGTGTAGTGATCACATTGTAAGGTATATAAATGTTAAATCACTATGTTGTACCACTGAAACTAAGACAATATTGTATGCTAACTCAAATTTAAAAAATGGAAAAATGACCGCATCCAAGTCATGCACCTGATCCATATATTTATATTGGATTGCATGATATGATTCACTGATATTAGGCCCTTTTTAAACTACATACATGGCAATTTTATATTGTTCAACCTAATACATGATATTATCAAAGACAGAGAATGATATAATAATTTTTATCAGTGCGTTTTGCTACATTTTAAAACAATACTCAATAGGTCCTTTAATTTCCAGATATGGTTTCAAGAGGAAGTACCTCTAAATGTAAAATAACAAGTTCATGTGATTTTATTTATGATAAAATCATGGAATCTAATTTATACAGATTTATTTTTTAAATGGCTAAATGATATTGAATATCTAGATAATGCGAAGTGAACATAACCTGTGCTAATTTTACCTTTAAACAATTGTTTTGGGTATTTAGTAATTCAAAGAGTAAGTTAGTTTCTCAACCTTTTAAGAGAGAAGGAGAAAACGCAAACAGGAAACCCAATTCATGCGAGAGTGAATTATTTTCCTACCTTAATGTGCTGGATCCCACCCATGTTCATCCAGGCCTGGGCTTGATCTGGATTTAGTTCCACGGCAGCTTTATAGCTCTAAAAATATAAGAAACACCTTCAGATTGAGAAACAAGAACCCACCCTTAATGCTACATAATTGTAGAAACCACTTTTTTCCTGTGTGAAAAATTTAAATGGTTAAGAAAATGAACAGCCACTTCTATTTGCAGGTGTCCCATTTATTTCTATTAATTTTTTAACATTGATGATTCTAAAGTAGAGGAAACTAAAATGTGTAATTTCCTTGCAGAGTAATGTTTAGACTTGAGACTGAAGATGCCTGCAGGAAATCCAGGGGATTTCTATTACAGTGAATCATTTCCCGCTGGCCTTGACCTGCAAGAAAATGGTGCTTTGGGGCCTTTTTCACTATAGATGGAGTTTGTAAGAAAAATGTTTTTATAATCATAGGATCTTAAGAGTAGTTTCCTAAAGAGATTAACCTTACTGTAATATCTCCTTTCACAATAAGGACATCTGTTTTATGGGGGGATAGTTTTACTCATCATAAAGCCTTTCTTTTCTTTTTCTTCCATATGAAAGGTCTTCAGTGTTTGAAGAGAATTACTTAATCCTCAAATACTTTGTGTTTTTTTTTTTGCCTGAATAACATGTGTCCAATTAGCTGTAATATTTGTGAGTTATATTTTTAATATTTTGCATGCCGTTTTGCATCAAAGGCATGCTGATCACTGAGACTTGATTTTAGGAGAATTCATCTTAAATAAAACCAGAGGCTATGAGTGTTGCCTTTACCAAGTATTTAATTATGCCCTGGCCAGTGTGGCTCAGTGGACTGAGTGCTACCCTGTGAACCAAAAGTTTGCCAGTTTGATTCTTACTCAGGGCCTATGCCTAGGTTGTGGCCCAGGTCCCCAGTTGGGGGCATGTGAGAGGCAGCCAATTGATGTTTCCCTCGCACATTGATATTTCTCTCCTCTTTCTCTTTCTTTTCCGGTCTCTCTAAAAATAAATAAATGACATCTTTTTAAAAAGGGTTAAATTACAAAGCTAAGTATATGTGCATATAGTTTAATGCTCCTTGCTGTTAGCAAGAAGCCGACAGATCAGATCCTTAAGTAATGAGAATTTGTCTATCCTTCCTCTTAGTTTTAGAAGAAGGAGCAAATGTTAAGAAACTATATGCTCTTAAAAAGCTGTTAAAATGAACTTAGAGAGTATGTCTTAATCTTTATGCAGAGATAGGCTGTAGTGTAGGTGGGGTGTAGATTCAATTCCTGGCTCTATTTCTTATCCTCTGTGTGACCTTGAGCAAGTTACAGAACCTCTGATTCTCAGTTTTTTCTACTGTAAACGGCAACAATGACCATGACTTTCTTATATGATTGTGGTGAAGATTAAACTACTTAATATATGTGGATTACACATAAAAGTGCTAACACATTTATCTGTTATTACTAGCTAAAGGCCCTACTACTATTCTTCAGAAATTCAACTTTTCTATGATGATTATTTAACCCACTGGTCAAGCAACTAGAAAATACTTTTGTTTTCAGTACAATATATAAGATACAGATAGACAGACACTCCATATAAATATTCATAATTATTATTACTTGATTAATCATTAAATTGTCATGTTAGTTGTAAACAATGTAAAAATTGAAAATGTTCACAGGGCAGAGAAAAATGCACAATATCTGCCTCCACTATGTCATCATTTCTGTTTGAAGGGTTCACATTCAAATTAGTTTTTCCAATTATTTTCATGTGTTTTCCAATAACATATTAAAAGTCACTCATTGTCTATTTTTAAAAAGTTATAACATTTGAAAGTTTATTTTTCCACGATATATTTAGTGTATTTTTTTTTTTTTACTGCATCAATTCCAACTTGTGGCTTTACCAGGTACAAGGAAAGTGTATGACATCTGTAACATTTCTACTTATACTTGTAAATGTCTTTTTGATTTCAAACTGTGCATCAATTGAATTCCAAAGCACATACTGAACACCTATAAGATAGGACATATTACACTTTAGACACAGAATGAAGGAGGTCCTTTGCACAAGGATAAGTCCAGTCTTACTGGGGAGCCAAAATGCATGTACACCATATACACAGGGGCAGGAGAGATGAGCAAGAAAGGACCCAACAGTATAGTGTAATATATGATACTTTCAAATCACTAGTAAAGACAGTAAGTGTTTTAAGAGTTGAGAGGAATTAAGGTCATGGGGAGTCAGAGGGTTTCCTGAGGGAGGAGGACGCGGGCTGTGTGTTGGTGGATGAATGGGTATCCGTCGGGGGAGGGGGGGGTGTTCCAAGGACATGTGGAAATGCCCAAAGCTATCCAAGCACTAGTCCAGCCGGGAGAGACGGTTATTGAAGACACACAGAAAGAGGAGAAGTGCAAGGGGAGAGGGAGAGAGAGAAGCCGGTTTGGAGGCAGAATAGAGAATACTACAAAAATATCAAGTTAAAGGTGATAAATCAGAAAATAATGAAGAGGTATAGCAGAACTCTGAGGAGTCAAAAACCAGAAGCTCAATTATAAAAAACAAATTTATATTGTCATGTTGATTAATCAGATAGTTCACAAACTTGCCAATGATCTTAGAATTTGCTGTATATGCTTCATTAAAGATTGAGGGAGCATGAATTTTAATTCATGAATTTAATAACACAAATTTATTGTTTGTACCTCAAAAGCTTTGTCCAGAAGGTTCTGCTCTCTTAGCTGGTTTCCTTTTGTAAAAAAAAGTTCAGAAACAACTTTTGGGTCCTTTGGTTTCAGCTGGAGAGCCTTGTCTATAGCATCAAGTGCCTGCGTACATTGGAAACAAAGACAGAATAAATGCAGATTAGATAAAGAAAAACTAATTTAAATGATAAAATTTATACTTTTATTTCTTAGGAACTAGCTAGTGTGGTGGCTGACAATTCTTCATTCTCTCTGAGGTTCTCATTGAAAAATAATGGAGCTCTGACAAAATAATTTTTCTATACTCCAGGATTCCCATTTATATTAGTGACAATGAAATGTCCCTCAGTCACTTTCCAGGGAGGTCATGTGATCCAGTTGAAAGAAACCAGAATGCAGCATCGGACGTTTTGCCCCGACTGCGTGTCTTCTGCACCCCTCCCACAGCCCCGCACAGGTGCGTGACGCCCGCTCTGCCCCAGCCCAGACCGCTCCAGCCCCCGGAGCCAGGGGTCCCTTTGAAGCGCGTGTCTGGCGGTGTTGCTCTTCTGCTTAAGACCCCACGGCTTCTCCCCCAAAGAGGGAACAGAACTTTTGCCCTGGTTTCACGCCTTGGGGTCTAGTCCCCCAAACCTTTGCGGCTGCATAGCACGCTGCACCCTGCTCCTACGTGCCAATCAGACAGGCAACTTGCTGTGACCACAGAGCCTTTGTATGTGTTTTTCTTGCCTGGAATGCTCTTCACTGTCTCCCTGTTGCCTGTAATTCCTATTTATCACTCTGCCCTCACCTTCACATCACTCTGCAGGGAACCTGACCTCCTAGACCACACAGGTCCCCTGACTGTATCCTTGTTAAGGACCACGGCATGCTTCATAACATCACTGAGCACAGTGGTGATTCTACAGTGATTTTGTGGTTACTTGTTTAATCTTTGTCTCTGTAAACTTCTGTCTACTGTAAACTCCATGAGGACAAGGACAAGGTGTCGTTTTTTTTTGGTCATACTACTTTATTCCTGGTGCATGCTACAGTGTGTGGCATAGAGTAGGTGTTCAATAAATATTTTTTTGAATTAGTTCATGAATTTACTGGTTATGTAACTTTTAAAATGGAGAGAAACAATAACAGATGCCACATAGGGTTAATGACCTGCCTTACAGGGTGGCTGCAAGGATTCTATAAAAATATATTTAAAGAGCATGGAGAAGGATGAAACGTTCAGATGTTAGTCTTTATCTCTCTAGAGTTAGTTGAAAACAAACTGAGGTAATGTCACATAAAATCTTCAGACCAAGAGTGAGCCAAGCACATGTTATTTCCAGGGGGCATCTTCAAAGCTAAAGGGCTATCTGTGAAAAGCATCCATTGGCAGGATAGGCCACCTGATGATGTGCAAGGCTGCACGGTAACAACACTGTTACTTGCACAACTGTTACTTGCATAACTGCTCAGCCTTGTTACCGTGCAGCCCAGAGCCATTGTAGGGGCTCCCCATTTTCTACCCACGAATCCAAAAAACTCCAGAGTCCTCTCTACCTTGTCGTGGTGCTCCTGCTTGCTGTAGATCGCTGACAGCAGGCGATAGCACTCAAGGCAGCCAGCCTCCTCTGACACGATGTGGTTGGTCATCTTCTCGGCCTCCTTGGTCTGACCCATCATGGCCAACACCTGAGCCTGTAAAACCACACTGACCTCAGTTTAGAAGATACTCAGTCACCACCTTATCAGATAAAGCATCCTTGAAAATAGGCACTTAGGAAACACCCCAGACAAAACTGCTCAACATCTGTTTGTGACTCAGAGAGAGGGAAAAATCACCACAGCGTGTAGGCTGTAATTTTTCTTGTTTCTTTATTTAGGTGTCTGCATGCATTTCTTTGTGAATGGCAGGGACATTAAAGATATCCAGTGAAATGACTTGTGCCTTTGAAAAAAAATTGACTAAATATTGACTATGGCAAAAGAGAAATTAATTCCTCTGTTTGTAACAAGATAAATGTGATGTACTCCAAATCTAAGGAAAAGGAGAAGTATTGATCCAAAATTGAACTAAAAAGTATTGTTATTATGAGTTTTCCTGAATCTGAAATCCATACTGTGCTTATGTTAGAGAATGTCCTTATTCTTAAGAACTATATATGCTGAAGTTTTTAGAAATAAAAGGAGTGAGACCTATAATTCTCACATGGCTCAGGAAGAAATAACATTTATTAGTAATGTGTACATGCACACAATACATGCCTAAGTATGTGTGTGTGTGTATCCATACAGAAATACACACATGAGAGGGTGATAAATGAATACACCAAAATGCTGAAACTGATCAATCAGCATGAAAGAGAATATGGGAGTTATTTAATAGTCTTGCAAATTTTCGTAAGTTTGAAATTTTTTCAAAACAAAATCTTAAAAGTATTTTCAGTGTCCATTTCTTGTGTAAATGGCTAAATGGCTCTAACATTGGTTACAAGAATATTCATAAAATGGATACGTTATAGCATTTCCAGTGCCAGTTCTGAGGCCTGCTGACAACAGCTCCTTCAGCTGCATGCTCCGCGCATGTTCCCAGCTGCATTTTCTTTAGTCTGTCTACTCACCAGGGCCAGGCGGAGTTCCTTGTGAGAGGGCTGAAGCGCCGCAGCTTCCCGGTAAATCCGCAAAGCCTCTTCGTAGCGGCCAGTGTTGTAATACAGTGCTCCCAAAGGTGATAATATCTCAGCATTGCGTGCCACCTTCAGGGCGCTGAGTTTTAAGAAAGGTGAATTAACACTTTCTTCTAAGAGGTACATTTCCAAAGGGCAAAACTTAGATTTAGGGATGACTGTTTAGGTTTGAGACTTTGCTCCAATATGGTCTCTGTTTTTTATATCAAAAAGAATGTGTAAAAGAAAAGATCATGGTGCCATACTCTGGCTATAAGGATATCTGTAACGACCTACTATAGTATGGAAACTGAGCCCCAAGTTTCTTTTCCATTAATAGTGACTGACCCGTTTTTGTTGTATGCACAGTACTTCATTTACATCCGCTTTTGAAACTGCTGTTTGTGTTTTTGGCTGCAGTCTGTAGCTTCAGAAAACTGCGGGTATTATATCCCAGCCTTGGTTTAGCAGCATGTTTTAACCAGTAGGCCAGAAAGTAATTAATTGGGTACCATTTACAGTGCTATATTGTTCTCTTTGGTGATGAGAATGCATACTGCCTGCATGGACAAAGCTTGCTAGTATTCTGAGAGTATGTCTGTTCCAATTTAAAAGTTGATGATATAATGAATAACATCGTAAAAACTTAGTACAGTGATAGACCGTAACTAGCCTTATAATGGTGATCATGTCATAAGGTATATAAGTGTAGAATCACTATGTTGCATAACTGTAATTAATATGTCAACTATACTTAAAAAATAAATTAAATTTTAAAAAATTGTAAAAATTGATGGGCAATTATAGAGGTCTTTGGGCAACTTACAAAGTGAAGGAAAGGAACTTTACCGTTTGTACCACTCTTCAGCCACGCTGTTGTCTCCCAGAGACCTGTAGAGTCTGCCGAGGTTCACCATGGCCACGTGGTGACTTGGGCTCAGTTTGATGGCCTGTTGGTAATGGGCCACAGCCTTCTCTGGGGAGCCTGTAACCAGAGGTACATTGAAAAGAGCAGAATGTGCCTTAATTATAAAATACACGAGCTCTCTAGTTTTCTGATGTACATCATTCTTCTAACAGAATCATACCATCAATTACTGTTTGTAAATTACCTTGCATTTTGGCAGCTTCTTCTTGCCATTGGCTAACTTTAAACTATTTCACTATTCTTTCCCATTTCCAAAGAAATTAATAATAACAAAGCAATAGAAATGAAAACCTATTTCTTTCATTATATATAATTTTAGTCAAAGTGTGTTCTGGTCATTGTGCTAGCTAATATGAGATTATCAGTGGTTGTTATTTATGAAGATATGTTGCTACTCATTATACAAAAAAAATAGAAATGGCTATTATAGAAAGAAAACTGTCCTGAAGCAAATTTTAAGGGCGTGCCTCAATTATTATACTGCAACATCGTAACTGAGACACTGCCCTAAATGAATATTATTTAATTATATATTCTGTTTAAAAGGTATTTATTTTTTAAAAAAACAATGATAATGTCACCCTGCATTTGTCCAATACATTGTATATTTTACAACACTTGAAGTAATCTCATCTTTGCAAGTATTTCTTGATACTATTTAGCTGCCTTTGGGACTTAAGAGATATTTTAGAATAAACAAAATGATTACTGACAGACACAAACACTGAAATGCAAAGACATTAAGAGACTTGACAAGGATCCCAGGGCAAGTGAGAGTAAAGGCCAGAACTAGAATCAGGTCTCTGGAGTTTGTAAGGTTCTCCAAAGAAGCTGTCTAGTGAGATTATAGCTCAGTGACTGAGCTGCAGGAGTTTAACATTTTGAATAGAATGGGATGATTATTACCTGCACGGACATCTTCTCAAGTGCACCTTTTGTGAATGCAAGTTTAAGGAGGAGGAGGTGCCAGACCACTGGTAATGGGGAGAATTTCACCAGTATGAAAACATAAATACAAAGGGAGTTGTGGGAAGATATATAGTGTTATCAGTGATATTTATTGGGGTAGAATTTTTTCGTTTTTGGAGTAGAAGGATGAAGGCTAGACCAGGCCAACAGGAGGTCTCTTCTGTTGTTCCCACCTTTGTTACGCATTTATTATTATGTTGCTAATGAACCAGCAGGTGGCACTACAAAACAATTTTACATGCAAAAATAAGAGATGTTTGTTATCACAATGTAAATTGTGATCCTTCCAATGTCCTCAAAAAGCAAATTAATTAAAATTAAATTTTACTGTAGGGAAGATAGTGTAATAGTTAATAAGAAAAAGGAGCACTTTTGCATTAAATTCAAATACTTTTTTATTCTTTGTAGGTGCTCATAACAGACCAACAGTATATGGGGCACGAGTCATAGAGGAGGAGGGCAAAGAGGGAAAATTGGGACAATGGTAATAAAATAACAACAGTAATAACAAAAGGAAAACGGAATCCCTGCTCCGTAAAGTTCTTCATCAAATTAGACGGAGGAAGGGCATTTTATAAAACATTGTCATACACAAATACTCTATCAATTACAATAGTACAGTTCCTAAGGTGTATATCACATAAGGAACAATCAAAACAATTCTGGAGGCTTTTTTTATTAGTTACAGAAAAGTATTTACCATCTGCCGGTAACTACATTCTGAGTGGGTTTTGCATCACTGTAGAGGAACGTTTCATTATCACAGATTTATAAACTTGTATAAATGATACTTGAAGAAGACTCATTAAATCATCAAGACTACTTCCTGTCATTTGGGGAGTTTTCCCTAGAGATACAATTGCAAGAACTGGGCCGATTTTACTGAAATGAGCCTGAAAATTTAGAGAAATGACAGCCCCGTGGCACTGGGTAACTGTCGCTGGTGTGTGTCTTGCCAAGCCCAGTGAATTTTACTTCTGAGGCATTATTTGGGTGGCTGTCATTTCACTCAAGAGAGAGTATTACCTAATCGCAACAGAACAGGTTCTCTCTCATTTCACGTACCAGTATCAACTAAGAAAACTCCATAGTTGTTGTGTAAGTCTGAGCTATCTGGACAGTTCTTTATTCCAGCCTGGTATATTTCTTCAGCTTCCTTAAATCTCTCCTTTAAAAGAGGAAAAAGAAAAATAAATGAGAAAGTTCAAAGAATTAACAATAAACTGAATAGTAGATGTGAGAAAAGCAGAAAACAATGTACTGAGCGTGTACGCTGTGGTAGGCACCGAGATCAAACATTAGGTACTTTGTCTGAATTAAAGTCAACGCTAACTGCACACGTACTTACAATTCATATCTGCTTAGTTCCTTTAGGGCAAACAGCTGGAGTTTACTAAGAAGTAGTATCTGGACGGATTCACTTTACAGTTGGAAGTAGTCTCAAAATGGTTATTTAAATGGGATGCCTCCGTCCAACAACTCTCTGGATGAAAACGCGTGATTGATCAATATAGGAATACTTCCTTCTTAGCTGGCAAGCTGACTGGGAGACAGGGAGGCCTGGGTATTTGTCTCATAGCTGCGTTTGCATAGCGACCACTCTTTTACCTACATTGCTTACTTTATTTGGGGAGGTTTTGGGGGGAGGGGAAGGAGAGGCCGATGCAGATTATGGGAGGCTTTGTCAAATCCTTTCTTTATTGAAATGTTTCTATAAGTGCACCAAACTACTCACCACTTCTTTATCCAACCTGTGCTTTCCATCTCTGAGCTGCTCCATCTACAGGAATATATGCTCCCTCAAAAGCACACTACTCTTACCTTTGTGGCAAATTCCAAATCAATCACCACATGTCCAATGGATTGTTTTCTAATTGCCCTGGTCTATGCTCTAGAGATTTACAGTAACACATTTTAATTAGCTTTTATGTACATTTTTTTTCATAACCATCTTAGATTGTCACGGCACATACTTTATGATATGGAAGGCAACAACTAAGTAATGAATCAAAGTTGCCCAGGTTCTAACAATTACGAGTGAACAATTTCATACTCGCCCAGTACTGCTGTGAAGGTCAAGTAAAAAGGAATGATTTGGCATCAGGCACATTGCAGCTTTTCCTTTAATATGCTTAAAGCATGAACATTTTCCATAATTTTATCACAAGTTACTAGTACTAAGCATTCAACCAGATATATGACAAGGGAAAGCACAGCATCAATTTTCTCAGACATGATACCGTAAGCTAGTGAAAAAATATTTATTGAGTGCGCTCAACAACAAGCCAAGAAGCCTAACACTGACTGGACCCAAAAAGGTAAAGACACTTTGCCCTCTGCAGAATGACCAAGGCCATCTCTTTGAATCCACATATTTCAGTACCATTTTGGGAACAAAGTATGGTTTGAATCTGGCAATTTCACTTATTTCAATTATAGATCTATAATCCAGGAAAAATGGAGATCTATGTTTCTAAAAATGTGTTTTTTTCCTAGCTGCCAAACTCAATAAATGATCAAACTCAAAAAGTTAAAGATAAATGAAAATCTCTGAATATCTCTTTCAATCTACTGACGAGAAGAAAAGCTTGACAAAGATGTCATCTACCAAAGGAGCAGCAAATCTGTGAGTGGGCACAGTGTGCGTGATAACTGGAGAGAGGCAGAACACAAATTATATAAGATTGCAATCAAATGAAGAGTTTGAGAGTGGCATTTGATATTTATTGACTTATCCATCCATTCAGCACACGTTTATTGCAATGGCTACAGAAAGTGAGACACCGTGATTAAGAACTGGGCTGCCAGTGTGTGGATCGGACTCCAAGCCTCACCATTTACTATCTGTGTGACCTTACTTCCCGTCTAGGTGCCCCATTGTAAAACAGGGATAACAACTATCTCTCATAGGTTTGTTGCAAGGATTAAATGGATTGTAACATGTGAAGCACTTAGAATAATGGTTAGTATATAGTCGGCACTTTGTCATGTTAATCGTTTTCCTTACTATTACTACCAGGAGTTCTACTAGTGTGAATATTACCTCTTAAGATGCTGAGATGTACATGCCAATGAAATGGAGATGAATGAAACAAAATACCCCTGTTTAAGCTCAAGAATGAGTGAATTTACAAACACAACTCAATGTGAGCCGTGTATTAAAAGGGTAGGTGCAGATGCCCTGAACTCAGGTGGCTTGGAGTTGTTCCTGCGGCCACAAAATCACGACCCTCCCTGTCCAAGGGCATTCCAGCCGACAGTTTTGAGTTCCTCTCCCATCAAAACTCTTTAAGTAACTCTATAAGAGAAATAATCAACTAACTTGAATGTTTTTTTTCTTTTAATTTTTGTTAATCACTTTCCGATACAGAGATGAATAAACAGCGTCTTAGACACAACCAGGGAAAGACTACCCTGGCTAATCCCAACCTGAAGAATCAGTTCCTGAAAATCTTGAGTCTCCAGTTACCACCTGAACAGTGTTAGCATTTGACAGTAATGCCAAATCTTTATTTTTATAAGATCAAATTTTTTATTTTACAAAGCGCTTTTAAATATACTAACACAGTCATAGTAAAATAAAAATTTAAAAAACTCAGTAAAACATAATAGATGAGATTTTTAGCACAGGAAATAAAAGAATATTAAAGCTGGAGAGAACATTAATGGATACTAATTAACTACCATTTATAATATGGTTACCATTTAAATTTTCCCTATTCTACCAAATAGAGAAATTTGGCTACAAAGTGCTTAAAGTGCTTGGGCAAAGACTTGCCCAAGATATCAGAGCTACAAGGAGGCAGCAAAGAACGTAGGTTTTCAGTGGATATTCAGGAAACTAGTAATCCCTGAATAAAAGCAGTTTCTGGAAATAAACAAGGGTGTCTCTAGCACCAAAAGAAGCAATTACCCTTCTGGCTATCCGCCCATCCATCTGTCCAGCCATCTGTCCATCCATCCGTCCATCCGTCCATCCATCCATCCATCCATCCCCTCAACAAGTATTTCATAAGCACCATCTGTGTGTTGAGTATAGAGTTGAGACATGAGTAAATGAGACAGACACCATCCTGAGGCAGGCAGTTAAGTGGGATTCAAACAAGAAGACATTGCCAAGGTATGGTGACAGTGTTGTGGAGGAAAAGCATGAGGTACTCGGGTGGCAACAAGAAGTGGCCACAGAATTGGGGTTGGATAGATATTGCAGGCCTGTCAGGATCCAAATGCCAACGGATGCTGACTACCAGCGACTCCAGCAGCGGTGTAACATAAGGATGCGCTTGAAAGAAAACCTGTGGCTACATGAGATCTTAAAGACAGCCTTATAGCTAAACTGTGGGAGAGTGGAAAGGTGTTTTTCCTGAGAGAAATAAAATTGATGTCTTCACATTCTAAGTGCTGAAGTCAAATACAACAGTTAACAACGGTTTTCTAGTGCAATTACTGTTTTACCTGCTGTAATTTTACTTTCCCCACCATTTTCTTGCTTCTCCAAAATAGGGAAGGAGATCACCTTTTTCATGTAAAACGTCTCTTATGTTTGGCTTTATGTGCCGAATTTCCATTAGAAATTCAATTTTCAAAGTCCAAAGAAGTAATGGGATTTAAAAGACCCTTCATGTCAGAAGCAAATAATCGCATCTCTGTACCCTTGGAAAACCCCCTAGGGCAGTCGCAAGACTGGCTCTGTGAAAAATGCCTTCGATATCTGTCTTTCTTTTCCTTTCACATGACTGTACATTTTCAAGGAATGATTAACTCCATTTATTAAAAAATGAAAGAAGAAAAATACTGCAGAAGAAAAATACCTCCTAGGTGTTTATTTAAAATAAACTCTACCTCCCCTAGAAGGGCAATGCATCTATCTTACAAAAGTAGTGGTAGTAAATCCCTGAAGCTCAATTTCACGCACTCACTTTCATTTACCTCTTCTGGTTAGCTATCCTGACCTAAGCCGGACTATTCCTAGTCTCTACTGATTTGTAAGATTCAGGGGAAATGAACTATTTGTAGAACAACTTTAATTAAAAACTTTGGGGATCTAGAGAATGGTTCTGACAAAAAAATACTGTCCACTGGACATCAGAATCCCCAACCAACCGCTGCCTCAGCAGGAAATCAGCCTGCAAGGGCAGTGGTTACAAATGGGCCGCATGTTCAACTATGGGCTCCTCTCCAAGGCTCTAAAGCATTTTCAGCGGGGTGGAGATAAAATGGGCCTTCGGGGAGAGGTGAAACGTACTCAGCATCTCCACTTTTTACCTGCTGTAACTGCCCAACATAGTATGCTTTTTACTTGAAGGGAGGGGAAGTGAAAAGCAGAGCTTCTGAAAAAGGAGCCCTGATTGCAATTATTCTCTTGGACAAATTGATATGTTTAGAAAACATTTCTAATAGTTTGAGTTGGCCGCAACCAGGAGGACAAACAGGTATGGGCTTAATGTAGCAATCCTAAAACTTCTCGGTTTTGGGATCCTTCGGTACTCTAAAAATTACTGAGGACCCCAAAAGAGCTTTGTTTATGTAAGCTGTAAGCTTCTATCACAATAGAAATGAAGCTAAGAAATTTTAAGAAATATTTATTAGTTAAATGTATTATAGACTCAAAGGTAACACATTTATAAGAAAAAAGTTATATTCTCCAAAGCAAAGAAAAATTAGTCAGAATATGACATTATTTTATATTTTTTGCAAATCTTTTTAATGCTTAGCTTAATAGAAGGTAGTTGGATTCTCATATCTACTTTTATGCTCAATCTGTTTTCATATTTTTTTAGTTGAAAATATGAAGAACACCTGGCCTCACATAGACATTTACTTGGAAATGGGGAGAATATTTTTATAGCTTTTTCATAATTGTGGATACATCATGTATCCTCTAAAAAACTACTGCTTACTCATGAGAAAATGAGAATTAAAAAGGCAAATTACTTGTTAGTACTCTTATGAAAACTACACAGACCTTCTTGGACCTCAGGGGTTCCCTGTAAATGCTTTGTGAACAGCTGGTTTAGTGAGTGGCCCGTGACAACATGTGCCTACCGTATAGAAGTTATAGGGTATGGCATTCCAAAGTGGTGAAGGACCGACAGAGACGGGGAGAGAAAGCTGTTCTCATGCCTTGACATTATGGTCATGCATCTGAACTGCTTTTGAAAAGTAGTG